CTCTTATAGAATTGATCTTTAACGTCGTCGTTGCTATCATTGGTTGGTGCATAACATTGGATAATATTCATTGTGATCCTCTCCTTCTTTGTTTTGAATGATGCTTTGATGATTCTGGATCCGTGAGATTTCCATCCTACAAGTGCATTCCGTTCTACTTTGGACAACATTAGAGCAACTCCCTGAGTGTGTGGAGCATTTTCCTCTTCGTGACCGGAGTATAACAGAATCTCTCCCGTATTGGCCTTTGTTGTCCAGCTTGTGTCCAATGTGTTTCGCTGATTCCGAGTACTGCCAAGTTGTATCTTCTCATTTCCGTTGCTATTTGACTGGTCTTTCCGGTCTCCCACATTTTCCAGACGTTCCATTTACCTATAAAAATTGTTGCTCTGGTTGTTAGAAGGTGTGGCTTCCGAAGAAACTCGGCTTTTACTACGAGGCGTCATATTTCTCCTAAATGAAGACCTTCTAACTCCCAGGGCAGAGTTTAAATGGTTTGAATCATTTTTTCTGGTCAGCGTTTTTTTAGCGAGTTATTTTTCTACGGGATGGGGTCGCTATCTCCATGCCCAACCCTCCTCTTTTACCCGTGCTTGGGACCGGCAGTAACTCTAGAAGAGCTACAGGCGGAGTTATAGTGAGCTATGATTTGGTAACAATGTTTCACTCTTTTCTACCATCTAGGACTGATTATGTGAGAGGATATTCCAATGTTTCTCTCATCATGTATTTGATTAATAGAATTTTCTACCAGAATAAGTAATACCAACACGATCAGTTGATATCAGTTTCAGTTTCAGTTTGGAAAGGACAGGAGGCTTGATGGCCTGTGTTAGTCCTGGCAATTGTATTCTCTCAGTTGATCCAACTTTCTTTTGAAAGAATCTACGGATGGAGCTTCAACCACGTGTTGAGGTAATGAATTCCACTCGTTGATGATTCGGTGGGAAAGTCGATAATCAGCTGACAAGTAATTTGTTCTGGACTTGTGAACTTTTTTGAAGTGTCCTCGTAAATTCTCTGATTTGGAAGACAGGAAAAATGAGGGCATATCAGGTGCGAATTTATCACTAAGCAATTTGAAAACTGTAATCAAGTCGCCTTTAGTTCTACGATATGACAAAAGGAATAGTTTTGGCTTGGCCAGTCGAGCATCATACGGAAGCTTCGCTATTACGGGATTCAGCTTAGTTGCTGTTCTCTGGACCTTTTCCAAAAGCTCACTGTCTTTTTTTAAGCAGGGGCTAGCCGCTTGTATGCAGTACTCAAGTTTAGGACGTACGAACACTGTACACAAAGTCACAAACGTTTTAGCGTCGACATGAGTAAAAGCCCTACGTATTGACCATAAAGTTCTAAAAGCTTTGGCGGCTATTGCTCGGCAGTGTGCAGTAGTCTTCAGATCTTGGCTAACGATGACTCCTAAGTCATTATGTGTCTGGACAACAGGTAGCTCAGTGTTATTCATCGTGTATGTATCTGAACCTCGATGACCGATATGCATCACAACACACTTGGAAGTATTTATCGGCAGTTGCCATGTATGAGACCATTTGGATAATTTCTTTAGGTTATTTTGGAGTTCTAAGCTATCACCCTTACATCGTATCGTTCTCCATATCTTGACATCGTCAGCATATAGCAAGACCGATGATAATAGTAAGCGAGGAAGGTCATTTACATACAAGAGGAATAGCACTGGCTCCAAAACTGTACCCTGAGGCACTCCACTAGATAATTTTGAGTTTACCCGTACTCTTTGTTAGCGCCCAATAAGGAAGTCTTCTATCCACGTCAATAGATTGCCTCCAATTCCGACATTTTTTAGCTTATATAACAGCCAGTTGTGCGGAACCTTGTCAAAAGCTTTGCTGAAATCAATGTAAGCCACGTCTACAGGTAACTTTTGGTTCTTAAAAGCGCACCAGCTTTTTCGAGTGACTAATAAGTTAGTGAGACAAGAATAACCTATTCTGAAACCGTGCTGTTTCTCTTAGAGGATTCGGTTTACATCGAGGTTTTTAAACAGCTCTTTCAGAATAATCTTTTATAAGATTTTAACAACCACACTAGTTAGGCTAACGGGTCGGTAATTCTCAGGTTTATGTTTCGTACCTGTTTTGAAGACAGGACTTACTATGGCGTTCTTCCAGTCTTTTAGTAAACGACCCTGCGTAACGGATAGCTTAAAGCATATGCTTAAAGGGTTCGCAACGAAGTTAGATAATTCCTTTAGTAGCCTAGGATGCAATTCATCGGGCCCCATGGATTTATCTATGTTAAGCTTACTTAGCAGATCAAAGACATCGAGTTCATTTATGGTCACGCTATCTAGTGTATGTGTGGGGGGGTTTGTATGCGCTGACGGGAAGGGTGCTACTATGGTATATGCATTGCTAAAGTACTTTGAGAACACTTGAGCCTTACCAAAGTCATCTTCCACTGTCTCCCCATAGTGCAGGAATAATTCCTCTTCTTTTTGTCCTTTGGTTTATATAGGAATACAGGCGTTTAGGACATTCTATGGATTCCTTAACAATTTTTTCTTCGTACAGCTTTCTAGACTTACGGAGGGTCGAGGCACAGGTATTCCTAGCTTTTCGGTACTGAGATTTTGTCTCATCAGTCCCCAGTAACCTAAATCTATCCCACATTTTTCTTCTCTTACGGAGAAGGATGCGGACCTCCCTATTGAACCATGGTGGGGAGTTTCTCGGCCCCCTTGGTATAGTCCAAGGAATGTGGGGTGGGGTAACTTTTAAGTATAAATTTCGGAATGCATCCCAAGCCGTTTCAGTTGAGGACTCTGGGTCTATTGTCCAATCTGCTAATGATGCCGAGTGCATGATATCTGGTATGCTTGCTTTCCAGACGTTAGGTTTGGATTGAGTTGACGCTTGCTCGTGATTGACAGTTATATGGAAGTCAAAAGTTAAAACTGCATGATCACTTTTGCCTAGGGGTGGTATGTAAAGGAGGTTCGCAACGTCATCCTCATAGTGAGTTAATATAAGATCTAGTAAGGATGATTCAGTGTCCCGGTAGTACCTAGTCGCTTCTTTCACATGTTGCACTAGGGAACATGTTATAACCGCATCAACTAGTTCCTGCTCGAAGGAATTTTCTGATGATTCGGTTCGAAGATTTCCCCAGTCTACCATAGGTGCATTAAAGTCCCCTAGGATTAGACATCGATCACTTCGCGACCAATTTTTGAGCCTGTTTAACAGGACATCATTTACCTCACAGCTTAGACTGTGATAGACCAAACCAATTAGCAGCTCTTGCCCCTTGAATTTCAAGCGGCAACTAACCAATTCACACTTCCCACTATCATGGGATACACTGTCAATAATGACAAACGGGATAGCATTCCTAACGAATAAAGCTACCTCCCTCCTTTACGCTTATGTATTCTGTCGGTCCTTACTAAAGTCAAACCCTCAAAATCGAGTTCCATATTATCTATGGACTGTGTCAGCCAGGTTTCTGTGACTGCGATTATGTCTGGCTCTGCAGAGTCAATCTGTTCACCTAGTTTCGATAGCTTATTGAGCAAGCTTCGGGCATTTGTGTAACAGATCCGTAGCCTATTTAAGTGGCTTCGTGTTTCACCCAGAGTGGCTTCGCCATCATTCTCTGACGAAGCCTCACAACCCGAAAATTTACAATTTTCAGGTCCTTTTCGCCAGCGTCTAGCCTAATTTGTAGTTCTTTTTCGGCTTTCTGTCTTTTTACACGGTCTGCCAACGGCAAGTCCTTTCGGATAAAAACTCCCGAACCCTTTAATTTATGTCCATTCTGTAAAATTAAGTCCCTTTCATTCGAAGATTTGAATACTACTTTAGGCAGTCTAGATTGATTAGGCTTCAAGTTCGCTAAACTACCTAGTCTATACACCTTTAGCAAGGTGACTCCGGAGATATTTTGAGGCATGAGTTGATTAAGTAGCTGTTTTATCAGGACAATGTTATGCTCAAAACGAGTTTTTGGTTCGGAGCTTTCGCTCTCCTTGATCCTATGAAAAATGACTGATCTGTTACTGTGATCAGCCTTCGATTTTTCGACTACTTTTGTGGGGGAAGGGTTCCTTTTTATATCGTTCTTCTGTTTCTTCCTCACAACCTGTACCCATTCGTTAACGTTGCTTGGAGAAGCAACCACAGTCGCGTCAAACATACTGTGGGATTCCGGAGGGTTTTCGATGACTTGGGAGGTCAGGTTTGGTGTTCCTTTAGAAACTGACCGAGCCTTGCGGTTGCGGCTTCTATGTGTTTCTTTCTGGATACCATTTTGAGGACGTGGGACAGAAGGAACTTTTTTTCATTGAGTTTTTTGTGCGGACAGAACTCTTTGGGGACTGTTCTCCCTCCTTTGGTCGGTGCGAGTCATCTGTTTTCGAACTCACTTTAGTTTGCCTCACGCCAATTTGCGTGTCAACGGAGAGAGTACTTGATGATGTGTCGCGACCACTCTTGCCAAAACATTTTTTAGCAGCACTAACCAATGAGATGGCCTCGGTTAGCAATCTGTTAGCATCCTAACAGCACTGTTGACAGAGCCATACGCAACCATTCCTACTGAACCGTTTGAAAGCTGCAGGCGTTAAAGGTAGATTATTTCTTTACAGTACTACAAATTACGAGGATTCACATAGGTTGCTTGGCCTCCCACCCTTATTACTGATGTGTGAAGATCGCCACCAACTTGAACGCTTGATAATCAACCAATAGAAATCCTAACAGAGACGTGGCGCGACCTCCAACTGGTAGCTATCTGTATTATCTTTGCCTCGTGTTATATGCTGGATTGTCTTAATTTTACACCTATGGTATTGCTAACTGCTGTCTACTGTTTCCATTGATAAATGTAAGTGCATTCCATGTGCTTACTGAGTCGTCGGCTCATTTTCTCCTTGTTTTTCATTTCCAGCTTTCTTTGTTCACGCTGCTTTCCCCGGTCCTCCAACATCTAGTTTCGTCAGGCTAGGCCGATACAGAATGTCTTTTCAGAAATCTTGGCGATTGCCACGTTCGATCAAATATTTCCGCTCTCCGTTAGCTGTCGACGATAGCAGAGTTTCTAAAGCCATTCTCAAACAGTTAAATTTTAAACCAGTTATTAAAATGTCATTCAGTTTTAATCCATTAATACAGAAAACAGAGTCTATTAGGTTAGTATATATATGATAACAAAAATTTTGTAGACAACTTTGTAGCATACTCAGTGAACCGAGGTGGCGAGCATCCAATACTAATATGCTAGTAAAGATCAATGTACTCTCAGACAGTAGCCCTCCTGAAGTTGAAATTTCATATGGTATACCATAAACACTTGTAGATTATCCTAATTTCTTATAGATAATGGCCATATCCTTATCTTGAAGACAGAAAATTTAAGCCTTCGAGAGACAATAGAAATCATTATTACACATACAAGGATCATTATGACAGAATAGTTAACCGTTAACGTTTAGTAATATATATTTATTCATTTCACATACAGTCTTTCTAGTTTCTGGTGCCGCTCATACTTTTTCACTTCACATATGTAGAGAGAAATGCAATTCCTTTAACTACAAGATTTTGAGTCCTGTTTTCTCCAGAGTAATGTTTTAGTCTTATCAGTATTCAACTGTGTTCTTATTTCGCTTCTTATTTTAGTGTTAAATAGAAAATATTTACATGGACTTTAGTAAGAAATAGGTTCTTGTTCGCCAATTTAGTTTAAACTGGATCTTCATTACTTAGTTCTAGTTTTTGCTGCGTGAACGCTTAGTTTTGAAGACTGCTTATCTAATTGTTTGATAGTGGAGTACATACTTTTTCTTGTTAAACTCGCCATACAAACTACTTTACAAACTTTCGACAGATCCTTAGGCTCTTCATGGGTAGTTTTGTGAGGTATTAATATTTAGGCTTTCAATATGTATACGGAAGGCTAAAATAATATTAGCTCTTTGTAAAAACAATGTAATAGTTGTATGTTAGTTCATTAGTAATTTTCGATTTTTATACTCAGTCTACATTATGGATATGTTACTTCAATGTTATTTATGATATAGTATTTCATTTATAGTTCTATCTAGTTTATGAAATTAAATAACTTGAGACATAACACAATTCAAAGTTTTCTAACTAGATGCACGGTTATTTATTAGTCCTAAGCACCACTTATGTTAATTTAATAGTCAGTTCATGAAGTTACTAAGTCTAGTTTATTTTGAGGTGCAGACTTACTGGTTAGGCTCAGTCAATTCTTGTAACTGATAGTTGAGTGACATGACATACAATCGGTCACGGTAGTGAAGTTGTACCGATTAACATCTTGAGCTAAGCATCATTCTTAATTTTTCATATCTTGATATCATTTGTTCCTTTTGAGTCGTACTTTTAGGCTTCGATTCTCTGTACTATTATTAATATTCTTAGTCTGTCGAGAAGTATACGGTTCTAAATAATTTATCCTTCTTTCCAATTTCGTGTTTGGCAGTAGTAGTAAAAAGAATGTGGAAAAATCTAGACCAACTGCATGGTCACTAAATATTTTGGGTACTGAATTACATTGACTAAGGAAAATAAACTAGTGATTGGTCCGTATTACGAAAAATCTTTTGGTCCATAGTTTCTTTGGTACGATGCAGTTAGTGCATGTGTAAGTCGGTCTGAGAAACCACATCTACCAGGATGGTAAAATGTAAAAAATCATCCAATGTAAATCATGTTAATATTTATGGTTTTTTAGCTGCCTAAATAAATAATAAGATAACTTAAAATACTTTTTAAGTGTATTGTTCCCTCAACGTACTCAGTTCTATTCCTTGTTTTTGGACTCAATAGTTTTATGTTTTTCCTAACATCTTTCATTTCGTCATATGTAGTACCATATAAGTTTGCAATGCAGTTTATCTTGGCAAATAAAATGAAGTTCTTCGCGCACATTACCAACTAATTTATCGCCTTCAATTTCTGATACATGTTGCCTAGATGCAAGTGTCGTCCAGATGAAATGTGTTATTTTCAACTTAGTCTATTTCTCGATATCTTTAATCTCAATTATTTTAATTGTGTCTACAAAAGCGCTATTATACTTCGTATTCTGGCTAACAAAACTCTACTTCACTTAATATCATTTTGTCACTGTTACTCGTTTAGAGATAAAAGTTTCTTTGTTTAACGTCTGAGCTATAGAACTCCCGCCAGAAAATTCACCTATTGACTTGGAATAAGCAATTGATGATCCGGTCTTCATAGTACCCGGTATGGGGCATTCTTTCAAACGCCTTAATCAGCTAAGCAAACACGATTGGAATGCGTTTTGCTCTTTTTTGAATCCAGTGTTTGTGTAGGATTGGTATGGGTCATCGCACAGAAGTGATCTTATAGAGAAAAGTAATTGAGCGTGTCAACCACTTCACTTATCGAATGATGATGAACCGAAGCTTCATCGGCTGAGGTGGTTTTGACATATGCAGTTACCACCTACCCTCGATTTGCAATGTTAGTTGAATGCTTGTTCACTTTACACTGGGAATTTCTACTCAGTAGTTATTCCAATTGATGCTTTGATACAAATGTAATGTTTTATTCTCCCTTAAACTTATTAAACCTAAATGAAATCCATTATGCGCACAATAAGAATTTGTCGCCTTGTGATTTGATACGAACCACATCTTATGTGAAACGTGGCTGTCCTATTAGTTTTTTTCAAACAGCCAAATCAATAATTCAATCATCTACAATGTAGGACCAGGCGTATATATATATATATATATATATATATATATATATATATATATATAAAGTTACCTTACCTCATTAGCATAACAAGATGAACACCAAATTCATAGAAGCAGTTACTTCACTGGTGGTAATGTATGAAAAAAGATTGCATAAAAGGAAATGATACAGGAAGGAAAAATTGGTTCGTAAAAAGAAAGGTATAAAGTAATTTTAATCCCACCGTTTAATGTAAAATAAAGAGTGTATACACCTACGCCGTTGTGTGCTCCAGGATCCTAAGAAAACAATTAGTGTATGAACGTATTGTTGATCACCGGCTACCATGGAACTGCGTCTCCTTACATTGCTCCACTGCCTTGTGGATTAATCCTTTAGGTCGAAGGCTCGGGGCGTGACCCCTTAGGATAACTACCTGCTTCGGTTTGAGGACCCGGGCACTATCCCAGCCCTTACACAAATCGGATGATTTATGTTGCGCATATATATTTGGTGCCCTCTTGTACCAATGTTTATGTGTTTAAATAAGTAAACTTTCAGACTTTTATTAGTGGAAATGAATACCAGTTAACATGGTAGTTGTCTCTTAGCAACAACTGTTAGTTCCCCACATTGGTACTTATACTAACCAAGAATGTACATAAACTCTAATGTGTCATAATATTTGCATCTGTCTTGCAGATAATCAGCCGGACATCAACCACATAATATCTAGCAGATATTTTGGATCGATCCATGCTGCGGCATAATTGACATCGGCATAGCGAAATGAGTAAAATAGTACCGGTAGTCAGAGAGAAGTAGTAAAAGTGGTTCGAAGGACGGATAAAAAGTATGGTATAAAATTAAAATCCGTAGGAGGGTAAAGAATGAGTCCATATATGCCATTGTGAAACACTTCTGAAGTGGTGACTTAGTGACTAAGACGTTTAATTGAACCATTACATCGCAGATTCAAGGCCTACTCTAGCTACTTCGGTTTAGACGACCATGTTATATCATTAACCCTTACACTTAGTGTGACTCGAAGCCAAGTACTTGGTTATGTACCCGAGAGGTAAGTAGCTTCCTATATATGCAAAGACTACAACCGGTTGTCATGTATATCACTTAGTTTTCAACACTCCCTAATTCTGGGTAATTCGTATAGTGTTCTACAAATTCTAACCTTATAGATTATTTTGAAGTTGATGCGAATGATGTCACTGTAAAATTACAGGGAGTTTCAATAATGATAGTTTAAATATTAAAGTTTCGTCAAAATAATCATATATATAGTTAGCTATTAAACCAAGTACTTTGTGTATATATTATATATTAACGTAGTTCATTATACTTATCATAATAAAATTGTTCAGCAAAGTAAATATCTTCTTTTTTTGTTGTTGAGACGAACGCTTGACATTGAATGATGATATTTTCAAAGTTGCATACATTTCCGTATAACAATGATTCTACTAATCTGTTTACTTACCTGTCTAAATACACTGTTCATCTATGTTTATTGTATATAAATTTTTAATTAAGTTTGGTACATTGATCAACATGATCAATTCATAACCATTTGATGAATAAATTTATTTAACTTAATCCAACTATCTGGGTGCAAGAGATCAAGTAATTAGTCAGTCAAAAGCATTCATGCCGCGTTAGCATAGCGAAATGAAATCGCTATGACACATCTCATTAGTAGAGGTAGTAACAGTATTAATAGTAATCAGAGATTAGGTATCTTAGATGTAATTCGAGAAGAAAGTATATATTAGTGAAATAATTAAAAGGAAACATGATGAATTTAGAAGTTTAGGACTTAAAGGAATACAAAGAATAATCGTCCCTGCACCATTGTTAACAATCTTGAGTCGTGTTATTCAAAGTCTCTAAACGTTGGCGTGAACTCCAACTTTGTAGTCTGAACCTACCTACATGACTCAATCCAACAGTCAGTCTCTTCATCCACCGATACCGCGTCTTGATTTAGCAACCTCTAACCTTTTCTCAACCTACTCGTACACTAGCCACTTTCGTGCTTTAAGGTAGTCAGTTCATAAGTATACTTACTACATGTCCCAATCATCCCAGTCGATAAAGATTCACTACCTTAATAGATTAAGTATAATTCACATTAATAGCATTGTACACGTAAGCTTCTGTGTTATTATCTCTGCTACGATTTGACTTTGGGATCCCAAATACGCAAATTTTAGCTACTATCTACAAATTCCAACCAAAACCAGCAATCCGCCCTGTATTACTATGCAACCACAAAATCTGTGAAAGTAGATATACACACACCTCAGGTATGTGATCATAGGTATCTTCAGAGCCCTGGTGGTACGTGGTAGGACCACTGACATGATACTCATTGTACTAGATAGAAAAAATAAATCTACTTATGACAAGGCTATAAAATTTCATCAGCTAAGACGATTAGATGTTTTAATCATCCTTAACCATCACCGCCCATTACGGCATACAATATTGATTGACAGGAGTAAATTATAGAGGAGCTAAGATTAAGCGGATTCTAACATCACATCGGTGCATAAAATTAGTAACTGTTCTTCCAAGACATATCGAAAGTTGTAAACATTCAACTTAGGGCTTACGCAATATTCATAAAATCAAGTGTAATTAATTGGTTTTCAAAATCACAAACTTTTCTGTTGTCATCACCTATTTTAGTGTCGATATATTTTTCTTATTTTAGATATAAACAAATCGATGACCAATTCAAATCCAATGGAATACGACTGTGATTCAGATGATTGGCAAGAAGTCACACTGCCTGATTCGCTTTCATCTGAAAAGTATACTTGTTTAATGTGTGAAAATAATTTTAACACAGCTCCACTATTTTTTCAACATCTTACCCTTCAACATGATTGGGTCAATTTTTTAGACGGTGAAGGCAAAAGTATTTTCAATGATCAATATGATTGGATTCGATTCGTTAATTTTGTTCGCAAAACTGTAAGTTCAATAATGTCTTTGATATAATGGGTGGTTTAAAATATTTTTCTTCCAGGTATGCGACGATAATAAGACTAGTCACGTCGAATCAGATCCAGGATTAACGACCCAAAATAGAGATCAGAGTATAGACATAAACACAAGCAGTCACTCTCAGTGAGTCCGGAGTAGAAATCAATGAGAGTAAAGGAAATCACATATTTAGTAGTCCATAAACCACATGCCTGTTTGTCTACTCTCGGTGACCAATCATGTTTTACCTTCACCACCACATATCAGTTTTAGGTAATAATTAAATGAAATGGATATATCTTTTGTTGGCAGTAGATACCAGTATTTCTTATGAGTTGTTTATTAAAGCTAATATTTACCTACCCGTTGGTGTCCGTAGCTGGGTATGTAGTTTCCACCATCTAAGTGCAAAGTTCTCGTGGTGGCAAGCTGCTAGAAGTAGTTGAAAAGTTTGTGTACTGGGTAGTTGTGTATACTGATAGTGCGTGAATAATGAAATCTGTCTACACATATTGAAAACCAGGTTGGCTTATGCTTATCTTGGCTATCTTTGCTGTTGTCGTGATGTTAGTCTGTCTATAAAAAACTGGGTCTACAATGCGTTGATGAAAGCAGCTTACCTCTATACTTGTGAAACTGTAGTAAGCCCATTCAACTATTTTATTATTTGTCTACTTGCTGTAATTTAGACATTTAATCCACTATGTAAAATTATGTGTAAGTCTAATTGAGTGCATTTCAGCACATCAACCTTTATCCACAATCGATTAACACTTAAAAATATTATATGGATTTTTTGACACACACGCACACACAATCACTGGTTTCCCTGTCTGCTTGCTTTTCGTCGCGCTTGCGGATTTTTACTAATCATTAACAATAAACTGTCTACAACCGGTGTTCTGGCTTTGGAATAATCTCGAGTAAATCCATAATACTACTTGGAGATTCAGTCTGCGTTAAATACTCAATTAACGGGGGAGTCATCTGTCCCTTTCGAAATGCTCTCACATTGCCACGCGTATACAGCCAATGCCAGGGAAGTCACTGTCTTCTCGTGGATGGGTTATTGTTTACGAAATTGAGAGGACGAAATCGAATGTCCGTCGCTTTAACCGTGTTGGTGGATATGGAGGATCCACCTAGAGAAGTTGGAAAACCCTCATTCCAAACCAACGGTGCACATGGGCTCCAGGATCTTGAGGAAACAAATGGCGTACGAATTAATTATTGGTCACCCGCTACCATGGGTCTGCATCTCCTTACGTTGCTCTACTGCCTTGCGGAGGTTCAGTGTATGGCCCCCTAAGAAAACCATCTGCTTCGGTTTGGGCACTCGGGCGATATCATAGCCCACACACAGATCAGGTGACTTGTGTGGTGCATATGTATTCGGTGCCCCTTGTACCAATATTTATATGATCAAACAAATAAAATAAATAAATGAAAGGAATCTGTATAGGTCTAGCATTTGTCTATCCTTCACGACTCATTGATTGAGTTCCTAAAGACTGTGCAAGTTAGTGGCTCAGGTTAGAAGTTGGTGGAGACTCTCCCGTTATTTCCTTTTGCATTCTTGATGCAATTTAGGAGGACTTCCCCGACTAAGGTATATATATATAATCTTTATTTTGTGTAGCGCACATTTGTTTTCTCTTGGTAGTGGGCAGTTACGCCAGACTTTATGTGTACTATTAAGTAACATAGTACTTATGATATACTAAGCTCCTTCAATATACACACAACTTCTAACAGTTTCTGTTACACGTTGAATTCTGCGAATTGTGATCAATTTCGTGATTAATTAATTAAATCTTTTCTTGTTATTTGTCCATATCTTACTGGGTTTTTTTCAATTGAACCAATGCTAAGGTTAATGTAGTGTAGCTTATAAAAATACCTACCACTTATTAACATCAATTATCTGTAGTTGTTTTATAGAGAAAAAAGAATAGCTTGTACGTATTTATGCATATTTTAGAAACCAGTGGATTTACGTCAAGCATTTTATGATATGGTTTGGAAAACTGACTCCTTAGATCTACTCTATCCAGTTCTACCAGATGATGAAGTTCTATCGATCGGTGGGTGTTTTCTTCTTCGGGTATTTTTGTTTTGGTAAAAAGTTGTCAGGAATACATTATATCCCAAAATACAGACGTACGAAAAAGAAAATCAGTTGTCATTTTACATATCTAACTACTTAAGGTTCTATGTGACCTAGAACTGACTGATAAATAAATCTGTGAGGTATACGTTTGTTACACTGATCATTCGTTTTGGAATCTACATGATATATGTATATACAAAATACTCAACGAAAATTTATGATCAATATAGGGTTTTGTGGAGGTTATAGAATTTCATTAGTTTTAATTCACAGACTGATCTTAGTTAGACCACCATTGAAAACCTATAAGCGGTGGAAAGCGGTTTCGTTCTTGTATGATACTTCTTACACGTTTTCATTTGTGATCTAATTAAAATCAGTTTGTGACCTAAAATCATAAAAATATACATTAGTCCGAATTATTATGCTTCAAATCATGCATACAGAGGAAATTACCAAAATGAAATAATAAGTTTTATCCACAATACAATGGTCAGCTTTGGTGCAACTAGACGATATGGACTTCACAGATGACCTAGCCCTTCTATCCCATACACACAAACGAATGCAGGTCAATACAACCAGTGTAGCAGAAGCCTCTGCTATTTATAAATAAATAAACATACACAGAGGAAAAAACAAGATCCTGAAATGCAACACGGAACACCAACCCAATCATACTTGATGTAGAAACTCTGGAAAAGGTGGGAACTTTCACTTACCTTGACAGCATCGTCAATAAACAAGGAGGATCAGATGCAGACGTAAAGGTATGGATTGGCAAAACATGGGACACATTCCTTCAGTTGCAGAACATGCGGAACTCAGAACAACTGTCAACCAATATCAAACTCACAATCTTCAATACAACCGTCAAGACAGTTATACAATACGGAGCTCAAACATGCAAAACTACCACAACCATCATCAAAAATGTACAGGTATTTATAAACAATTGTCTACACAAGATACTGAATGTCCGTCCGATGGATGCCATCAGCAACAGCCTATTGTGGGAGGAAAATAACCAGCTTCTAGTTAAGGAGGAAATTCGAAAAAGGTTTTGGAAGCAGATAGGACATACATTGAGGAACTCATCAAACTGCGTCACGTGGCAAACGCTAACTTTCAATCCTGAAGGGAAAAGAAAAAGAGGAAATCCAAAGGACACACTGCGACGAGAATTGGAAGCCTACATGAAAAGAATGAATAGCAACTGGATAGGATTGCTCAGGACAGAGTTGGATGGAGAATGCTGGTGAGTTGCCTATGCTCCTCCACGAGGGGTAACAGGCGTAAGTAAATGAGTTCCTACAATTGTTTAAATAATTGAACATAGGGAATGCAGTTGAGAAGTAAGTAATGAATTATTCAGGGAAAATTGAGAAAAAAATCAATACACATATGCATCAATATGACCAGTTGTAAACCACTTCACTTTTACGTAACTCACTAACTATAATCAGTTGATGAAATAGATTTGACTTTCATACTTTTTGTGACGACTAATAATCCTACTACCACTACTAACCAGTAGTAGTTCGGACCAAAGTATTTTGCAAAAAAAAACATTTTCCAACTATTACTAAGAGTTACATAAATATTAAGTTATTAAATTTTAGTATTTAACTTCTTTTTTCCTAATTAAAATTAATAGTTTTCTGCTGTTTCTCCCATTTTCATGATATTTACATAATTCTGGTTAAAGCCGTTGAATTTCAGCCTATTAAGTTGCAGGTTCGAACTCTCTGAGCCCTAACTACTTCGATTTGGGTAAAGGTTTTGGTAGTAATGTCTGTCACTAGTCTTCATGCATAATATATGGCCTGTAAACGAAGCTAATGATTCTGTTACTATCCAACTGATTCTTTTTTATCATACCCTCTTCACCCCAGATATTGAATCCTATTTATTGGATAATCATCGAAGTGATCAGTCATCTGGGATAGTTGTACATGAAAAGTCAACTATTCAACAACCTGTATCGCAGGAAATGTCACGTATCATGGCAGAAAATAAAATGTTACGTACTCAGTTAAACAATTGCAAGTAAATTATTGTTATATTTATTCAATAAAAATTCGATTAGTTAATTTTATTCATGATGATTTTAGATTATCCCGTTGTTGATATACTTGATTGGAATCTGATCACTTTTAGTCGGGATGTGCATCCTAATCAGGATTACCCTGATTCGTTGTTGATTATGATACAAGTTTACGTAGAATTGATGAAAAGTGGCTAGCAGTGAAATTGAAGACTCGCGTTTCATCCTTTTTGGGACTTGTCTTCAGCTAACGGCACCTGCATCCTAGAGTTGATATTCACTTTGGGACTTTAACTCAATAGCTAAGTGGATAATTCGTTGGCGGTTGAAGCAAATGGTACTGTGTTCAAATCCCGGAGTAAACGTTTACTCCGAGGTTCGGACAGATCCAGCTACAGATGAGTCCCAAGTATGACGAAACTCGCTTTCTGGATTCCATTTTACATCTATTCTATGTAAAAATTATATCAGTTAATTTTATTTTATTATCAAATAATTGATCGTGGGGGGAAATTATGAATTTTAGTTTTTTTACTTACTGACGGGAATGCGTTTCAAGGAAGCAACATAGACACAAGTTATATAGAATGTCGTACACTTCTCTTATTGTAACTAATTATGAGATGCATAACTTATTTCTACTGGGGTGCAATTGATAAATAAGTACCTTAGTATTGACATCTTTGTGTTGGGTAGTTGGAATTAGTCTACAGGAAAAAATTCTGAACTTGTGTTTGATACTAGTAGATACCTGGTACGACATAATACAGTATTATAATATATGTGTGTACTAGTAACGCAAATAAATACAATCAGTAGCAGTAGATTGTGGTTATGCAATATCGTGAATAAAGTTAGAAATGTAAACTATTAGGCACCAACTAACTAGTCTAAAGTTTATACACTCATCAAAAGTTTTGAGTATCCTGTGTTTGATCTTCGATAGGTTTTTGGGTGGACATTAGAGGGAAGTCTTACACTAAAATGGCGGATACGTAGAATTCACCTAGGGGAGTTAGACAACCGTGATTCCGAACCAATGATGCATGTGGTCTCCACAATCGTAAGGGATCAAATACCGTATGAACATATTCTTGGTCACCGGCTATCATAGGATCATACCTCCCAACGTTGCTCCACTGCCTTGTGGATTAGTCCTTTAGGTCACCGTCTTGAGGAGTGACCCCCTGACAAATCCACATGCTTCGGTTCGAGCACACAGCCAGTATCTCAGACCCACAAATTTCGTGTAGCGCATGTATATTTTAATGCCTCTCTGTACCAATGTTTATGCATTTAAATAAATAAATGAAGATGAAATAGAGTTGCTGAGTGTTTCTTTGTTTTGCACTGATTATCTAACCAAAACTAACCTGTAATATGAAACTTCAAATTCAACAAACTCCACTATACCTTACAAAGAATTTCATCTGTTTATTAGAGTTGAACACTCGATCAATGGAATACAGGACGCGTATTTCACCCTGTTAGGTACTCATCTGCTGGATTTACTTACATTCCAGTGTCCACGTTTGCGCTAAGACTCGATCCTAATGTCTTTCATTTTAAACGCCCTACGAGTTGCCCATTGACCTGTGGACTTTAGATAACCACTAACTTGTGCAACAGGTATAAATTTTTTGCAAGGGTTTGTATTTTTCTATCGTCTTTTCGAATATTTTTGGCTGACGAGTCTCAAATGGGACTAAATACACGTCTCGTACCCACTATTTGACTTAACTAAAAAACTTGTCACCATATAGCATCGTTATTGTTGTCTTTTGTACGCTTATTTGTGAGTGGTCAACGCTAATGATCTTTCTCATCCTTGCTCTATATTCCTAGACGTTTACTTTCAACTATGTCTGCCCAATCAATTCGAAAAAAATCATGTGATCAATCGCCTGATTATGACTTCGACATGGAACCGAATGATTCCTCATATTTTGGATCTTATGGTCATTTTGAAATACATGGTGAAATGATAAGTAAGCTGATCATAACATTAGCTTTGTGATGTTTTTTCTCTAAGGGGTTGAAAGGTAATTGTTTCTAATCACCGTAAGATTTAGCGTGAATGTGTTCATCATCCTAAACTGTTAAAATAATTCATGTCATCACAATAAGAAAAACATTTAACACGATAAAATGCAAATTAATGGAGTATCACACTTATAATTCAAGAGCATAGCGATGTCCAACTGACGAGCTTTAAATAGGCCGAAATTCGCGTTCTTTATTCCACTGCTGATCAATTTCGAGTTATATCAATTAAGGCTCTCACTTGAATTGTCAATTATGATCATTGCACTGAATCATTTTATCCAAGAAATTTGCATTTTTCATCACAACAGCTTTTTCAACAGTCAGTAACTTCGTTTGATATTGTTTTGATTCAGATGTCGCTAACTTTATTCTCATCTAATTTGTATGCTGGTCAACATTAAAAATCCATATCGACAGTGCCTGTTACAACATATGTTACTTATATGCAGATGTCTCAAGACTATAAAATACTTTGTAAGTTGTTTCAACAAATATAAGTAGTTTGAAACTAAATGTATGGATGATTGATACTTGAAGATTTCGTGGTGGTTTGAGCTCGTTGGTGAGGCGTACTTGAATTCCTGAAGAAAATAATGATCCTTGTGAAATTTAAAGTCACTTCACCCAGCTACACTGACTAAGACGTTACCACTAAGCTATCTCAATCATAACCCACTTTTATTGGACTGAAATATTATATAATTTACATTGTCATACTGTTTGAATTCGGTGGCTAATAATATAGACACCTGATCTGTGATACCGATCTAATTTCAAACTTGGAATTAGACTTGTTGAAACCCAAGTTCTTCAACTATTTTTAGGTCCTAACCCAATTTATTATCCCGCACAACATTGTGAATAAGTTGATCTCTTATGCCGTTAAGGGTGTGACGGTGGTTATCACTTCCCAGTTATCTACATCATGAAAGAATACCTCCCAAAGGATCTGAAAAGGAAACTGATCTTGATGGCTTATGAGCGTGACCACACAGAAAAAGAGGCAACTCCCTAAGCCTGTTAGCATATGGCCTTTTACGAGTAGCTCTTAATGTGTTTGCTTTATACGCTTCAAACCTTACCATTGGTGAAAGAAATTTCTAGAGGAGGAGAGCAAAGTAAGGATATATATTTAGGACTGATATTTCTAACCTAATCCTTCCTTTGTAATAAATCGGCAACACTATAAATTCTGATTGTCTTAACGGAAATATCTTACTATTATCGAAATTCTATACAGTTTGCAGTATAACTTCTCCTTAGGACCCTATATTTATTAGTTTCAGTCTTGCTTCTCACCAACTGACTTCGTGGTTTATCGAAAACTGAAGGAGCAACTATTCCAGTCAATATATACCTCTTCTAGATTATTACGATATACAAGACTGATCACCATATGAAACTAGCATTTACAGTCGGACAATACTGTTTGGCTACACTGAATCGTTAGCTAATTTCAGAAATTTTTCAAAAACTGAAATATATTGTTGAAATATTTATGTACAGTATAATTGTGAAGTTTCGGGCATTTCTTTCTTTTCACTATGCTAAGCGTAATAAAAGTAATATATCCAATCCGTATTTTGCAATTGTAGATGTCGATAATACTTGTCTTATGCTAAAATCTATTTTTTGGCATTAGTTCAAACGTTTGCTTTATATTATAACACATTTTTATGTATAAACTCACCACATACTTGGATAGTATGAGCCAAATTTTAAGTGTGGGAACTAGTGATTTGATCACTCGGTTGCTCAAACCGTAGTAGGTGGAAACGGGGCTCGTACCTGTGACTTGGTGGCTGAAAGTTGAACAACATTAAACTTAATAGTTTTACGTTTCTAATTGTACGAATTTGTTGCCATGTCGATTTTTTTCTCATACCAATATAGATGATCGTGTACGTACTGAATCGTATGTGAATTTTATCTTGTCTAATGCAAACAAATATTTTAAGCATAAAATTATCTTGGATGTTGGCTCTGGTTCAGGTATCCTGTCGATTATCGCTGCACAAGCCGGTGCTTCACATGTTTACGGTGTAGAAGCTGCTGACGAGATCTATACAGCTTCACATGAAACTTTGAGGTATGCATATTGAATTACATGTTTATGTTGTATGGCCGAGAGAATACGGTTATTGATTTTTTTCTTAGACCAGTATACAGTCTGACAGGTGTTTTATGTGTCGCATCATATTTCCCTACCCCTTGTAGTGAACAAGAACCCACGCGGAGAAGACAAATTTATTGTTTAATGCACAATCACATAATGGTTTAGTAAAATGTGAAAATCACACATCATTTGCGAATTTTCGAATTGTCTCTTACATGCTTCATTGTTCCTTTATTCCTGTCGTTATCTTGATTTCTTCAGTTTCCCTCTCTCTTCCCTTCATTTCAATCTTCTCAACCTTCTGCCATTCCACTTTTGACTGATGTTACATACTACTTATATCTGTCAACATTAGCGTACATCACACACGTACTAGTCAGGCGAGTCACGTGTCCTTGATTTGAGTTTTGTTGAAGCTTTGTAGAATAGTGTTGGCTGGGTATCTAGTATAGAGTGAGCGAATCGTATACGCAGATAAACCCATCTGATATAAATCGTTCATTGTTCATCCTAGGCAATTTTGTGTCCAAATTTTTGGGATATTCAGAAAAATATCCCAAAAATTATCCTGTTAAGTCTAATGCTATCCCTGAACATGAAATGATATCATTTTCCTATTGGTCAATATTTATTCAACGTGTCATTTTCCCGTTGGTCAATATTAATTTCACGTGTCGTTTCCCTACTGGTCAATATTTATTCGTGTCATTTTTCCGTTGGTCAAATCTTGTACAAATGTTACTTTCTGTTTTATGGTACGATGTAGTCTGTTTGTTTGGTATATAAACAGAGTATGTTTGAAATATAATGATTCACATCTCCGAGGTTGAGACTTGTGATCTGGACTCAACTGGCTGGGTTAGACATGGAAGCAGGGCCAATCAGAACTCTAGGCTGTTCTTACGTGTTTTACGCGTCTTTGGTCCGGTCGATAATTCACTGTCCTCCAATCCGCGCGTCCCAACATATAACACAAATAGTGTAAAGGAGAAATACGAGCATTAATTTGGTATGATGCATCCATCAGTGTTTCATTTATCTATTCTTTAATATTAGTTTCAATTTTCGCATACCTATATTATCTTCTGTACCACTAGAGAACCATGTTTCCTGTTGTTTGAAAATCAGGTCAGGGGTTCCGTCACCAACAACAAAAAACGGGGAACATCTCACGATAGGAACAACTATATTTTCTTTTGTCAGAGCGGTCTGCCACACGATTAAACAACACAGCTAAGAGAATTGAATGCCAGCAATACTCAGGATTACTGAACAACTAACTTTTCTTTTTATCATTTCAAGTTAGGGTTTGCTTTGCGTTGTACGCTTTGATTTACTCATTGTCTTTTCTTGATTTCCTCTTTCGTTGAAATATGTTTTGTTTTCTGGTATAGTCAGTAATTGCTTATAGTTTCTGGCTAATCAATCTGTGGCCCCTTGTGGTGGTTACAGTAGTTCTCCAACTTTCAACTTGGTACAGTAGAACTGTTTCAACGTTTGTGTTGAAAATTCTAACTTTCGTCTTGAGTGATAGTTCAATTGAGTTCCAGATATTCTTCCGTTGCGGTGATGTTGGCCTTGCTTTGTCAATTTGTGCCTTTACATCTTCAGATTTTCCTTGTGTACCACTGGTGTTGTCCAGGTGCGTAAGAGCTATCTCTTCCATAGCTTCGTTGTCAAGCCCGATTTGGTTCCTGCTTACTATGTTGTATTTCAGGATCTTGCTTTTTACGTTGTGGATGTTGAGACCCATAGCTGCAGAGTCTGCTGCCACACTCACTGGTTGTAATCCACAAAGTCTAAACCACCCAGCTGCGTAGCTCAGTAGGTGAGAGTTTGACTGCTAGCCATTAAGACTCAGGTTTGAACCCCTCTCCACTCATTGCAATTCGAGCAACTAAGAAGTATCACTAGTCCTCACACTTATTAATCCTTCAGGGGTCTTGATACCTACTTGTAAGTGGTTTTGCCTTATAGTCAAGATGTTCTGTTCATTTTCTAAAGATCGCGACTGACGTTCGAATCTCTCGAAAACCAATGTAAAATTACCTTCCTATAGGGCATATTTATAATTGTGTTTGTAAGGCAAATTGAGTAAAGAATACGTTCACAATTAGCAATTAATAAATCCAAACCTGATCCTTGTGTTCAGAAAAGGTATCTTTCAATCCCTTATTCCTACCGTCTGGTCCCATCACCTCCTCCATGTTTTTAAAACACATTTTCTGTGGACTGTTTGATCCTGTTAAAATCTAAATACTTCACTACAATTACAAATTTTTTAAATGTATTTTTCATTGCTATAAATTTATGTTTTTCCTTCCGATATTCCTTAAGCCGTTGTTAACAGTCACGAATTTCTTTCTGTTCGTTTCTTAATACGGTAATTTTTTTGTCCCTACTTTCAAATATTTTTCCAAATATACTTAAATGCGTATATATTATCTGTTCGCCCGAAGCAATCCTCTTTGACATCGGAACTAGGTTTTCTACTGAAGCTCTGATTATCAAAAAATAACTGAGATTAAGCGAAGGGCTTAGAGAAGATTCACCTGTTTTGATTGTTCAAGAAAGTCTTAATTTGGACTATTCGGTTGTTTTATCAATTTCTGTCAGTATTGTAGTGTTTTCCCATATATATATATATATATATATATATATATATATATATATATATATATATATATATATATATATATATATATATATATATATATATATATATATCCTTGTTACATATTTTATGACAGCATTTTATTATGTTTTTTTCAGTTCAAATTAGTAGTTTTTTTTCCAGCTGTTAAATCTAAGTTTGTCATGTAATTCAGTCATCTTTATCAGTGACGATGACATTAGATTATAATTCACCTCAGATAGAATGTTCATCAATTCAGAACTTTGAATCCAGACTTACTATAGTCTCTTGTGCTCAATACAAGTCCTGAAGTTCCACTGTTCAATTCCGTATATGTATGTCATTACGGAGGATTTTTGATCCATACCGTGCATGTGACTCAAATTAAGATGAGGTAACTGTTCAGAACTTCTTAGTTTCTATTGGGTTTTTCAACAGTCATGTAACTCCTCTGTATCACTGAATCCATCTTGAAAATACTTTAAATATTGGCCTAAACATTTAGATTGGACCATGTTGGTAGATGGACATTACCTGGCAACGTCCTCGCAATTATCTTAACCAGTGTTTAGAGACATTCAATAGTATAGCTCAGAATTAACCACAGTAGCCCCAGATGCATTCACTCTTTATCCTTCCCTATATCCTGAGTTTTGGAAAATCATTTTATACCTATTCATTGTCTCCTCTTATTCATTATTTTTTGAGTCATATTGTCTGCGGTTAGTCCCTAATACTGCTACTACTCTCACTAACACTGTTATTATTACTAAAACTACTCTAACATTTATCTTTATTGTTTTATCTCGTCGTGATATGGTGTAGCATGTTTAATCGATTGGCATACATGCCAGGTTCTATGATGCTTATGACTTACTGACTGAATGAAATGTTATCGACCAAACATTTTTAGTAATTTGTAATTGTTGTGAGATTAATTTTTCAAATGACTCTATCATTATTATTGTAATTATACTCATTCTTATAGATGTTTTTTTTGTTGCGTTGTTTTTTTCCCTTTAATGTTTGGGTTTTTGTTTTCTCCGCCCCGTCGTCGCCGCAAAATTATAACAGAGTGAACAATTTACTAGAACGTGTTACTTTTATCCATGGTCAAGCGGAATCTGTTGAATTACCAGTTAAAAAGGCAGGTCAATAACATATTTTGTTCCTGCCTTCCCTCTAAATAGTTAAACAAATTATCCTACTTATTTTTTGGTGGGAATAAATGAGATTTTCTCTTTAAAAAATCTATTTTATCTATTTAAAACACATTAACATTGATACATGGGAGTACTAAACATGTATGCGCCAAATAAGTCACTCTATTTGTGTGAAAGTTGGGATAGTTCCCGGGTGCCCAAACCGAAGCAGGTAGTTTTCCTAAGGGGTCACGCTCCGAGCCTTCGACTTAAAGGACTAATCCTCAAGGCAGAAGCGCAAGGTCACGAGATGCGTTCTCATGGTAGCCGGTAACCAGGAATAGGCTCGTACTCCACTTGTTCCCTTAGGATCCTGGAGTCCATGTGCACCATTGGTTTGGAATCAGTTTTCTAACTCCTCACGATGGATCCTCCATATCTACTGACCCGGTTAAAGCTTCGGACATTCTCTTCTCCTCCTCTCAATTTCGTAAACAATACCCCCACCTCGAGAAGCACGATAATTGAATATTTGGAAGACTCGTCTTGTCTTCTAACACTCCTGATAACACAGAAGAATATGATGCCCTCTCGGGTACAGACACAACCATTTGATCAATTGATTTCAAGGATTTTTCATTAACATTCAGGGAATTTAGGGGAAATAAGTCAGCTCTTGAATAGAATAAGACCATTTAGACGACAAACAGTTATTATGTATATATATATATACGTATCGATATGATTGATATGAAGCTAACTTCTATAAGCTGACTTAATTGGATCACTGGTCATTGAATCCGGTAACGATGAAACCGCTTTACTAGTTGCAATCTGATGCTAATTGACCCCCATTTTTTCTTTTTTCTCAACACATATCCAATACCAAAAGGGCTAATTATTCTGCTTTTTATACTAATGTAAACATTAAATATGTACAATTTCCTGCGTATTATTTTTCAATCATCAATCTACTGTCTGAATGATTTGTGAAAATTGCCTGCACGCATAATTCGCTCAAGGTACTTCATGTTGAAAAAAACTTATTTGAAACGACTACGGAGTTAGATTGTCTGGTTTCTGTAATTTTCTATTGTGTTTTCAACGATTGTGCATAATGTGTACAAGTGTATTACCATAAATATGAAGTATTTTGAACAGATTAACGTTAATGAACTGTACAATACGTGAAATAAAGTTTTTCTAGTCCCAGTACCGTTATTTATTTATTTGATATCAGTTAACACAATTGTAGAATGTCGAAAGAAAATTGACAGTTGTTTGGTCAATCTTTTTTATTTAGTAATCCTTCAGTAGTTTTGATACCCTTGTAGAACTGATTTCAGTTTTGTTTCAGCTAATAAAAATTTCTCATAATGAATTTGGTTTCTTAATCTATTCAGCATTAACGAAACTAGTGAGTTTTTGAAAATTGTTTGATTTAATAGTTGACACTATAGATTAAAAACTTAGTTTGTCCTGAATTCGATCCTTTAAAGGAGTGGTCGTCAGTGCTTGCTTTTGGAGAGTACTATACCGGGACAAAATAGTTGTTTAGTGCTTCCGATTTTCCAATCGTTGACTAATTAAAAACTAGTTCGTGATGTAAACTATAAAATTAACATGATAGGTTTATGTTCAATTTGCTCATTTATTTACATATTTACATTTTTATTGCAGGTCGATGTTATCATTTCTGAATGGATGGGATATTTTTTGTTTTTCGAATCAATGCTTGATTCTGTCTTAAAAATGGCATCAAAATATTTATCCCGTGATGGACATATTTTCCCACGTCATTATACATTAAATTTATTAGGTGTACAATGTTCCGAACAATTGCGTAAACGTCGTTTAGAACATTGGAATGATGTATACGGGTATAAAATGCCAGCATTACGTCGTGCTGCATTAAGTGAAGCACATGTATTAAATTTGACAAATGAACATGTTACACCGCCAATATCCCCTATTACTATATTAACGCAATCATTTGAACTGGTTACACTGGATTTAGACGATATGCATCGTAATCGTATTTATAGTTTATCAAATCATTGCTCACTTTTATGTGAACAAAAATTTCATTTAATCATACAACCTACAACTACTACTAATAATAACAATAGTAGTAGTAGTAGTTATAAATTAGACGCAATTGTTGGCTATTTCAATGTACGTTTTGATGATGATGCCGATTGTAAGGTAAGCAGAAAGTTCTGTTATCAACGTTATTCTCATAGATTTTATATCATAAACTAATCTTAGCTAGACTACCATCATTGAAAACCTGTAAGTATTGGACGACCGTTTCGTGTTAATTTAAGACCATTTAGCAGTATGTATCCACAACCGTACAACCAAGAATCAAACCCAGGATTTTCTATCTTGTATACGGAGGTTTTACTTCTATTCCACTTAGCCGGCATTCAATAGTGTTAATGTCTAAGTTCAGTCATTTAACGAGAAGGACTAAACGGCCATCTAGTACTTCCAAGTTTTCAAAAATGGCGTAACCAAAGATCAGTTCATCATATAAGGTCTGCCGAAATTTTATGATCTTCACAAAACCCTAAACTGTTGATTTCATTGCCAATTTAGATCAAAGTGAACATTCATATTCCAACATTTGATAATAAGATGAATTGAGTAAAAACCCCTTTTTTCTAGCTAATTGTTTGTCACAGCGCTGCCGGTGAAATAAAAACACAAAGATCAAGAACGGAGATCTGTACAGAAAACGTCAACCTCAGACAGACTGAATACAGTTTTTTTGTACAATCGTCTGATAATTAGAGCTGACCAATAGAGACAAACTATCTGATTTCGCCAAATTCATATATGTTTATTAATTATCCAGCTTCTCCCTTGGAGCCGAAGCGAAATATAATAAACCAGAGAGACCGGTCAAGGACGAAGAAGGCGAGACAATCACTGAAATTCAAGAACAGCGGAACAGATGAGTATATTACTTTGAGGAACTCTTGAATAGACCAGCCCCATTTGATCTATTAGACATCGAACCAACACCTACAGACTTATTTATAGTTGTCGCTCTACCAACGGTCAATAAGATCATGATAGCCATCAGATAAATAGTGAGAAGGCAGTATGGTCTGACAATAAACCAACTGAATCACTGAAGTCGGGCATAGAGGTAACTACAAACATGCTCCACATTCTGTTCGGGAAGATTTGGGAGGAGGAACAAGCATCGACAGACTGGAAACAAGGGTTGCCTAAGACAATGTTCCATGGATAGTCATGATGATTCAGTTTTCTTCCATCTCTGGCGCAGTTATGTTTCTATTATAGTTTAATTCTGTTAATGTATAGTCAGGATTTTGTCCTAGATTATTGTATGCTTACTTATTTTCGTCCGTTACCCACCATGGAGTAGCAATTGGTCTCCCACTAGGATTCTCCATCGAACTATGTCCTGGGAAGTCCTTTCCTCCTGTAGATCTTCTAAGGTCACGACCAGTTTCAAGCCCGGGTAGTGGAGGAGTGTTAGGGATGGTGTCAGTAACCCTTGCTTAAAAAACGCCGACCAGATCATGTATAACTGATTCGTGAATCCGATTTGTATCATAAGAATTTGTTTGTTGTTTGAGATTTACTCTATTCTGACTACTGGGTGAGCGAGCGATCATGGAGAACTGCATTATGGATCAATAGCCATTTAGTGTTTCTCTCGACTGTTGTCTCAGTTACCATATTATTGATGTTAAATAAACCATTTAGGGGGCGAAATTCAATACTCAAACTAGATCAATACAGTTGGTCGCTTCTGTTTCATAGCCTAATCTCATGGGCCCGAAATAAACGAAACAGGAAAATCAGTTTTTTACTGCCTCATATTCATAAATTTAATCTTTGTACTCCAAAGAAATTTGTACAATTGCTTTCTCTCTCTCACCACTTTGGACACTGATTTAGGAGTGGATTATACCTGAACTGTGATTAACTTTTGTTCTTTTCATAAATACTTGAATGGATTTCCAATTTTTTTTACGTGTAACATATGCTCATTAGTGACTGGCTTCAAGAGGTAATATCCTGGAGTTCTAGTGAGAAGTAGTGACCAGTGGAGTTCAACCAGATCTATTTTGTGATAATAACTCACTGAAGACAATGGTAGATGTGTCGCTTAATTTCATGGATTAGTTGAAGTTAGACATTAACACCGTTGGATGTCGGCCGGCTCAGTGGTCTAGTGGTTAAGTGCTCGCGCGCGAAACCAGTAGGCCCTGGGTTCGAATCTCGCAGGAGGCGAGGTCGTGTACGCGCCCTGCCGAAGATCCCCACAATAGGGCGAGACGGCCGTCCAGTGCTTACAGGTTTTCCATGGTGGTCTAGCTTCAACTGACTCATGATCTTAACCATTGGAATTTTCTTTATCAAAATATTTGGTTAATTCTTTTATTAAATATTATGCAATCTAAGAACTGTTTAATTACATGTTTTTGATAAATACTTATATTGTTTATTATAATTATTGCATTCTTCTGCATCTTTTAATCACTGTGTTAATCATTCAATATTGTTTTTAGACTGTACGTGATTATTCCATTAAAAATTTATCGATAATTGAGTTCTGATGAATATCATAACATATCAGGTATATCTTAATGAGATGATTGCCAAACAGCACTAAACGTGTAAGAAAGCTAGAGGTGGTCAAACCAAGACATGATGTCAGATCATTGGATAATTGACTGTTTATTCGAACTGTGTTGGTAGGTGCAGTTACCGGCTCGTGGTTCGCACAATAACTATTATTAGTAGTTGTCGGAGACGTTGGTTGATGTGGCTCAGGATCAGTCATAATTCCGAAGATGTGTTAATTCTTTGTTTTCCTATAACTCATAAGTTCCAGTATTCATACAGACATATTCACTTTTTTTTTAGTGCCGTGTTCTATTTATTTATCGTTGCTCAATATTAACACTTCTGAAACCATTTTGACTCTTGGTATTCATGCTTTTATTGTGTTAGGCGATCTTCTAATACTGATAACACGTTCCAGATGCTTGAATTAAATCAGCTACTTAATTAAGAAGACAAGGAAGAAATAGGGTGTCTTATTGGTAAACCTGGATCGAACTTCGAATGCAAACTCATTTTTAATCTCGATATAAGTCTTTCGAACAATTGAGCTAGATTTCGGCCAATAGCATGTATTTACGTTCTTCGGATGATCAGGGCAAACCTTGATCGATAGCGTGCACCTGTCAACATTTCTAACCTATCATTTAATGTTGAATTGATATATCGTATTGGCCCGGCTTATCAGTTATGCCTGATTGAGTAATTGTAATCTCCCCTTAGTAATCTATTATGTTTTGTTTAAAAGAAATCTTCCGTGACGTAATTACTATTTTTATCTTCATTATTTTCCTTCATAGGTTGAATTTTCAACATCCCCAACTACTCCTTTAACACATTGGAAGCAAACTTTACTATTTTTAGATAAGCCAATTCGTGTGAAACCAGGTAAATGAGAATGCACAAAACAACAGTGGGGAATAATTTTTTCTATTATTCTAATTCCATCGTTTTTTCTTCATAACTGAATTGTTTAAAATCCAACTGACTTGGCCAATCATAATCATCATTGTAACAAATACAAGTGTTATTCGTGTTGTCTTCATAACTAAATCACTCCTCATAAGCAAAGATGGATAGTGGCTAGCAGTGGAATCCAGGACGCGCGTTTCGTTCTATTTGGAACTCGTCAGCTGGATGTACCTGCATCGTAGTTAATGTTCACTCTGGGACTCGAACCCAGTACCGTTTGCTTCGATCGCCATCGCTTTATCCACTTAGCTATTGAGCTTGCGATTTAAGTCTATATCGAGGCAATCCGCACAGTATGCACATATGCCAATAACAGACGGATCAATTTCAGTCTTAAACCTCAATGGGAAGATACAAATAAAACAATATCAAGTGAATTTAAATCACTCTTTGTTATGGTGTAGCTTAATGTGATGGTTATAGCTTTCATTCATTTCTAATCATTTGGTATCATGTTTGAATTCCACCGTCCCAATGTTGCTTCATTTAGAACTTTCACAGTGGTGTCACCAGACCTCACAAACATGTGTATCTCACTCTGTCAATTAAATCTATACTTCATTGGTCAGATAGTTAGTGCATTTATTCTAACATATATATTATCTGACCTTTTTTTCTTTTCATTATTTCACATTAATCCTCCAGTTTATTATTATTATTATTAGGTGATAAAATCTCCGGCATAATAACTATTCGTCGTGCAACTACCGATAATCGTGGCTTAGAAATCAATCTATTAATTGGTGAAACAGAAAATTCACCTGAAATCAAACAAACTTTTGATTTAATCGGTTAAATGATCAAAACATACACTGATTAAGCAAAGAAGAAGAAGTTAACATGTATAAAAAGTAATTTGATCAGACTAGACATTAAGTAAATAACCTTAGGTATGTACTTTTTTAAAAAGCAATACGATTAATCTACATTTGCATACGAGAGAAAAAACACAACAATAAATACAGCCCACCATTATTCACCCACAATGTGTTACATGACATTTTTGTAATGCAATATATTCATTTGAATAAAATCCATTTATTATCATCTAGGCTTCTGTTATTTTGTATGTTTCATTAAAAATCTATTGGGATTGTTTCATGTTTATTTTATTTATTTGTTGTGTTAATTTTTGTCATGATTTGATGTTTTTCCCAATGTTTGTGTTTTTATTCTTGAATTTTATTCAGCTTATGAGAAAAAAGTAGTTCTTTTTTTTTAAAAAAATAACTCATTTATCGGGTTCAGATTTCTGTACACTTGGTTTTGGGCTATATGATTGTGAGTAGTTACTACCAGTTATCGGAGTCAAAGTAGATGAATAGAGGTTTGAACTTGAGACTTCATGGTTTAAAATTGAACATATTAATTTTTAAATTAGTGCATTCACCAAGCATTTTGATGTTAAGCCAAACTCAAAGTGATAGGGATAATGATAATACGTGGTTGTCCAAGGCAATGTTGGTGGATTCGGGTTCAAACTTGGGATAGAGTGGCCGAAATCCGAACGATTTGATCACCAAACCACAGATGTACATCGTAACCATTAATTTACTATTCCATAGTATGAATACTCTTCTTTAAGAGATTGATTCTTATTGTAAGATGATCATAAAAAACTAACGATCAGTGAGAATTGCTAGTTGGAGACATTTTTATACAACATCATTCATCAATTGATTTCGCATATGGATTAAGACGCTAACATATTTTTTTTTACGTTTTAGAGTTAGTACCTTTCCGTTACTAAATAAGTCTAAATTTAACAGTAACAGAAGCACATATTTTATAACTTTATTCGAATTGTACAATAGTGAGATATTTATCTACTATTCATAGAGTTAAATGAGTCCTTGTGTCTACCCCAAAAGATTCTGTTTGCAAATGACCTCAAGTAGTCGTCCTTCTTACTGTTGTCACTCTCAAGTTGTGAAGACCACTGCTAATCCAGTTCCTTTAAATACGACTCACGTCACATAATATTATTTAGACTACTTAGACGATACGTTAGTCCAAAGTTCCACCTGAAATTACAGTTAATCATATAAACATCGAAGGAAAATATCCCTCTTAAGATAAATTCTATTGCGCCTGTATAAAACAGATTACATCTGATTGTTGATAAATAGTTTGTTATCCGGTAAAGTTTTGTGCTTGGTTAGTGTTGGACAACAATTGAGCTGAGGTGTATCGTGTCATAAAAATGTATGCTCTTACTTGCAGCATTCACTTAATGAAAGAACACATGCTACATATTGTATACATATTACCTATTGAAAGAAATATGCCATTCAAATTCACAGACACATCCTATGACTAATTTCACCATCATCATGTGCTCACTAGTGACTAGCATCGAGAGGAAATTTCGAGAGTTCTATTAGGCAGCCGTGACGATTGGAGTTCAAGTGTATCGGACGTAACGATGCTACCGATCAAAGACAATGGAAGATGATCGCGCAATATTGAGTATTGTTTGTAGTTAGACATGTACACCGTTGGATGCTGGCTTAGTGGTCTAGAGTGCAAGCTTTCTAGCGTGAAACTGAAGGTTCTGTGTTTCATCCTCAGTGACGGAGTCACAGATGTACACTTCTAGGGAGTCCCATACTAAAAAGACTCAGTAACTTGCTTCCAGTGATTGTCCGACTGAGATCGCTTCGTTGTCTCAACAAAATATATTCATTGTTTTGTGGCTATCCGAAGCAAAACTTATTCTGTATATAAATATACGAAGTACTAAGTATTATTAAAATTACACTTATTTTATTTGATGGGGATTTTTCGAGTTAAGTTTCTTCATTATCCATAAATAGAGTTCGTTTAACATATTTTTTGTTTTGTCATATCCAGTTAGTTAAACTGGGGTCCAGTTAGCAACTTAATCGATTGAAGTCGATCATTAGTACAAAAGGACTACATCAATATGAAATCGGTCACTACTACTCAATTATTAAACGATTGTAAATACATCTCAGTCTTATGGAACGCTACTTGTTGTCAAATAGTTCAGTGGTAACGTCTCAGGCCATGAAATTAAATGACTGAGATTTAAATCCATCAGGGAGCATCAGTCTATCCAAGATTAAAAATAAATATCCTGCTAACTAACATGAAGGTTTAATCATGCAGGAGTTTCATGTCAAATATTTACAACCATCTAACTTATTGAAAAGACTTAGTTCAATGCTGATTGTCGCATTGATTCGCTGCAGTAGAGATAGCTCACTATTATGAAAACTGGAAATATATCCATAAATACACATGAATGCGTGACTAAGCACAGATTAAATATAAAACACATTTTTTCTTTCAATTGACAAAACAATCCTGCGTTCCAAAGTTACTTTTTAAAATCTACTTAGTGATCCTTAGTTTTCACTTCAATACTGTGTTACATGATAGAAATTCAATTTTGTGTGCATATATATTTAATTTACATCCTCATTCATACACATACAGCAAAAATACCAGAATATTTTCTGAGCTGTATCATGATATCTCTATTGTTTTCTGTAGAAGTGTTTGTGTGGGTTTTTTCTAATGTCAAGAATTTTCAAATATGAACCATTGTTTGTTATTCATTAGTCATTGTGCAAAACAGTCATATTCTCATGAGAAGTCAGGAATTGATTGTGCTCACCAAACATGTGGTTCAGTTTGAATAAATGAATGTAGTAAGTTATTAAACCTCACAGGCATAAAACAATGTGTATAACCTGGCACATATATGTGTATCAGTTCAAGTTACCGCGATATATCAGCGAAGAGAGATGAAATTATCAAGACAAATGTTAGATTAGTAAAAATACCAATGACAGAAAATATTCGGCACAGGTAATATGAGTGGAAAAGGAATAAAAAATTTATAAAATAAAATAACAGGTAGATGGTTTTAAAACTCAAGATTTATAAAGTGTAAATGAACCTACGCTATTGTGATCGTTTCTGAGCTATTTCATCAAACGTCTCCAACTATTGGTTATGAAAATTGGGAAGACCTCAACTGGGTAATCTTCATCCGCCTACACAACGCAGTTCAACAGTCAATATGAATTCGTGGACTAATGTCACTTGGTTTGATTGTTCCTAATCTGAATCGCTAAACCGATTTTTAATGTTAGTTATATATAGAGAAATAAATAGTCAGAGTGCAATGTAGACCTCTTGATTGAATCGAGATGATAGACGATATTTTTAAGTAGTCAAATAATTTAGCGCAGATTCATTAATTCTTATTTGTATCTGATGAACATTTTGTAAATTCGTATACTCTAAAAAAAGTGCATTTTATATGTGCTCAATCACAATGTGGTTTCTAATGTATCTTCCTACCTGTTATTACAAGTATGTAAAATAAACGCAACTCCAGTTTTTTCTAATACTTTGAAACATCATATAAACGACTGCTAAACAGCCGATTTTGTCTTCGTTTAGGATTTATCAATAATGTTCACTCACACGAACTCCCCCCAGGAATCAAACTCATTACTTTCGGGTTTCGTGATGAAAATGCCACCTTCCTACTACTGAGTCAAAATGGTTCATATTTCCGATATCAATCATTTTTAAATACAATTCTAAGATAATTATGTTTTAATTGGTGGGAATAGCTTCTCGTGTTGACAAGGCGTAGCGGTGACTTAGTGATTGATGCGCTCAACTTTAAACCACGAGTCCGAGTCCCGCTTCACGCACTTTGATTCGGGCAGTCGGATAGTATCATAACCCTTACACATTAAGTGTCTCACATCAGTGAGAAAGCATAACTGATGGAATTCAATAGTTTTAAGACTAAGAAATATGCCATCACTTATCTAAATTGTATAAAAGATTTATGTGAATTGTTCAATACGAAGTTATTTTTCATCATGAACAGATTAATTGTTGTCTGTTTTGAGTAAATATCGCTATTATTATCGTTACTGTTATGATTTTTAGGATTTCAGTCGTTTCGCTCAGCCTGATTTCAACCATGTACACTGGATAAACGAAACATTGAAATCATGTACTTCTGATCTTAATCAATTAGATGTAAGTTCTAGTCAACTAATAGGTTGTTTATTTTTTGTTCTTGAGTGATGTCCAATTTTGTATATATGTTGTTATAATAGAATTATATATTAATTGATTAACATTAAACACCTAATCTATTGAAGCATCAAAATAAATTCTATATATTACTCTTAGTACTGTGATCATAAAGAGTTTGGTCAACAAACTTCAGAGTGCAACAATTATATCACATTTTAAATAAGCTTCATTTGTGGTGATCAAACTGCTTAATTTACTCTTCAGTTTTCGTTTTATCTGACCTGCCATCATCTTTTAGTCTTCACAGTTCTCACAGTAGTGCTTGATCTAAGTATATTATCTATTTTCCTCCAATAAATTGTTTTCATAGGTTATCTTTAATATTTTATGGATTCAGTGAAAGCTCTCAATTCTTTTCAAGAATAAATGTTGAGTATTTGTTTTTGCTTGATTTATTCATTCATGCTTTCTTTATCGACATGAACAGAAAATGTCACCTCAAGACCCCTTTTTTAGACGGTCTCTTAGAGTTTGCATTAATTATCAAAATCATCACATAAACTGAAAACTAATATATTCAGGTGGATATTTATTCATATATGTTTTTGGGTAATTGAAGGGAGGTAGTTGGTAGAAAACCCCGAACATAAATTTCCCATTATTTGAAATGATATTGGCCGCAGTATTAACTCACACTAATGACCATATTACAACTTCATTTACAGAATTCAATTAACCCTAAAAAAACTAGCGAAATTTAATTGAAATCACTTCTAAATGATCAATTAAAATCAATATCTCAGTCATATAGGATGTCGGTTACTACCTGAATAGCTCAGTGTTAAGATTAATTGTTCAGCTGAGTGTTCCAGATTTGAATCCGTCAAGGAGCATCAATTTTTTCAAGATTGCACATTCCCTTTTTTAACTAATACAAATTAACATAAAGCTTATATCAGCCAATATTTACTGCGAACTCTCTTCATCCATCTAATATTCTTAAAAGTCTTTAATCTTATTTAAACATGAAAGTAAATGTCCTCTCATAATCCATTTGAAACTTTTTGTATTATTATTAGTAGTAACCTACTAATCACTTACTTAATCCTGTTAACCTTCGTGGAGCCTAGGATGCTGACCAGGATTCTGCTACCCACTCTATCATGGGCTCTTCCTTCCAGTTCTTGACAAGTGTTATTCATTCTCTTGACGTCTGTCTTCAATTTCCGAAGCAATGTGTACTTTGACAGTTGTTTTGAATTCCATATATTCTTCAGTTTTAAGAATTCTGCCTTTGCCTTATCAGTCCATTTTTTTACATTTACATCAGATTCTCGTTGTTTACCAATGATGCTTCCCTGACGCGTAAAAGTTTCCACTTCTTTCTTAGCTTCTCCATCAAGTGTGAATTAGTTGTTTTCCTATGTGTTTTGTTTTAAAATCTTGTCCCTTTCTTTGTGTATGTTTAGGCCTGCTACATTGACTGTCTTCATCTGCACTTGTTGGTATGTATGGGATAGAAGAGCTAAATCGTCTAGTTACATCTAAGCTGTCCATTGTATTCAATGTTTCACCTTAGGCGTATAGATCTTCATAATTCGTTTAACCACCAGAAGAAAGAGAAAAAGTGAGAGTAATAATAATAATAAATAATTAATTAGTTACTGAGTAGATTATGTTCGTTTAAATTTGTTTATACTTTGTTCAATATCTTGTCCATTTTTTTCATTTCAGCAAAAAGCATCTGATCTTGTGTTACAACTTCAAACTCAAATGAAAGTAAGCACACGTTACACGACTACACACAGATTCTCCTTTTTGTAAAAGTCTGATTTCATTTTCTAAATTAAAATGCAGTTTCTAGTTTTACGTATAAACATTTATACTGTCCACATTTTTATGTAAGATGATTAGTAATATTGTGGTGTGTGCTACTTATATCGACATGAATAGTATATAACGGTAGTCAGAATTAAAATGTCTGGCAGCAGAAGGTCGAGAAGGAAAGAACGGGAACAGAAAGCAATTGGTATGAAAATGCAGTAACAATGAAGTCTGAGACGATTGACTGATGTTTGTAAAATGAACAGTCAAGTTTGAGACAATTTATTGACATTTTGCAAATTAAGTATTCACTGTATAATTCTCAGATATTAGTAAGATATTCTGTAATTTCATGTTCAATTACATTCGATTGTCCTCACTTGTGTCCTCGTTCACTACAATACCACAGAATTAGTTTCAAGTTGTAGAGTCATTGATCACGCATTTAATGAAAATTAATGATTAGCTGGTGATTGGTTCGAATAACGCAATGAGCGCATCTCAGTCTTTGTAGTAGCTGACAGATAATTGGTTTAAATCCTATAGAGAGCATCAGTTTATTTATAATTATATATGTACACCTTGCTAACGAAATTGAACCAACATGAAATCTAAGTGGAGTAGAGCTTTCTGCTGACCATCTCCAACCATTTAGCATTTCAAGGTTGGTGGTAAGTAGTCGGTTAGTAATACACATATTTTTAGTGCTTGACATAAGAGTACGAATCTGTTCAAGTTGGAGTATTCTACACTGATAACATAATGAGAATGAAAGAAAATTGACAAGACAGTAAATGGAAGAACTGATGGGTAGGCTTAAAAGAAATCTAGTTTGAAATGAATATGTAACAATCGACAATGAAAGCTCTGAATTTAAAAGGAAAAGCAGATATATAATAATAATAATACCTGATCAACTTCAACTGACTTTAGCTGTCACGTTAACGTCTTCAAACATCAGTTACTGAGATTTACTAATCTTTGCAGTATCATCACACTAAGTGCGTTGACATTTGTCAGCTTGTGGTGTGGGCGCGATAATTTATCTTCTCAGGAGTTCGTCCTCTTCTGCTCTGTGGCTGTGAAACGTTGTCTTTAAAAAGAGAGTATGTTCTTAATTTTGCTACTATTTAATCATAGTTGTGTTTGAAACATTATTGTTGTATATTGGTATCATAGAGTGAGCTTTGCTAAGGTTAAACACAGAATTCTAGGGGAACATGGAGCATCAGTCGGTTGGGTAGTGTATCTTCATCGATTGAGATGGTAAATACATGTATCACATGATCATCCACCAATTATTTCGACACAATGTTAGTGTGGGAGTATGTTGGAAAAAGCAAGGGGCCGGAAATCAAGATATGACATCAATCTGTAAAGTCATTAACTGTATACTGTGCCGTGTAATTAGTCCAGTTTCTCGTGATTATAATTGATGGTTGCAGACGTTATGTGGTTTTTCAGAATGGGTCACACTGTGTTAGACCCATTCACATTTTGTTTTTCATTCTAAACCTTAAGTGTTACAATCATCTTATCCTTTTTAAACACAATTTAGTTCTTCTCGTTGTCCCGGTATGATGTGATAAGTCGAATTGACGCATGTGTGTACCAGCAATATATTAGGTATGATTGTCTGATTATTACTAGTTGATTCAGACTCTCTTGAACTACGTAATCATACTTATTTTACTATTTCTATTATACAGGATGTAATGCAAACACTTGATCATACTTGTCAAGAAGCCATTGCTTCTATTCCTCGGTAAGCAAGTAATGTTCTATTTCAAGTAAAAAAATTGGTTAGGGATCATTCACCACGTCACAAGTCCAATGAACTTTAAAAATACTGACCAATTAGTAGCAGGTCAGCTATCTGTAGGTTTTGTATTCCTCTCGAAATCCGAAAACGTCATTTTTCGGTTTATGGTGGATCCAATCACAAAGTCAGATCGAAACAGTTTTCATTTGTAAAGCTTTTAATTTTCCCGTTATTAATGTTAAGGATTACAATCGACCAGTCTTTATTGGCATATGTTCATCCTGAGGAAATTCTCAATATTTTCATTTTATCATAGACTTGTGGCTACATCTGAATTCAGTTCCCCAGTGGATAATACATTTGAAGCTCAGTATACTGCTAAATTCAAATCTCACTTTGAACATCAACACGGAGATGGAGTTACTTTGATACGACGAATCCCAACGAATACATGACATCTTTTCCAGCTATTTAAAATTGGTAAGACAATGTAGGGGTTACGTGGAAATAGTTGAAACGTGTGGTTTACATCACAGATTGATTTTAGTTGGTCTGATGTTCAATCGCTAGTGGGGTCTTAGGTGTGTGTACTGCTAAGCACTCCCATACTATATTAAACCCGCTGTTTCTTATGTCCTAGTTTCCGGTGGTTGTGTAGCTAGCTCGAGTTCCTGATGCGAGCTACCAAACTTTACAATCTCCCCAAACTTATTACATTAATATGGCAATCGTTGTAGAAATATTTTACCTACAAATGCAAATCTAGGCCAATCTCTAGACTGTCGAACACAGAGTTTTAGGCTGGTCAAAGTCAGAACAAGTAAGTTATTTGGCTTGATAAAATTAGTGGGCGTATAATACTGTCGTTGGTGAAGCAGCAAAATGAATTAGTCTTTTACAAGATTCTGCTAAGATGTTGATTAACTGAAAGAAATGAAGTTAGTCGTTTTTTTGTCTTCGGTTTCAAGTGGCAGATAACTTTTCAATTAATTGTAAACGTTTTTCAAATACCTGACGACATAACTTAATATTTTTAATAAGTTCACATCATGCTCACATTGTATAACGTTTTTCATTTTACTCCTGGTAAAAAAAACACTTATGTTCTGTTTTTATGGCATCGTCATCACTCAGTGCAATGATTGAATTTTCATTTTCTTAGTGTTCTACGTGAAATTGATGCAGTAAGAATTGATGCTCTCACTTTAGAAGCAGATTTAAAAACCTTACAAGATGATAATCAGGTGATTATTATTATTATTATAGTTATATTTTTGGTAAAATATAGAATTTCTTGATCGAACCTAACGATAAATATTGAATGATCGCCAGTTAAATGTTGACATCTGAATAATATTCATTCCTTTCGATGCACATTTACTGTCAGCCACCATGATGTCTCTTATTGTACAGTGAATTTTTCATAAACGCGCCTGAATAGATTACACGAATAATAGACATAATGATGTGTTAAAACAAAAAAGACAGGTAATTTGTTTAAATATCCAGATGACAGGAACAGGTAGCTCAGATATTCAAGCAGGCCCCCAGTTGATGTACTACAAATTGTACGGGTATATATATATATATATATATATATATATATATATATATATATATATATATATATATATATATATATATATATATATATATATATATATATATATATATAATCTACTATTCAAGATTAATCCTGTTATTTTAGCCGATCAGATTTCAATAATACACTATGTATAAATAAATATTTATTCCTTGTTCAATAGAATTATTTATAATTATGAAAGGGTTTGTGGAGCATGTAGAATTTTCATGGTTTAAGTCACGAACTGATATTAGCCAGACCATCATTATGAATCTGGAAGCATTGGAGATTTATTTTGTTCTAATATCGGACAACTCAACAATAGGGACCCACATGATCCCGTCCTATGGAATTTAACCCAGTAACTCCCTTTTTGAACACGAACTGCTAACCGCCTAACTACTGAGCCAGCACACAATAGTATACATGTCTAACTTCAATCATTTCGCAACATAATGTAAAAAGTCATGATACCGTTCAAGTGTTTATAATCTATTGATTGTATTTAGCAGTAGGATCCAGGGCGTTCATTTCATCCTATTTGGGACTCGTCAGCTGGAGGTACCTGTATCTCCGGTGTTGATGTTCATGTTGGAACTTAAACTCAAAATATTTATATCGAGGGAATTTGTAGATAATCAATATATAACAATGAAGTCATTTTGAAGTATCACCATGCCTGTTGAACAAGTTTATGGTTATATGGACTCAGCATATATTTTGGTAACGGGTGGACATTTGAAGTTAAAGGAGCTTGGCTTCAATCTTAATGAGAATGACAGTATCACCGAAATGCAAGTACACTCACCTTACAGGGTCTAACCACACATGATTGAGATACACTTGGAATAGAGGTTCGTAAGCTACCATTTATTTTTTAAAAAAATGGTTTAATTAATATGAAATGTATGTACATCACTTACAAACTTGAACTCGTAAGGTAAATGTTGTGAAAAGAAATTGAATTCTTTTAATAATTACGTAAAGTATTAATTAAATATACAACAACTTAAATGATGGTTTAAATTCAATCATAGCCTATCAGCAATTAAAATAAGCAATAAGAACATAAATATGGAAACTGTTGCGTTTAGATAAACATTCATGAAACCTATAAATGCTAGAAATAACTGTTAAAACGGTTTAGAGAGTGTAATTACAATAATAAGTACGGTAAATACTATAAGTTTATGTAAATAATTGAAGATACTACACAACAAAAACGTACGTCATTCCGTACATTTGGGAATTATTAAGAAATGTAACCAATTACTGAATATTAACGAGTAGTATGAAACAATAAACAAAAAATGAATTACATAGGTACCTAGCCAACACTTTTTCTATATTTATTTCTTTTCTGACCTGTACGTGCAGTTGGATGATAACAGTCAAAATATTGTCAATTCCTTGGTTGAATTGGATAGAACACGTAGAAACGCTCAATCAGCGGCTGACGCACTACGTGAAACAGATCGATGGATTAATTTGATTCAATGTATTGACGAGTTGTTTGAAGTTGGTGATCTTGATCAGGTAAATATTTTCATTTATTTATGTTATCTAGTTTATGTAAGGTAAAAAATGGGATTTAGCTATCAGTAGAATCCAGGACATTCTTTCTTTCTTACTTGAGACTTCAGTTGGATGTAGCTGGATTCCCGGGTTGCTGTCTACTCCGGAACTCGAACTCTAGTATGTATTTACATACAGCCTGGAAGAAATGGGCATCCCGGATTTTACACTAATCACATTCCATCTGTGCTATCTAAACTTTTGTCATAATGGCTATACTAAGGCAATCCGTTTAAAAGCATATTTGCTAACTAAGACTGATGGGAAACATTCAATCAAAATATCGACAATGGGATGATCTGTAGTATTACAAATTAAATTGACATTTTACCTAATTGTGTACACGTTATTCATAATTAATGTGGAATATAATATAAGTTTTCCTCAGTCGAAATTCATTTCTATTCCTATAGTTTTTATTATAAGTTATTCTTGCCTGATTGGATTCATTTCGTACAACGTATATACCATCTTTTCAAAAGTTATCAACTTTATCCTTTCAGATTATGTACTCAAATCAATCTCTAAGATTCACATTAAGAAATGTTTTTTCTATAAACTCTTTGTAAATCAAGAATTGCTGGGCAACTATTTCGTCTTAATATTAGACTTTTCAATAATGTACATCCACAACACTACCAGGGATCAAACCAATGAGCTGGCATTCAAAGGTTGACAGATCTAACTTTAATCGATTCTCAATATTCACACTCGACATAGTTGAACTCCACTAAGCATTAATTGTTGCTAATTAATTATATGTATTAATATAAATTGGAATGTAATATTTTCCTGTCTACTTTTCTTTTTTTGTCTATAGCTTTGCTCGAATATTGAGGGCATGAGTCAATGTTTAGTAAGTAAAGTTTTGTAGATTAATAGATAAAAAACGACTTTTGTCATGGATTAGCATAAGATGGCAAAATTATTGATAATTAGCTAACATTGAACACTTACATTTTATTTCAGTCTAAGACTCTTGTAAACACCCATGGTTGATCACTTTCAAACAGAGGTCGAACCCATTACCATCTAGATTCATGAATACATGAATTCTTTATTGATTTCTGTTGCATGTTTATTGTTGTCACGACGAATCTGTTCGATTTATCCCTCAAATCGTTTAAAATTAAGAATAAATATAACTTATGCACAGTTTATATCATCTTTGACAAACTGCCAAGCTCGAAAACGACGCAAACATCAGAGTTATTTAGAGAGGAAAGGACCAATCTATTAGCGTTTATAGCATTACAAATATTTGTGGTATAAACACAATGTAGTTTAGTCTCATATATTGTTAGTTAGCAGCTTGGATACCTTTTTTAAGCAGTGATTCAAGGTTCTAACTCCGTTTTACCTGCTTTGAGTTGAACAACCAATTAGTTTTATCAATAACCCTTACAATTAAAGTATGGTTTAAAGCTATACACATAAATCTATACTTGATAAGTTGATTAACTGTTTGATAGCATGCATAATATCATACAAATGTAGTAAATCCTGACCTTAACTGTATTGTTTTGTTTATCTCATTTCTATCCCCTCTTTCTCTTTTTGTTTTTATTTGTTCTACAGACATCTTTTATTCATTTAAATGATTATGATGAACGTGTAAAACAAGTTGATAAGTATAAAAATAATTTAGAAACTTTAATAGCTCCAAAATTAATTCAATCATTTGATGATTTAAGTGTATTCATGATGTCAATGAATACATTAATGTTAACTAATGACAATTACAATTATGCTAATGTCGATAGCAATAATAATAATGATAGATTAGAAACAACTACAATGTATCATCAAAATGATCATTTAAAATTAACTTCACATTTAATTAATTTATTATGTCGAATTGGACGTGAAAATTCAGCTAGAAAATATTATACTACTTGGTTAAAAGTAAGTAGTATGTTATGTTTATCTTTTAAATAGTAGATTTCGTCGCATAGTTTCACTATTTTTTTGTATTGTATAATTGAGATTGAAAATAATATAGTATTCATGTCTGTAAGGCTTGATTTCCTACAGATACTGTTCTAAACTAATCCTCAGAATATCGAACACCGACGGTTAGCTTAGCCAATATCCAGAACAATTAAGCTATTTGTTTCGATCAATTTTAATGTTGAAAATGTGTAGATTATTGAATACCATTTCTGTATTTTAAACTTAACATTGTCATCTTGATGGCGCTCTTAGCTTTCTTCCAGTCTATCCCTACACCAGCCATCAACGTCCGTTCAGCTAATCAATATTTGAGCATGTGTAACATATCCTAACCACCTTATCGATCGATTCTCATGTTTACCTAATACTCTATACCCAACCTCAGCATTTCTCACTCATCATGATTTATAAAACTTCCAAAATAATCAGAGCATTAAAGTAGAGGTTGTATTTATTTGACACACTTAACGACTTTTCTCCTTAGCATTAATTCAGGTGCTGATTCAGAGTAACCGTGAAGTAACATTTCGCATTCAAAAAGAGAAAATTGCATTCCGTTTATTCCTAGAGTTTTATTTAAGGCAACCAGAAAACTTTGTACTTTCTTAGCACCGCCACCAAACAAAACCATATCGTATCGTAAGTTTCCTGGTTGATCGACTCCTGATAAGTCCGATAATGAGAGTATCTTGTTCAAATGAATATCTATGACAAAGTTAAATAAAATTGCGGACAATGAAGAACCCTGGTGATAATAATAATAATAATAAAACTATAAACTTAAGCAAAAGTTAAGGATTAGTGTATTTATGCAGCTACAGTTAAATTTGAATTAAAAACACCAGTTTGTGCAACGAAGTATTTTGTCGTTTAATTAGTTCCTCATCGAGTCTTTGCACTAATATGCTTAGATTTTACAGTTAAGGATAGAATCGTTATCGAATAAACGATGGTTAGTCAATTCAACTATGTTTTTATCTAGAAACGGTAATCAGTTAGAAATTCAACAGATATAAAATTAGATCAAAAGATGCGTTTACTTAATCGGTGAATTATGATAAACCGTTGCGTAAAAATTAACAAAGTTTAAAATCAAGCAATATACTGTTATTTGTAAAAACTAGTAGTATATAATTAATAAGAACAAGTGTGAAGAAAATAAGTAATCATATAATTGAGATGGATAGATGACATAAAATGAGGTTATCAATTAACATTGTATATAATTGAGATTTTTTGAGCAAAGTAATAACTTGAGTGAAGATCGTAGTAAATTAAGAATTTGAAAAGACTTCTCTTTTTTACACAAAGATTAGGTTCACTTATGTATTTATACCTGTGATTCTTGTGATATGTAAGAGGCAAAGTTCAATGGAATTCGAAGTTGCTTCGATATGATGACCACTGTTTAATAAATGAACCAAAACAGTGCTTGTTTTCTTTTTTTTGTTTGATCAACCAGGTGGAGTGATGTTCATAAATATCATGATAGTACTTGTATGGTTGTACGTCAAGTATAATAGCTGGCTCCAAAAGAATAGATAAACTGGTAAATATACACAGAAGCCATGAAACTAGGCAGTTTGTCCTTATTTTAGGGACTCAGTAATGCATGACTAAAGAAAGTAGGACATAATCTAGCCGTGTTAAATGTTTGTACGTAGATTTCACCTGATGACATAGGTTATAATGTAAAAAGGTTAGGGCTAAGTTTTTCATCACGAACTTACATCATCTGTGATGCAATGCTTTGTTATTCTTCTGTTTATAAACTTAGGAAACTTATAGTTGAGATTCAGGGTAATAGATAGAAAGTGTGAATATTATCTAGCCCCACTGAACATTCTTGACTACGCACAATCTTCCATAGAAGCAGTTGTTTTGAGCAACTTTGATTAACCACCATCTTAAATTCACTTTTCGATTGCATAATAAGTTTTTTAATATTGATTTCAATACTTTTAAGAATCAACTATAGCCAGTTTTCACTTGGTTAATAATAACACTCATGATATCTATCACTGCACCTCAGATTTTGCGCAAAGTACATGAAGTGTTGTCTGAATACTTATTGGTTAACTCAAGACTACTTTTATCATCGTTGTATTTCCGCCATTTTTTTAGTTCATCTCTACGGTTGGTATAACGGATTGTTGAAAATATTCGTTTTTTCTCTTTATGGTATACTACGAAAATACGTTAATACGATAGTAAGTCTAGTCAGATCCAGGATTCACTACTAAGAATTGAGAACCGGATTAACATTAGATAATACTTCATTCAACACAATTACAAGCAGCTACATTCTCTGAATCCAGAGTATAAATCAATGACAGGAAGAGAAATCACATTTTATAAACAGTACGTCAAAGACCTGTTTGTCCACGCTCGGTGAACAGTTATATTTCATTCAGCCCCCAAATTCCCTGGTACGGCTGAGCGTGGGGAGAGTCCACTCTCCCTCTCGAAATGCTCTCACATATGTACTCGGTGCCCCTTTGTACCAATATTTATGTGTTTAAATAAATAAAAATATATCACTCTCTACCACATATTAATGGTATAGTCTTACTTAGTCATTTTTAATTAAATAATATTTATTATTATTGTTATTATAAACCTAAAGGAACAAGTGGTCGGCTTTTGGGATCGTAGTGCTTGTCAAACAGTAGAAAATACTACAACTGATAAATCGGACTCTTTGACAATGATGGTGGTGGTATTACCTGTCATTATACAAAAATTATCCTCTTATCAATCGAAGATATTTACATATAAAGAACGACAAAAATTAAATTGTTTGCCAATATTCCCTAACACCGAAGTGAATTCTGATCAGTTGATGAATTCACCAATGATCAATAATATCATATATTTCTACGCTTTATTGATATGCTTTTTTAAAGGACAGGTCAGTTTATGAGAATTAAAAATAATTTTTTACTTGTTAACATTAATTGGCATCATTTATATAATTAGTGTTATTAGTACAAGTGGAGGATTTTGTGAAGTTTGTTGTGTGGTGAAAACTACTAACAAGATTGTGTGTAAGTAGTATGTAGTTGAAATTGATATGGGAGCTGATACAGTTAACAGACGGAGAGAAAAGTTTCAGTAAACAATTGTTCACTTCTGCCCAGTGCTTTGTGCTACTTCTGATGTCGCTGCCAGGATAACTATAATCTTGGCTGTCTGGGACTTCTTGTTAATACGTAAGCCAAGTTCCTTTGATCACCTCAGGACCACGTTTCTTTCGTGTGGTCTTTCTCTGTTTGTCTGTACACTACTAGATTATCTCCGTATACCTCGACCCTCTATCAAATTTCGAAGTAATGAGATCATCAGTCTTCTAAAAGTAGGAGGCGCGTCTATCGGTCCAAATGGCGTTCGTTTAAACTGGTATTGTCTGTGGTCTACACCAAAGGCCGTCTTGTATCTGTCGCGCTTGCTTATATTAGAAATTGTCAATATCCTGACCGGAGGTCTAATATAGTAAACACTTTGGCTTACTGAAGATGGTCCAAAGTTTCCATCACTGTGGGAATTGTACACGTTCTCAGTTCAGTAATGCTGTTCACTTCCCTGTGACGGTTTGCGGAAATTGTTGAATATTATTGAGAAAATGTCTCATTTGAAGTTAGACAACTATTGGAAACCTGGGAGCACTGGACAACTGTTTCATTCAAGTGTGGGACTTATCAGCAGTGTGCATTTATGAGTTAGGCATGTAATCTAATGGTTTGAAGATTAAACCATCAACACGAGTCCTGGAAGTCATGGGTTCAATACTCAGAAGAGTTATAATTGAGCACTGCTAAGAGGTTCCACACTAGAACGAAATACCTGTCCAGTGCTTTCTTGTACTTAGTGTCTACTCAACTTAGACCAGTTTGTGATCAAATTAATAACTACTGATGAATTTGGTTAGAGGATGTCACCAATGTACATATATTCATTAAACATGATAGTAGTACTATGTTGATTTTAACAGTAGAAAGTTGTTTATTAGCCATATTTGAAAAAAACATTGTATCTATTTAGGTTTCATTGTTTCTAATAGTATTTTCCTTATATGACGAGTCTACCAAACTCCTGGTTAATTATAATAGTGCCAGGTAAATTTTCGCTGTCATTTTAAGGAAGTCAAATTCAGGCCCTGCCATTTATTGTAGTTTTACTGTTACAGTTGTGGAATTGTTTTGTGAACGGTTGACGAACAATCTTATGTAACCGAAAGATTACGTTCTGATATTGATGTTAGCGTAATTAACGCAAACTGCCACACACTGGAACATCAACTACAAAACTGGAAAGTAACTTGAATTTCGCAGAATCCAGAATTACTCTGTGATCAAAGAAAATGATACACTGGTGCATATGACTTAAATATATACTTATATAAAATAGATGAAATGTGACTAACAGTAGAATCCAGGACGCGTCTTTTATCATATTTGTGACTCATCAACTGCATTTATTTGCACTTTAGACTTGACATCCACTCTGATGTTCAAATCAGCACTTTGCGCTTCAAATAACAATACGTTATCCACTGAGTGCCTATCAGCACTCATTTATACAACAAGTATGAATTTTTATTTAGTTTGTAATGGTTTAAATTATTCTGTTAATATTTCTAACTGAAATTCGACCAGTCACTGTTAACATATTTAGATCAATTCTGGGATGCAAGTATATCTACCTGATGAGTCTTAAATAGGACAAAACACTTACCTTTTATCCCACTACTACTGTAAAATCATAAATAAATTGTAACATGATATTACATAAAACAATTTTTTGTTTTGTTGTTTGTTTGTCTATTGTAGTTAAATGCAAGTTTAATTTTTCACTGTCAAGTAGATCAACCTAACTGTAATCATCATCATCATGAAGAACAACACCAACAAAAGTCAGAGCATCTTTTTCCTATTGAGTTACTTATGGATTTTACCGATTCATTAAAGTCATTTAAGCCATTTCAAATATTTACCAATTCTATAGTGAATTATCAACTAATTGGATGTTTATTTCGTGTATGTTGGTTTTATTATTTTTGTATGTGTTATTTATAGATATTTAATAGTGTTTGGAAAAAATCAATAGATATCCCTGTCCAGTGCATCCGGGTTCCCAATGGTGGTCTAACATCAATCGGTCCATAATCTCAGTCAAAAACTTAATAATATTCACAACCCCATATACTAGTAGATAACTCTGAAGTTAGATTTCATAATGGTTAACCTGTAATAGGACTTCAGATGTTTTGTCTTCTGTGAGTAGATAGTACTTATTTCTTGTCTCTCAGTATAATAGCTAGAAATATTATCTGTGAAATGTATTACGGGGCTATCGGTCAGTGAATTTAATGATTGTTCAATAGAGATGTGTTAGTGGGTGCAAACTATATTCTAGTTGGTTTCCCGCATGATTACTATAACCAAAAGTTGTTTTAGGTGTGTGATGTCTCACAAGCGGTCACAATGATCCAGATGCATTCACTCTTTATTTCCCCTCAAATATTGAATCTCAAAATTATCTTATCCTATTTATTCTGGAATCATATTGTCTGTTTATATGGTCTTTTCTACTACAACAACTGTTAATATTACGACTTCTACTACTCTGATATTTGTCTTAATCTCATCGCACTGTGTTGATATAGTTTGGCGACTTGGAATGATTCACATCTATTTAAGGTTCTACTATGCTTATGACTAATTGAACTGTATTCATTGGAACGTTATCTGGTCTCTGACATGTTTACTGTATTTGTGTATCGGATAACCAAAATGGGAAGAAACTTCTGTTAACGAGACTATATTTTAGGGATGAATCAATGAAATTAAGGATAACTAGTGTTGATTTTTGGCGCATAATTCATTCATTTATATAGCTAAATAAAATTCTGGCATTATAACTTATGTCAGTTCGTGGTGAAAATCTTTATTTTAATTTTTAAACCTAAATTTTAGCTCTGAATCTTATTCCTAATTCATAACCTTCTTTTGACCTTAGTAAGTAGGTGACTTATCTCAAGGTCACTTTGGCGTTGCTTAAATGTTGTCCATAAATTATAGTATGACCCTTCTGTTTTCCCATTTTCCATAGAAAAATAAACTTTTTGAAATAGGTGAACATCCGTAGGTTGGGAGGAAATCTCAGGATTGCTTAATTATTATTAAAATGCTCAAGTCTCACTAATAACGAGGTAACCACAAGTGCTTTCTTACTGAACTTTTCGCATGACATTTGCTCGTCTTCTAGTTGGCTACTATTTGAAGGTCATGCATTGGTTATGTTTATACTGAGTTATTCGTCTTGAATACTAAGTTTTTCCTACACCATATCTTTTATGTTAACAACTAAATGTTGATATCAGTCAGTCAGTCAGCTGCAACGTAGGACCAGGCACGTATATGCATCGGTCCAAGTTGCCATACCGCATTAGCACAACAAGATGAACACCGGATTCATAGAAGTAGTTAATTCAGTGGTGGTAATATATAGAAGAAAGAGTGTGTATAAGGATATAGTGCAAGAAGATAGAATTAGTTCCTAGAAAGAAAGATATGAAGTGATTTTAATCTCTTAGTTTAAAGGAAGACAGAGAGTGTATACACCTACGCCATTGTGATCGATTCTGAGCCATGTCACCAAGAGTCTCCAACCATTGGTTACGATAGTCACGCGGACCCCAACCAGGCAGTCTGCATCTACCAACATGGCTCAGACCAGAAGTTAGTGACTTCAAGCACTGATGCCACGTTTTGGTTTGGCCGCCCCTAACTTTCTTCCAAACATCCCTAACACCGGTTAGCATTGCGCGTCGTGGTAATCGGTGTTCAGGCATACGCAGCACGTGGCCCAACCATCTCAGTCGATGAAGGTTCATAACATCATCAACTGATTTACCATCATTCCCTAATACCCTGCGTCTAACCTCACTATTACTTACCCGGTGATCCCAGCAGATACCCGCAATATTTCTAAGGCACCTGTGGTCAAATACTAGTAACTTACGAATATCTTCTACTCTTAAAGGCCATGTTTCGCAGCCGTATAGTAGAACGGAACGAAATGCCGCGCAGTGTACTCGTCCCTTGATTGATAGACGGATATCTCGCCTTCGCCATAGATGACGTAAGTTGGCAAAGGCCAAGCGAGCTTTTCGAATCCGTGCTGAGATTTCGTCAGACACCAACCCATTAGGGCTGATCAGACTTCCAAGATAAGTGAAGTTGTCAACGCGTTCGATTACTTCACCCCCTATCCTTAGTTCAGGTGTTGACGCAGACCAGTCCTGAAGCAACAACTTGCATTTAGAGGGAGAGAAGCGCATCCCAAACATTCTGGCATTGTTTCTCAGTGCTACCAAAAGACTCTGCATTTCATCAGCGTCTTCACCAAACAGGACTATGTCATCTGCGTATTCTAAGTCAATAAATGGACCTCCTGGTAGGAGATCAATGCCGTAGAATTCAGTCGATGAGAGCGTTATTTCCATCAGTAGATCTATGATGAAGTTGAACAAAAATGGAGAAAGTGGACAGCCTTGGTGGACGCCACTTGAGGTTGCAAAATCAGATGACAGTTCGCCATAAGCTCTCACTCGACTAGTAGTGTTCGAGTAAAGAGCCTTCACAAGGTTTATGTACTTCTGAGGTACGCCTTTCAATGACAGGCACTGCCACAGAACCTCTCGGTCAACAGAGTCAAACACTGCTTTTAAGTCAAGGAATACCACCATTGTCGGACGCCTATAAGTATGTCTGTGTTCTAGAACCTGACGAATGGTAAATATGTGGTCGATGCAGCCACGACCAGGTCTGGAGCCAGCCTGATTTTCACGTGTTTGTAGCTCACGAGTCTTAGTTAGGCGTCCGAAAATTATCGAAGCTAGTATTTTAGATACTATATTAGTTAAACTAATCCCTCCATGAATGTCACAGGATGATTTTGACCCTTTCTTAAATATTGGGACGATAAGTGATTGCGACCAGTTAGATGGGATGACGTCTAACTCCCAGATTTTAGCTAAAATATTAGTCAACCTAATCGCTAAAACTAGACCACCATCCTTAAAGACCTCTAGGGCCAATCCATCTGGACCAGCTGCCCTTCCTCGTTTCAGATTAGCTATAGCCTTTTGAACTTCAGCTTGAGTTGGGGGACCTACTTCAATGTTCCATTCACACTGTCTGGGAATAGAGGGTAGTTGTAGAGTAGCTGAAGGCCAACTGAATTGCTCCTTAAAATGTTCCGCCCATCGTTCTAAACGTCTGGACTGGGAGCAGATGAGAGTGTCGTCTTTTTCCGAAATAGTCTGACTTACACTTGATTTATTAATTCCAGTTTCTTTTATTAATCTGTAGAGTTGTGTTGTGTTCCCTATAACCGCCACCTTTTCCATCTCTTTTGCTTTCGTTGCCCACCACTGCTCACGATCATTCCTTAGACTTTTGCTTAACCTAGATCTGATTTGTTTATGCTCTTCATCGTGTTCAGAACCTAATGGGATGAGTTTACGAGAATCTATCAGTGCAATAGACCTTGAAGAAATCCATTGGTTCTTTGTAACCCTGTGGTTTAAATCACTAGTAGATGTCACTGCTGTTTCCACAGCTGCTTGTATGTCATTCCAGTCAACATCGGGGTCAGCCTCGTTTTCAGAACTACCTAAGTGTGACCTCAGTTGTTCCTGAAACCTACTTTTGGCTTTCTCATTACTCAATTCGGTTCTAATGAGTCTTTTTTGTGTGGCTCTTTTGCGTCCAGTGAGGCGCAAACAGATGCGTGCTCGTATTAGGGCATGGTCGGAGTCCAAGCAGGTACTCCAGAATGAGTGACAATCTTCTATCGACCCTCTCCAACGATGACTGATGGCAATATGGTCTATTTGAGTCCATCGTTGGTTTGGTGCAGGGGGTCGCCATGTTAGACGATGTCTCTCCATATGCTTAAATTTTGTGCTTGCTAAAAATAAACGATTGTCTGAGCACAGTTGCAGCAGACGATCACCATTATCTGTTCGCTGTGCCGGAATACTAAAATACCCACCTAAATGTCTTTCTGTTTGGTGTAAGCTACCTACCTGGGCATTAAAGTCGCCTGCTACGAGTACTATGTCTGAACATTTAGCTTTCTGAAGAAGTTCAGACAGCTTTCTTTAAAATTCGTCTTTCACTTCATCCGAACTGCAGTCAGTGGGAGCGTAGGCAGAAACGACGAAAAGGCAACGACGTTTGTCCCTACCCTTCCGAGTTCTTACGGAGCCGTTTAGCCGAACAGCGCATAGACGACTGTTAACGGGGATCCACTCTAATAGCGCTTGTTCCGCCCTCATGCTAAGTGCTATGCCTACACCTGCCAGTCCACGAGAACTAGCCATCGGGTCGCCAGATACACGGAGGGTGTATCTCGTTGGCTCTCCGTTTTGCCGAGGTGAGGTCAAGTGAATGACCACACTAGGATCCTGTATGCGTGTTTCGGAGACAACATACATCAATCGTACGAGATTCTAAGGTTTTAACCAAGGAAGCCTGCTGACCGATTTGGCATAGTGTGCGTACGTTGAAGGCTCCAATGTGTAGTTTGGAGCGAGGTTTCAGTAGACCTGGGACAGTGTTTTGCGCACTAGAATCGTTAGCTATGGTGACACTTGAGGAGGAAACCAAAAAAGGAAGTTTAGTGTAGAAAGTCGATGTAGGAGGAATAATAGGAATTGAAGAGGTAGGTTGATTATGAATACAGTGGTCTTGAGTGCTGTTAGAGGTATGAGGGCAATTATCACTTCCCGGTTGCCCACACCGTGGAAGGGTTCTTCTGGAGGTACCTGAAAAGAAAATTGGATTAGAAGTGGTCATAGTGACCTGAGAGCGTGACCGCAGTGCCCAAGGGACAGCTGCTTGAGGTCGGTCACACACGACCTTTTTATGAGTAATTTTTGTGTTAGCTCCGTACTTGTTGAGACCTTACCGCCGGAGACGGATATCCGTGGGATAAGGCGAGGTGTGCATTTTTAGGGTCGACCTTTTCTAACCCCACCCCTCTTTGTGGGAAGGCAGCATCGCTGTTATGCTGGTTGTCTGAAGGAAACACCTTACTGCTGTCACACCTCTGTACAGTCAGCAGTACGACTTCGCCTTCGGACCTTGGTTTTGTTGCTTTTAGTCTTACCGCTCTTCAACCGACCTGTCTGGCATGGTAGGACCTTGAGGAAAGGTTGTTCCAGCCAGTATAGCTTAGTTGCTTCATCACGATAGGCAAGCTTGACCACCACGTCAAGGTAGCAACAACGGTCAGGAAATGTTGATGTATTGTAAGCCTTCTTCAGTAGGACTGTTCGTATTAAAATATATTAGCCGTCCCTTAATTTTTATGTATCTCGGGTCAGATTTTTTCTAGAGAAAAATATCAATCATATATTTTTACATTTATTTTATTTCCACAGGTAACTGTCGGATGCTTACAGTATTTTGAAGAATTACTAATTCCTTTTTATTCAGGTAACTAATTTTATTGTCTTTAATCGACTGATCACTGGGCAGTGACCAATGTTTATGTGTGTCATATTCTTCTTAGTGCTAATCGAATTAAGTCGATGCAGTTGCAATTTGGTCACTAATCTAAGTGAGAAGACATCCCATGCACTATGTTGTTGAGATGTAAGCTTATGGTTAGAAGTAGCTGACAGGAAATCCTTCTCTACCTAAGTTCCGATCTACTTGGAACTCATCAACATAGTGCACCTGTAATCTTGAGGAAACTGATTCTCCTTGGCGGATTCGATCCCGTGTCACCTAGCTTCATAGTCAAAGATGCTATCACTGAGCTGTTCAGGTGCTGGCTGATCTGCTGTATGAATAAGATATATTTATAATTGGTTGGTTGATCACTGAGTAGTGACCAATGTCATGTATTTCAAGTCCTTTGTATTGTTGATTGGATCCTGCCGATCATTATGCTCTATGATTCATAGGAAAATACACCTAACTGTCAGTTGTTACTGTTCATGATCGTATATATATTCGTTTGAATAAACACCAACTAGCTGTCAAGCACCATGATGTATCTTCGCTTACATTAATAAACATTAACAATTAGGAAACATATATTCAACTGGGAAAAGTCCTAGATTTTCCATAGAGTGGATACTAAAAAGAACGGTTAAGTTTTAGAAGCTTAACACTAAGGTCGGTTAACAATCAATAAATACATTAAACTCGATTCAATTTATCAACCAACTGGGAATAGCATGCCCAATTATAAGGTAAAAAATCTAGTCAGAGGAGATGACAGTCATAATAAATAGATAAACAACGGCAAAATAGTGGTCGATGACAACCAGTCAAGATCGGCATCGTCAGAACAGGTTGTTAGTTGTGTCTGAACAATTTGTTATTCTGACTTTCATCTCAGGCATACACAGATGATATTGTTCAGAAGTATTAAATCATTCAGCTTAGAAAATGAAGCTTCACTTAAGCCGAAAATTTTCTAAAATATCTCAAAGACAATTGTAACTTTATAATAAAACTATACAACTCCAAAGACTCACTGCCTTCTTGCGGCAGGAGTATTGTTTACGAAATTGAGAGGACGAAAAGCGAATGTCAAACGCTTTTAACCGGGTTGGCGGATATGGAGGATCCAACTAGGAAAGTTGGTAAGCTCTAACTCCAAACCGAAGGTGCATGTGGACTCCATGATCCTAAGAAAAGAAATGGTGTATGAACCTATTGTTAATCACCGATTACCATGGGACTGCATCTTCTAGCGTTGCTCCACTGCCTTGTGGATTAGACCCCTAGTTCAAGAGCTCGGGTATTAACTTCTTAAGAAAACTATCTGCTTCAGTTTAGGCACCCAAGCAGTATTCCAGCCCTCAGACAAATCGAATAATTTGTGTGGCGCATACATATTTTGATGCCTCCTTGTACCAATGTTTATGTGTTTAAGTGGAGACTTACGTACTTACTTACGCCTGTTACTCCTCGTAAAGGAGCATAGGTCGCTCACCAGCATTCTCCATCCAACCCTCTCCTGGATAAATAAAGATGTATTACACCTTCAAAATAATTTAGATCTGATTTAACATGAGCATTCTTATTAATACCAGTAACAATCTTAATAATTACTTTAATTTCTTTTTCAGATATGATAAACAGAAAGGTTTGTTCCAAAGATAAAACAACCTTATTAAGAATAAATAACAATAATATTGATTATAATCAGGATAATATTGACAATTCAAATTCTGTTGACAATTTTAAATTGGCTTTTATTCAATTAATTCAAGTATTTATTCATCCATTTATAAATTTACCAGAATTATTCAGTAATTATATACATAAACAATTTGATTATAAACGAAATGAATTAAATATTGTAAGTTATATTTGTATTTGTTTTCTCTATCTATCTATCTTTCTTTCTTTCTCCTTTTATGTATCCCTCTCATAGTTTTGATTATTTAAAATTAATTTCCAAGATGAGTATTTTTAGAAGTCGTAGTAATTTTAACAGTTGAATTCATGAGTTAATTGAAGCTAGATCATCATGGAAAACCTGGAAGCACTGGACGGCTGTTTCACCCTAGTATGGAACTCCTTAGCAGTACGCATCTACGATCCTGCGCACGGGACTCGAACCCAGGATCTTCGGTCTCGCTTGCGAACGCTTAACCTTTAGACCACTGAGCTGTGATTCAAAGGTATTAATATCTAACTTTAATCGATCCACGATAATGCGCAAGCATCTTGTATTGTCTTCAATGGGTAACACAGTCGAACTCCACTGGTCATGGCTTCTGATCAGAACTCTTGAATTTAATCAGTTCATGATCTTAATTAAAACTCAACAATCACCACAACCCTATATTAATAAAATATAATTGCCCTTATATGACATCACATTAGTTCTGGTAGAATTCTCATTACACCATCTAAATATTTTAATCTGTTTTGATTGACTAGTTAACCTGCTTTAGGTAAACAGTAAGTTCGAACACCGTTCTACCTACTACATTTTGAGTGACCGGTTAGTATCATTAGCCCTTAACACCTAGAGTATAATTCATATATCCAAATACCTAGTGAACGTGTGGACTTATGAATAACAATATCTTGTAGAAAGATGATCAAAAGTCTTTTTTTCAATCTCACATTTTACATTTATTAAATACTGTATAATAATGATAATTCTATATACATTTAGACAGTTGGTAATAATAATCCATCAGATGTTTTGGATAAATTGAACAAAGATGTTGTAATACAATCAATTTCGCTCTTCTATGATACAATTCATTTGTGTTTTCAAGAGACTGGTGCAATAGGGATTCCTTTCATATTAGATATTATTCAAGTAAGTGATTATCGGATGTTATTTTGTTGTCATTGTTATTGCTTTTTTTATTACTATAATCATTTTTCTTCGAAAAAATATGGTTCATTTCTACTAAAGCGATCTACAAGATTACTTCATTTTTGTTATTATCATGTTAAAGTCTTTGCTTTTTCCTAAATCAGTTCTTCGCGTAACCTTTGGCCTTTATTATGATTGGTTGTCACTACTTTTAATCCTCCAATTTTCTGTACGATTCAGGAACATACTTTCGTTATTATACATACTGAATTGTACTATTTCATGTTGTTCTATTCGAATATTGAGTTATTCCTACACTTCATCTCTTTCAATGTTAAGTGATAATTGTGGACTTGTTGTGTGTCAACTGAGGTAGGAATGTTTGTATTAGAATGTCTCAGTCGTTTCTGAATTTGTAATTGTTGTAGGCTAACCAGAATCTCTAATACATAGTCATTCTTACCAAGACGTAACAGTTTCCTTATGACATCATATATATACCTAAAATCAAGAGTTGATAATATTCATTTTCCTAATTTATATTTTCACATAATTTTTTTCTGATTGATTGTTTTCATTTGGCATTGATGACTACTCAGTGACATATCAATAAAAGTACCTCAGTCCTTCAGGACGTTTAGTCACGAGCTGTATAAATCAATGGCGGCATAGCAGACTGTGTGACTGAAATACTCATCAGGGAACACCGGTGTTTTCAAAATTACACACACACCTTGTTGAGTACCAGCTGATAAAAAAGATCTAGGCTTTCTTGTCGACTACTTACCACCAACCATCTTAACGTCAATACATCACTTCTCATCACAGTCAGAAAATTCCACATTTGCAAATGAATAAATAAATGAAGTTAGAGCACATATTAATGTTATATCCCAACAAAGACTAAAGAAATAGTAACCTTCAGAACTGATTTATGGACTGTTATTATATTTATATTCCAATTGTATAGTTAATAAAACACTATATTATATGTATTGATATTCTTTTTATCATAAGTTTTCGACTGACCAATTAACCACTATGATACGACTTACTATTCTTACTTTATTTACAGTCTCCCTTAATCACAATACCTATCGTCTTGATCTTGTATAATTGTTGTTTTCTATTTTTTATGATATGATACTATCTGGTCTGCTTGGTTTTGTGTTCTTTTCCTCTTCGTTTGGGGCTAGTTAGTATTAAGTCATAGATTAGCAGTCTTCTTCGTCCTTGTTGCCTATTGTTTGCTTAAAGTCATCTATTCGTATTGGTCGGTGCTAGAAAATAACAATGGACTCAAAATATCAATCGATTTATTATCGTTTCTTGTTTTTTTTTGTATGTACGGTTTGATTTATTCAGAGTTATTGGGATTCATTAATTGCTAATTGGATAATATGGAATACATGGATTGAAAAACAATTAATGAAAACTGACATGGAATTAAATTATCATCAGGCTTATGGTTTTATGTGGATATTAAAATTTGCTCATTTAACAGGTAAATTAATTTTTATAGAAAATGAGGAATAAAAAATAATTGTTTTTAAGCAAAAATGGATAGTGGCTAGCAGTGGAATCCAGGACGCGCGTTTCGTCAGCTGGATGTACCTGCATCCCAGAGTTGATGTTCACTCCGAGACTCGAATCCAGTACTGTTCGCTTCAAACGACATTACGTTATCCACTTACCTACTGAGTCCTGATAGTCACCTGCTTGTGCAATGGGGTGAAGTTTAAATTCAATTGTTGTTGTCTTACTTGTATCTTCCCACTGTTGTTTAGGACTGCAGTTGATTAGCCTCTTGTTTTAGGATGAATCGCGCGTCTTGGATTCCACTGCTAGCCACTATCCATCTTTGCTTAGAAAGCTTGTGACTTGAGGCTATATCGAGGCAATCCGCACAGAATGCGCATATGCCAACAAGAGGCTGATCAATTGCAGTCCTAAACAACAATGGCAAGATATAAGTAAAACAACGCCAACTGAATCTAAAATAACTTTTTTTCACAATATGCTACTACAATACGATAATTTAATCAATCGATGACCTGTGGTTAAACAGTTACCATTAAATTGGATATTCAATCTATATGTTGTACACAGACTGAATCATGTCATACAGGAGTTTATGACGTTAAACAACACTTTATCCAACATAATTATAAGCTGTTTTACTCAGTGAATTCAAAGTAAAAATCATTGATAAGAATGAAATCATAGGTAGTTAACGATCTGTGTATGTCAGCGGGTGTTCAACTACCGATCATTATTATTTCTTACAGCTTATATTACACCTGCAGGTTGGTAGACAGTGCTTCATCATAGGAATAGGCTTCTTGTTGACTACCTCCAATCACCTTACATTACATAGGATGTCGATCCACTTATACTAGTGGTGGCCACATTAAAATGATTAATAGAGTACGATCAGCACTATCCACTGGGATCGAAAATAAACAGAATGTACGACAACACAAAAGTGTCGATAATGTCAACCTTGCATCTAAAAGAGGAAATGAAAGGCTATTGTCACTTGAATAATACACATTAATACATTTTCACACACATGAACACATAAACATAGAAAAATAAAGGATGTTACAATCCAATCTTTATTCACTTATATTTTGCTAACAACTTTCACACTCAGAATTCATCGTTCAAGTGTTGTGTTTTCTTGTTGTATCGCGTAGACATGAAATGCTTTGTGAAATCCCAACAACAGTCTTTCTTTTATTTTTTTCGAATAGGGGAATTAGCTTCACAATCTGACATTTTCGTGGAATATGTCATGTCTAAATGTTCTGATTGGTTATCGTTTGTTCTTAATTCGACTGATAAGTAAGTTGATAAACTTTACAAAAAAGTTTCTATCATTATTACAAATAATTCAAATTATCCTGTTGTTACTAATCCTGACTTTGTTTAAGAGATAGTGGAGTAGATTTGTAGCTCAGGTGGATGATTTTTGGTGAAGTTTTGTCCTCTGAGCTGGATGGTTTGGTCGTGGAGCTTTCATTGTTTTTTCTGAACAATATCATCAGCACAAACTTCAGGTAGAAATGGAGTGTTCGAATTTCTCCACATATGACTCTCAGCTTATCCTGTAGACCTTGATTTTGACTGGTTACTGTCGACCTTTAACCTGTCACTGTCTAATTCTTTATTCTGATTGTATCTCCCATTGATTTGATTCTTAGTCCTATATTTATCCATAATTTTTCTGATTGGTTGATAGATTGTGTACTTACCTAATGTTGGACTAAAATAAAAGTAGATTTTTAAAAAAATCTACGAGTAAATAGACCATGAGATATGAGATTAACTTATGAAGTCCTTGACTGTTAGTTTAAACTGTTTCGGTCGGTGTAGACTATCAATCGATTGAGGTTTGAAGGAGCAGTTGTTAAAGACCTTGAATAGTGTATCTTTGTGTTCACTGTTTATCATATTCATTATAATTTGAGTTATATTATTCACGAATTTTTTTATTCCACGAATTCATTCCTTGTGTTTCATTGAACTAATATTTGAACTCTCACTCAATATGTTGGTTCTACTGTCTTTTTATTCGACCATTTCGCTCCTGATCTTGTAGATTTTTCTTGCTATGTTGTGGTGTCTCATAACAACTCAAAGCAAAATACATTTATAACATATCCTATTTAGATTATAACTGGACGAATTTAGTTTGGACAGCCGGTGTAGTGTCATAAGCCTTTACACAAACAGTGCAACTTAAAGCCCCAAGTCCGTAAACGTGCACTTGGTGTCAGTTAAAAAGCGCCATTTTGTTTCAACGTTACGTTATAACACCTTCCGTATAAATTCACTCATCCATGTGATTTACTGACTTTAATAACTCAGACAGCATATGACTATCGAGTTATTTTCACCGTCCTAATAACTTTGTTCTGTTCATAGTAGATTGTATCCGTCAGTATATATGTAGTGGACAAGACTTGGTAGAATTAACCAGTTCATTGTTTAGTGCAAAAATTATGAAAACCATACACTAAATACATTACTAGTCCCCCTCAAATGCCTTGGTATACCCAAGGGTGGGGAGAGTCAACTCTTCCTCTCGAAATACTCTCATATGTTCAAGCGTATACAGCCACTGACAGGGAAGTCCTACTCACTGCCTTCTTGTGGCGGGGGTGTTGTTTAAGAACTTGAGGGGACGAAAAGCGAATGTCCGGCACTTCAACCGTGTTGATGGATATGGAGGATCTACCTAAAGGAGTTGGAAAATACTGATTCCAAACCAACGGTGCAAATGGGCCACAGTATCCTCATAGAACAAATGGCATGTGAACCAATTATTGGCCACCAGCTATCACAAGACTGCGTCTTCTAGCGTTGCTCCACTACTTTGTGGATTAGACCTCTAGGTCGAAGGTTCAGGTAGTGGTTCCCTAAGAAAGCCATCTGCTTCGGTTTGGGCACTCAGGCAGTATTCCAGCCCTCACATAAATCGAATAATTTGTGTGGCACATGTATATTTTGTGTCTGTGTGTACCAATGGTTGTGTTTAAATAAATACATTACTTGCATATCGTCATTGCTGTTGTTATTTTGGTTTCTTTTAGTTTTCTTTTCTCTTCTCTTCATTTTGATCTTTGCAATCCTCTGCTTGCAGGCATTCCACTTCTGATCGGTACTACATACTACTTATATCTGTTAACATAATTAGCGTACACTACATATATATCTCTTATATTCATGTCCTTGCAATTCTACGCTTATGCATCTAACGTGTGTGTTTGTGCCTGTACACTTATCAATTTATTCACTGTCTTGTCCCATTGTCACACTATGTATATCCTATTTTGAGTAGGCACGCCTGCCTTCGCTATACATCTCTTCATTTCTATGTAGAAAGAAACGCATGAAGTGTAGACATCTGAAACATTCGTATTCGACGTTTTTTATATCCACTTTGTCATTAACGGAATTCGTTGACAGCGTATATTCTGTAAGATCTATATTTCGTCTACATCAATAGATGATTTTATTGTATCGGAATTAGACAATGAGCAATAAAGTGACGAGACCGGTTTGCTAGCATTAAAACGTTTGATATTTTCTTTTATTTTTCACATTTTATATTTCTTTCCAGTATATTAACTAAAGACAGAACAAACATCAACTTCACTACTGATGATGATCAAATAAATATAAATGAAGATAATAATCTTTGTATGCCAACTATATCTGGTTGTGTTTTATATCAGTTAGCTTTAAAACAATCTATCGATTGTCAACAAGCAATTCATTCACTTGCTCATTCGTCTAATTTATTAACTTCATTTAATTCATCAGTTGATTTATTAAATAAATCAAAATCAACCATAGTTAAATCACATTCTAATTTAAATGGAGTGCATAGATCCAGTTCAATGCTTTGTCGTTCTACAATTGGTGTAGTACGTGAAATTGCATTGACACCAATACGTTATTATTTAAAACCTGTACCAGATTTAGATATTTGGTTTACTCATCCAAATAATGGTGAAGAATGTTTACCGGATTTGGCTTATTTACCACAAGATTATATTACAAAAGTAAATTCTAATTATTTATATTATTATTATTATTATTATTATTATTATTATTGTTATTAGTGGTAGTGGTAGTAGTAGTAGTAGTGTGGTGTATGTTACTTATGTCGACGTAAGTAGTGTATAGCACCAGTGAGAAGTTGAATACCTGATAGTAGAAGGTTGGGAAGATCAAATCGAAGAGAATAAGAACAGAGAGTGATTATTATGACAATGAAAGAACGATGAAATTTGAAACAGTTGACGGAGGATTTGCAAATGAAGCATTAAACGTATGGTTTTCACATTTTACCAAATAACTGTAACTTTGTATTAAAGTACAATTGGTCGTCCCTACCTGAGTTCTTGTTCATTGCAGTAATATTAGTGTCATGAAAAATTGCATAATCTCGTGGTAAAATATGAGAACCATACACTGACTACTTCATTTGAAAATTTCCATCATTTGTCCTTCACATTCTGTATGATTTTTCCATGTCACAATTCCTTCATATTTCCGTTTTCGTTTTCTTCATGTAGACCCTCATAGCCTTCTGCTGCCATGCATTCCTCTTCTATCTGATGTTACATACTAGTTATGTCGACAGGCATAAGTAGCATACACCACAATAGTAGAATTGTGGTAATTCCTAAATATAATCTAAAAGCTATTTTCATGAATAACTAGTTTTCAGTATAAGGTTGTGGGAATTATTGAGTTTCATTGAAATTACTAAACGAACAATTTTAGACAACCATTGTAAACCTGGAAGCACTAGATGACGGTTTCGTTCTAATGTGGGTCTCCTTAGCAGCCTGCGAATCCGTGTTTACTGGAGTTCAACAGTGTCGGGTGTAAGTCAATTACTTACCGAAAAAATGGTTTGTACAAGATCGTGGATTGATCGAAGTTCCCTCTTGCGAAGCATGCATTGGTCAAGGTGATAAAGCTAGGCATCATACACCCCTCTGATAGTCCGTGGGGATCGCCGCTCCATATAATACCTAAGAAGAAATCTTCTGAAGTTGGATATTGCGGCGATCATAAACCAACTGCGCTGATGAGATTAACCTCCTAATAAATCGTTATGTCAGACATTATGAGTGAATTCATGTAACTTTAGAAGGAAGTATCCATCTGGTATCGTCTGGCGGTTAAGTGATCTATTGTCACCTCAATGTCTAACACAAGAAGATTTGTTCTTAAGTTGCTTTGTTTGTGAAAGACGGGTGATCTCGAGAAGAAAAGTTTATTCGACAGTAAACTTGCCTCCACCGGTCTGTTTTGGTATTGACATTTGAAAACCGTCCTCTGTCTCAGGAATTCCTCCTAAGACTTAATTTGAGGTGAAACTCTTCACACCTCCATCATTATAGTTGATACTGATCAACTGTTTTCGGATTTGTTATTCCACTGAACCGTTTTGTTTGTGTTGATAATATTGTCTGAAATTGCTAACTAATTTCGTAGTTCAGAATTACTGAGTAATATATTTTGACTGCCTATAAAGCCTGTCTTGAAATGCATTCCGAAAGAAAAAAAGAAGTCTGTTAGAGCTAAGTTGATAGATGAAGAACTTGACTTTCTGAATCATTCTCAGTAACTCGTGAGGTTCACTATCATACAGTTTCATGTCTTAGTTTTAAGATTAGTAATATTAGTCAATGTAGTGATAATGGGCTTTCTAGTGAATCAGTGTGCGCGACTAATTCTTTGAACAAGATCTTCTTCTAGATTTAATGTCCTTCTGTTGTCTGTAAAAACACCTAGGTTAGTATCGACTGTCTTATCCAACTGAAAATATGCTCGCAGAGCAACCCGTCACTCATGTTTTTTTTTTTACTGTGAGTAGTTTTAAATCACATGGCTTCATATTTTTTAGCCTTCAACATCAGAAAATCCTTAATCAAAGTTGGTTGTTTTGTATTCAAGGTTAACCTTTTCTAACCATTTCTTCCGCTATGTGAACGTCCAACTTTCAGTCTTTCCGCTCTCCAACCAACCTATGTGATATGATAGTACCATACAAAATATTAAAAATGTTCCAGATTATGTTGCTCAATTGTTCCGTCAAAATAAATTAGTTTATCCATCTTACCATCTAGATAGCAGCTACGATCAATCTACAATCCCAAATTGTCAACTTGAACAAATCATATTTAACCCTCACTAGCCTGCCTAGTTTCCAGGTGGCTTCCTTCGAAATCTCATTTCAGATATGAAAGTAACTGGGGTGAATAATATTTATCAAATCTATGCGCCTATTATTTTCACTATGTGGGTTACCCAACGCAACTATATATATATATATATATATATATATATATATAATTTGAACCTTTACTAATATTTATAAAACTATCATGCACATTGATTATCTGGACTAATTTGCTCAGCGAATGATCCATCGTAGTTTGCAGTGTATGTCACTGGTTTTGAGTTGCAGGCACATTCAGCTGACAAATGGCATATAGGATCAAACATTTGTCCTCGATTCAATTACTAGTCACAGTCCATTTATTCTATGATTGTCTGCGCTATTTTTCTCTATCTATCTTTTTCATTTTTGCTCACACACATAAACATACAGATTGGTCAATATTTATTCATGCTACCAGCACAATTAGAACCGTATTTATCGTCAATGAACGAGTTGAATCTTGAAGCTCAATTGAACGATCAAACAATCATTCCATCATTGATATCCAGTGTTGATGGTTTAACCCATTGCTTTCAATTAGGTGATTCCGATGTTATTTACTCGATGATGTCGCATAAAATAAATGACCATTCTAAGCACCAACAACATCATTCAGAAGAAGAAGGTAAAGAACAGACTAGTTCAACCCAAACAAAGGCAACAACATCTGCTAGAAAACGTCAATTGAGCAGTAATTTTAATCAACTCAAACAAATGATAATGACTAATGATAATATAAACTCAACGGAAATTTCTTCAGTTTATTGTTGGTTAGAAAATTTAATATCTGTGAATGTATGTGATTTGATTTTAAATGCAATCTTACAAATTGGGTTGAATAAATCTGTAGTTAACTCGTCAGTGACAGCGACTTCAACGACAGCGTCAATGTCCAAAACATCCAAAGCATCGAAATCCAAAAGTGATTCTTTGAAAGAAAACACCTTTGCTCGTGACGCCAATAAAATTGATGACGATGGTGATGATGGTAATGATGACGATAGTGTTGAAGATCAGCTATTACTTACTAAACATGGTTTAAAACAACTGGATGTTGATCTTGGTAAGCTTAAACTTGTATTTTTTATTGGTCAAGCGATCAGATTTAGATTTAGAGTACTAGCTGGAAACGGCAAACCAGTCGACGAGTTTTCTAATCTTCATCGTTCGAGGTGTCTGAACTGTGTATTACATATAGCTAACCACCTGTTACGTTTATGGGCTGTTAACTAGTGTAAGATTAAGTTGTGGTGGTGGTCAAACCAAGACATGACACTAGTTCATAAAGCCAATGATTGTTAATCTGAGCTATGTTAGTAGATGCAGAAAATCTAGTTAGGGTCCGCACAATAACTGGTATTAGTGACTGGAAATGTTTGATGATGTAGCCCTGAATCAATCACAATTGCTCATTTACATTCAAACTTCGTCTTCCTTCAAACTGTGAGATGGAATGAATTAGTAGGTTGTTAAGTAACATAAACAAAGATTAAAACTTGTCAGTCGACCGAATTGGACTGCAAATTCACTTAAATCAAATAATATATACATCAGTGATTTCTAACTTAGAGGATTCCTCCACGGGAACTTATGGTTACGTATTGCTGTGTGAATTCAGAAGTTAGGACAGCATTAACAACTGATTCAAATCATTCTCCAAACAAAATCAGTTCATAATGTAAATTGTTTTACAGATTCGTTTTCAAATTGAAAACTTAATTATATAGCTTCAGTTGGAAATCATTAATTTACCGTTTATCTGCTTCTTATGGTTTATACTTTTCAGGTTATCTGTTTAGCATGCTACATGATTTAGGTGTCAGTGTTCCGTGTAATCTACAGATATTACGCGACTTAATCAATTGTGATGCAGATCAATTTCCTAAATTGTGCGCCGATCGTCCACCGAAAATTGTAAATGCTGTGGCTAATTTTCGTGGTTTTTAATTATTACTTTGTTCTAATAAACGTAGTCTTTTTTACTTGCAAATAAACATATCATTTTTGTTCTTTTTTCAATTCGGTAAACTGTCTATATTGAATTTACCTGTATTCTTTATCTATCCTTGTACTACCAGTTTCTTTGAATAAATAATTCTTCCTTTACAGTAGACATTGACTTCTCTATGTCTCACTAAAATACTCAACATTGAAAGTAAATCATGTGCGTCCCGTTTCCCCGACAAGTTCTAGACTATCTTTGAATTCCTATGTACCTGTGGTTCTTTCTGTTTAGTCTCAATCAAAAAGGATACTAGCATGCTTATGATGTGTGTGTTAGTTTATTGTTAATATAGATTGGAAATTTCCTTATAAATCCAAATGTGTGCCACAATCCACTTTTCCCCGACCCTCATCATCGTACTTTTTAAAATACTACCTTGAAGATGTAAAGCTTTGGAGGAAAGTCGGTAATCGGTTAGAGCCTAGGTGGGATCTAATTATGTAATATTTCTTAAAAGTGCAATTACTTACTTACGCCTATTACTCCCAATGGAGCATAGGCCGACCAGCATTCTCCAACCCACTCTGTCCTGGGTCTTTTCTAGTCCCATCCAATTCTTGTTCATTTTTCTCATGTCTATCTCCATTTCTCGGCGTAATGTGTTCTTTGGTCTTCCTCTCCTCCTTCGGCCTTCAGGATTCCATGTGAGGGCTTGTCTTGTGACGCAGTTCTGTGCTTTGCTCAATGTGTCCTATCCATTTTCAGAGCTTCTTCCTTCACTGGGATCTGATTTGTTCTCTCCCACAGTAGGTTGTTGCTATTAGTGTCCGGCCAACGGATCCTAAGTATTTTGCGTAGGCAACTGTTAATAAACACCTGTATCTTCTGGATGATGGATTTCGCCTGGCGTCCCTTTCAGGGGGCTACTGTCGGTCCCAAGCCTGGATAAAGGAGGAGGGTTGGGCATGGGGTTAGCGACCCCATCCCGTAGAAAACTAACTCGCTAAAAAACGCTAACCAGAAAAAATTATTCAAACCATTTAAACTCTTCCCTGGGAGTCAGGAGGTCTTCGTTTAGAAGAATTATGACGCCTCATGATGAAAGCCGAGTTTCTTCGGAAGTCACGAGGCCGATGCCCCTTCTGACAACCAGAGCAACCATTTATTTAGGTACATGGAATGCTCGCACAATGTGGGAGACTGGGAGAGTTTTTCAAATTGCTGCAGAAATGAGGAGATACAATTTAGAGGTGCTTGGGATCAGTGAAACACATTGGACGCAAGTTGGACAACAACGACTAGCTTCAGGGGAGCTACTGTTATACTCCGGACATGAACAAGAAAATGCCCCACACACACAAGGAGTTGCATTGATGCTGTCCAAAAAAGCACAAAATGCACTTATAGGATGGGAATCTCATGGACCAAGGATCATCAAAGCCTCCTTCAAAACAAAGAAAGAGGGCATTACAATGAACGTCATCCAATGCTACGCGCCTACCAACGACTACAACGAAGACACTAAAGATCAATTCTACGAATACACAGAAGTAAACAAGCAAGTGAAGAGGAACATCAGAACTGGCAAACGTAAATATGTCGAAGATTTAGCAATGACGGCAGAAAAGGCTGCCAGAGAAGGAAACATGAGACAACTATATGACACAACAAAGAAACTCTTTGGAAATCACCGTAAACTAGAACGATCAGTGAAAAACAAGGAAGGCAAGATAATCACAAACATTGAAGAACAACGAAACTGGTGGGTAGAACACTTCAAAGAACTCTTGAATCGACCAGCCCCACTGAACCCACCCAACATCGAAGCAGCACTCACGGACCTCCCAATCGATGATGGCCCACCAACATTTGAAGAGATCAGCATGGCAATCAGACAAATCAAGACTGACAAGCAGCAGGACCAGACAGCATTCTAGCAGAGGCACTGAAAGCAGACGTGACGGTAACTTCAAGGATACTCCAAACTCTCTTCAGAAAGATCTGGGATGAGGAACAGGTACCAAAAGACTGGAAAGAAGGACTTCTAGTCAAAATACCAAAGAAAGGCGATCTCAGCAACTGTGACAACTACAGGGAAACCACTCTTCTCTCAATACCAGGAAAAGTCTTCAACAGGGTATTGTTAAACAGGATGAAGGACTCCGTAGACGCCCAACTTTTACACCAACAGGCAGGATTCCGTAAGGATAGATCGTGCACAGACCGAATCGCAACTCTACGGATCATTGTGTAACAATCAATTGAATGGAATTCATCACTCTATATCAACTTCATCGACTACGAAAAAGCATTTGATAGCGTGGACAGAACAACCCTATGGAAGCTTCTTCGACACTACGGCGTGCCTCAGAAGATAGTCAATATCATACGGAATTCCTACGATGGATTAAACTGCAAAATCGTGCATAGAGGACAGTTGACAAAGTCGTTCGAAGTAAAGACCGGTTTCAGGCAAGGTTGCTTACTCTCACCCTTTCTCTTTCTCCTGGTGATCGACTGGATCATGAAGACGTCGACATCTGAAGGGAAGCGTGGGATACAGTGGACAGCTAGGATGCAATTGGATGATCTAGACTTTGCAGATGATTTGGTTCTTCTATCGCATACGCAACAACAAATGCAGGAGAAGACGACCAGTGTAGCAGCAGCTTCAGAAGCAATAGGTCTCAATACACACAAAGGGAAAAGCAAGATTCTTCGATACAACACAGCATGCACCAATCTAATCACAATTGATGGTGAAGATTTGGAAGATGTCAAAACCTTTACATATTTGTTCAGTATGATCGATGAACACGGTGGATCTGATGCAGATGTGAAGGCACGGATTGGCAAAGCAAGAGCAGCATATCTACAACTGAAGAACATCTGGAACTTAAAACAATTGGCAACCAACACCAAGGTCAGAACTTTCAATACAAATGTGAAGACAGTTCTAATGTATGGGGCGGAAATCTGGAAGAGTGCAATTGGTCCATCCAAAGTATTACACATACAACCTTAACAACTGCTCATGATGATTGTTACAGTTTGAAGGAGATATAGATACCTTCGCTTCCTTTGATTTAATAAATAAGGTACTGGTTATAGGAACGACTTCTGAGCCGACATTCGACCAATATCCCGGTTTTCGGTGGTAGTCTGGCTTTAATCAACTCATGAGTTCAACTATTAATATCTTTGAGTTGTATTTTTAGCCTGTTTAATGATAGGAAATCCTAGCTAATTTTTTTAGTTTTTTCCGGCCTCAATGTGAAGAGAAGCGTTCCCTCATATACGGCGGAACGAGGGGGTATGTATTCAAGCCTGTTCATGTTTATTAATCAAGTGACTGAAGCTTCAGAATTATTGGCTTTATAAATACCTGGACGAGGTAGTCAATAGTATTTCCATAAACCGTGTGCTAGTCGACATACAGAATGAATAATCTACCGTGGCGCCGACCACGAAGTTGTTGTAACTCCTGACCTTGAAAAATCATCCAAGCAGCGTTAAAGTGACTTTGTTGATGTTCGTGAATGGTCGAATATTATTGGTTGTATCTGCATCAACCAAAATAACCACAAGGTCGACCCGTTAGGCTCTTTTTTCCGCTAAATTCCAGTCACAGCAATGCTACGAGCTAGTGTGCAGCCTAGAACAAATGACATTTTTCCGACAGTATGGTTTATCTGACAGTTGAATAAGCTCTACGCATAAAATGTATGCTGAAATTCCAATAATATATTATAAGAAAATATATTGAAATTTTTCTGAGCTTTATGAGGGAAAAAAATCTTACTGTACAAAATGAACTGTATCGAGACTTCTTAGCGGTACAAATCTGCTATAATAAGGTTATTAAGCTATTGGATACGAACATCCGATATATATATATATATATATATATATATATATGCCTGTTAATGGTTGTTCCAACCTTCACCAGTGGCCCACAAAATTGCACAGATTTGAACAATATTCGGTCACAATATATCAGTTTTCCCATAATTCTTTTCAATCTAGCAGATCATTGATACTATTTATCACCAAAACACATCAAAGCGAATATCTGCTTATACAAGAACGTAAAACCTTACGCTAGTAACTTTGAGGAGCATTCTTGGCTAGTTTGATAATGATACTTTCGACATTATCTTCAATAATTCCTTTCGACTTCACTTAGGGTACAAAATTATGCTGCTCCCTCCACTGGAAAAGACCAAGAATACTTCCAATTCATTAAAAAGCTAGCCACAAGGTTAAATTGGATATCCTGATTCAGGTTTTGCGACAGAAACCTTCAATCTCTGGATTTTTTAGTATTGTCATGTAGACAACTCACAGGAACCCTTTTAACGATCTTTGCCGCTCTTTGTACTCCTGGGTACCGTCGAAAATATCTACTTAAATTCAGCCCCAGTACAAAACGCATGTTTCATACCCATAATTTAGATACATAACACAGTTTTATAGGCAAAAATTCTGCATTATACACCCTATTATTATTATTGTTCACAAGCAGCTTATTGGTACTTAAGTGTCGTGGTTAAGTTATTGAGTTCGCTGTTGACAGAAGTGGTATCAAGCAACTCCCCAGAAGACGTACAAGAGAGATATTGGTCTATTCTTAAAGCCTCAGTACGGTACTTTATTACAGCTTACTAATAATTCTTTTTTTACTAGTGAACTAAACCCTTTTTTCTACCTTTAAGGATCATTGGTCGGTTGCTACTAAATACGGAAAACCTTTAAGCAAAGGTATCACTCATGTCTCTCGTAACTGTTTGAACCTATCTTGTAGCTGAGATCAGTCCAAGAAGATCCGACCCGACTTTAGAATCAGACAGTTGACGACGGATTTACTTTTAACACTTCAAATTGTTTAGTAGTTCATATGAGACATGTAGCTGGTTACGCAAATAGCTCAGGTATCTCCATTCTAGAGGTGTCCCAAGTTGAAAAGTGTCTGAGTTTTGAGTCTTACGCTATCTGCGAAAAATTCTGTCCCAGCAAACCTTTTACTGGTAATGTCGAACTTTCCACATAACCATCGATAGTTTTATTAAACGCCATTTAGAGTATAGATATGTAGGGTTTCTTCCTTCACTCCTAAATGATAAAATCATGAAATCACTTGGAATAATTAAATTTGAACCTCGTGAAGAGCGTCTAAAATCACTTAATCTTTACCCATCAGAGTATTGGCACCTCAGATGTGACCTGCTTTCCTGAATACTGCTTGCACTCCTTTAAATTCCTACTTAGGCTCAGTTCAAACACAAAAGTTGTACGTGTTACACAAAATCTAGAGACATTGTATAGCAAAATGCAGTAAAGAGACGCCTTTAACCGTTTATGAGTAGTCGAATTCTAGAATTTACTGCCAGATGTGATAGTTAAAACGCATTCCCAGGAGTCTTTCGAGTGAGAACTTGATATAGTCTTGGGGATTCAAGACAATAGTTCATTAAAACTCATTGATATTTCTCCTTTCTCCGTTAAATATATCAGTAGGCATCAGTAATCCACTTTTACCAGATATGAAAGCTCGTTAAGAGAAAGCTTCTTGGATTTGGTTCAGAATCATTCGAACACTACACACATTGTTAACTTATGCTTACTTCATACAGATTCATAAAGAAAATAACAACAACTTCACTAACCCGTCTCCAAGAATGATATTTTACTGAGCATACTAAGATCCCAAGTGTCTAATAGTTCCCTACTATCATCAATCAAATCATGGAATTTGAATTTACTGCGCATTATTCAAGCTCCTCGGAACTCGTGGTTTACTGACGGGATTTACTTTTCTCATCGTAAACCATGTCGTTATCCCGTCTGGTCGTTGATAATAACTCATACGTATGTTGTTTTTAGATATATTCACTTATTTTACAGAGTTGGAAGTCTAAACTGTTCTCCAGAATATCCTGGAGGACCACAGTCACAATAGGTATCCCGCTTGGTATAGCCGGTTTGACCGTCCTTATATATTACCTCAGAAACAAAAGTAAGTCATAAGTTTTTGGGAAATGCTTCTTTTTCCGTTGTCTCAAGTCGTCTGTTTTTAACAAATAAACAAATAAACAGGATTTCTGTAACGAGTATAATACTTATCACTCTATGTAATCTGAGCCCCCAAATGCCCTGGTACGGCCGAGAGTGGGGAGAGTCCGCTCTCCCTCTCGAAATGCTCTCACATGGCCATGCGTATATAGCCCCTGCCAGGGAAGTCCTACTCACTGCCTTCTCGTGGCGGGGGTGTTGTTTACAAAAATGAGAGGACGAAAAGCGAATGTCTGGCGCTTTAACCGGACCCCAAATCAATGGTGCACATGGGCTCCAGTATCCTGCGGGAACAAATGGCGTATGAACCTATCGTTGGTCACCGGCTACCATGGGACTGCATCTCCTCACGATGCTCCACTGCCTTGTGGGTCAGACGTTCAGGTCGAAGGCTCGGGGTGTGGCCCCCTAAGACAACCACCTGTTTCGGTTTGGGCACCAGGGCAGTATCACAGCCCTCACACAAATCAATTGAGCTTTGTGTGGCGCATATGTATTTTGGTGCCTCCCTGTACCTATACTTATGTGTTAAAATAAATAAATAAATGTACAATGGCTGTATCGGTTTTAAACAGTTTTGGGAGAATAGTTTTAATGAAAGATCTCGCGTAAAATAATTAGTTTATTGCTTCGTTAAATTTCGAGGCCTGGCGCACCTTATTCAGAGTTCAGTGGTAAGCAGTTATGGTGTTATTTCCTATCTTTAATTTCCCCTTAGTTTAGGCAGCTGGGTAGTATCATTGACCTCTACATTTTTTAACGTGGTTAGATTACGTAATTTCACAAATCTTTGGGATTGATCATCAGGAAGTCTTATCTGCGTAAATCCTCATATAAGTAATGTAAGCTATGTTGTCCAGCGCAATCGAGTTTATTTCAGGTGTATTTCATGCATTTGATCAGTATTGCTGTTTAGTAACCTCGTACTTTATTAAAATATATTTGGAGTAACTGTAATTCTCTTTAGTTATCAAATTAATTAGGTAGGTTGAGTTGGCTTTCGTGATTTTCCTTTTAAAAAGTAGTGCCCTGTAACCGCCTTTTGATTTTGTATATTGCCTAGCTGCTCAAACTGTAGTAAACGAAACATAGTTCACACTTGTAACCGATGGTAGATTGAATACTTAAATACTGCCATTTATTTTATTCATTTGAAGAGATAGAGAATGTAAGGTGCGTTTAATAAGACAAGAACAACAACAAACAGAAATGAGTGTTTGGGAGTAAAATACAAATATCAATAATAACAATGGGAGAAACAGTTCAATAAGCAAAAATATAACCAGAAAGAATTCTTTCAAATAAAGATGTTACGTTCATTTTTTATAAATAAAGTTACAACAGGAGCGTCACTAGCTCCCACTTTCAGCCCTGGTATGGCCGAGAGTGGAGAGAGTCCACTCTCCCTCTCGAAATACTCTCACATGGCCACGCGTATACAGCCTCTGCCAGGGAAGTCCTACTCACTGCCTCCTCGTGGCGTGGGTGTTGTTTACGAAAATGAAAGGACGAAAAGCGAACGTCCGGCGCTATAACCGGACCCCAAACCAATGGTGCACATGGGCTCCAGTATCCTGCGGGAACAAATGGCGTATGAACCAATCGTTGGTCACCGGCTACCATGGGACTGCATCTCCTCACGATGCTCCACTGCATTGTGGGTCAAACGTTCAGGTCAAGGCTCGGGGTGTGGGCACCCGGGCGGTATCTCAGCCCACACACAAATATAATGAAGATGATGATATTCTCTGAAAACTCTATTCTCGCCGCGATTTACCGTCAAACAATTCACATTATTATTATTATTATTATTATTATTATTATTATTTACCACGTCATTTATTCACTCTCTTTTATTTCCACTCTGTCCATCCTTATTTTTCGACTTATACAGCAGCTCACCTGTGGTGGACATTCGGTTCTATCTAAACGTTCTCGAGTCACTGCCTGGTTGAAAATTGTATGTTACCATCGAATAAGAGTACTGAAGCAGTTTTACTGAAACCACGCGCACCATTCAAACTGGCTGCCTTTAATGTTCGCACACTTATGCAGGTCAGACAACAGATAGGGCTGGCTATGTCTCTGGAAAGTCTTAATATCGACATTTGTTGTCTATCCGAGACCCGTATTCAACTCTGGTGAAGTACTACAAATTCGCTCTCCATCTGTCACTTCAAAAAGCTTGTTCTACGTGCGTTTATCCGGGGACCCTGTGGCATCTTCATCTGGTCTTGTTGGCGTTGGTGTCGCACTAAGCGCAAGAGCTGAGGCAGCACTAGTCGACTGGATCCTCATTAACAGTCGGTTATGTGCTGTTAGATTAGAAAGTACCATCATTTAAAAAAAATTCTCGTGAGAAATGATGTCTTTTCGTCATCTCCGCCTATGCCCCGACAGATTGCAGCCCGGATGCAAGGAACTCCAACTCTTGAAGCGTTACAAATCACCGGGCCCAGATGAATTACCTCCGGCTCTTTTTAAAGATGGTGGTGACTTTCTGACTAAGGGACTGACGACGTTGTTTACAAAGGTCTGGAAACTAGAGAGTGTACCAACGTCATGGAATGAGTCGATAGTTGTCCCTATCTTTAAAAAGGGTTCACGTCGTTCCTGTAATAACTATCGGGGGATAAGTCTACTTCCGATTGCGTCCAAGCTATTGGCTTCCGTCATACTTCGTAGGTTGTTCAAAACCCGAGAAAGATTGACTCGCGAGGAGCAGGCTGAGTTTCGTTCTGGTCGAGGATGTATCGATCATATCTTCACCCTTCGCCAAATGTTAGAACACCGCCATACTTATCAAAGGCCAACAATCGTAGTGTTTCTTGATATCAGGGCTGCCTTCGATTCGTTGGACAGAACTGTTCTCTGGGATTGTCTATTGAAGAAGGGTGTGCCTGAGAAGTTTATTAACATCCTAAAAGCCCTATACACAAACACCTCAGGCAGAGTGAGAGCATACAACCACCTCTCTCCATTATTCCATTCGAGCACTGGGGTTTGGCATTGTTGCCTAATCTCACCATTCCTCTTCAACTTTGCCATCGATGACATTCTGGAAACAGCTCTGATGGATGTAAGTAATGGTGGTGTGGATCTGTTGCCTGGAGAAAGACTTCTCGACCTTGAGTATGCGGATGATATTGTCTTACTGTGCGAGAATGCCCAAGCCATGCAATCCGCACTTAATCAGTTGGCAATCAGTGTCCGTAGGTATGGTATATGCTTTGCACCTGCGAAGTGCAAAGTACTTCTACAAGATTGGCAGGATTCTAATCATGTACTCAACCTGGATGGTGAGCAGATAGAAGTAGTCGAGAAGTTCATGTATCTAGATAGCTGCATAAGTGCTGGTGGTGGTGTGAGTGATGAGATCAATGCACGTATAGTGAAAGCCAGAGCGGCTTATGCCAATCTGGGCCATCTTCGGCACCTTCGTGATGTTAGTCTGGCTGTAAAAGGTCGGATCTACAACACGTCGGTGAGAGAATTTCTGCTCTATGCTTGTGAAACCTGGCCTCTCCGAGCTGAGGATGTTAGACGACTCTCTGTGTTCGATCATCTCTGTCTCCGAAGGATTGCTGACATTCAGTGGCAACACCATGTTAGTAATGCAAAGGTTCGGCATCGTGTGTTCGGGCACAGAGACGATAATGCAATTGATGTCACCATCTTAAAACACCGATTTCGGTAGCTTGGACATGTTCTACGAATTTTGTCCCAGAGAATTCCTCGTCGTGCATTATTTGCCGACGCTGGGACTGGTTGGAAAAAGCGGAGAGGTGGTCAGTATATGATATGGTGTCGTGGTATGAAAGAAAGCTGCAAAGGGCTGGCTTGTGTTGGTCCTTCACGACTACCTGGCTGGGGTCCGAGAGATGGTGTAACACAGTGGCTAGAGACGTTATCAGATATGGCTCAGAATAGAAGCCAGTGGTTATCCTGATGTAACCTTCTTTTACTTTCTTCGTTAAGAGTGGTTGCTTCTTCCTTAACTGAATGATTTCTTCTGATTGTACCTTTCCGTTTCCCCCATTATTGTTCTCTCTCTTTTTTTTATAATTCCCTACGTTCATTACCTTTTTTCCCTTCTCTTTGAATTCTCATTGTTTTGTGTGGCGCATATATATTTGGTGCCCCCCCTGTACCAATATTTATGTGTTCAAATAAATAAATAAATTATTATTTATAAAAAATGAACGTAACATCTTTATTTGAAAGAATTCTTTCTGGTTATATTTTTGCTAACTGAATTGTTTCTCCCATTGTTATTATTGATATTTGTATTTTACTCTCATACACTCATTTCTGTTCGTTGTTGTTCTTGTCTTATTAAACGCACTTTACATTCTCTATCTCTTTACGAACTCATTGTTATTTCGTGGCGCATATGTATTTGGTGCCCTTCGTACCAATGTTTATGTGTTCAAATAAAAATCTCCACCATAGACCTAAATTAGCTGACTGACCTGAAAAGGATTTGGCTGGAATATTACATTACCAGAAAGTATAACAACTTCAGCAAATGTTTTACGATCCAAGTTTTATTTCATACTTGGTCAGTGATCACTTATTGATGATGATGTTGATGCCTTTACGACTGAGTTTTGTGTATTCTATTGTAAATTGTTTGATGAGCATAATAATGAATCTCACAATCAAACAATTTGTTATAGACACGTTACTTTAATCCCTATGTGATGGTGAAGATGTGCTAAGTCTTCCAGTTATTGTAAAGTATTTGTATTTAAGTAATATTTGATGTCAAATTATTCTTTGAAAGGTAATGTAGGCATTAAAGAATCCTTTTTTTACAGAAGAGAAGAGTGAAGCAGAACTTACTCCAGAAACACCATTAGAGGCTGCTTTAGCGTTAAAGCTGAAAGGAAATAAATTTTTCAAGGGTGGGCAATACTCTCAGGCAATCAGTTTATATGATGAAGGACTTAAGAAATGTCCATTGGATGCAGTTCAGGTTAGTAAAACTTGTGTGGCGCATATGTATTTGTTTCCCCTTTGTACCAATATTTATGTGCTCAAATAAATACAGTATAACTATTACACTTAGTTACCTTAGTTTAAAATGTGATCAGTATAACTCTTTCTTTGTTCACAGGCCAAAAACTGATTCTTCTTCGTTCTCCAAAGTACCAATTCTAAATCACTTTAGAGAGAAGAGGTATTCAAATGGTAATCACTGACCCTCACACATAAAATGTGGCTGATAGCTGAGTATACGAATCTGTACTCGTTAAATGAGGTGCTCCATTATTATCATCATTTTAAATTCTATCTAGACTAGCTCACTTTTTGCATCCAGCTAAATGTCTTATGTGTTGTCTCAATTGAAATCAGGATTCAAAAACTCAGTATGTGAATCTAAGTTTCAAATTGTACAACCTACAAGTATTTGTTATAAATATCATTTGACCAAACTGTTTTTACGATAATAATATGCAAATAAGGTTCACAGCCTTTCTAAACGACATTTAATCTAGAATCTGACTCCGCGGTAGTTAACTGTATGTAATTCCTTCCACTGGACTCACACAAATTCTATGGTGCGACTGAGGGTGGAAAGAGTCTGCTCTCCCTCTCCAAATGCTCTCATATGGCCACGAATATACAGTTACTGACATGGAAGTTCTACTCACTGCCTTCTCGCGCGAGGGTGTTTACTAAGTTGTGAAAACGAAAAGCTATTGTCTGGCGTGGACTTAAACCAAGTTGGTGTGTACAGAGAGTCTACCCTTATTCCAAAACAAATGATGCACATGGGCTCCAGTATCCCAAGGGAACAAATGGCATATGAACCTATTGTTGACCATCGGCCACCATAGGACTGCATCTCCTAACGTTGTTCCATTGCTTTGTCGATTAGATTTTTTAGTCAAAGGCTCAAGGAAGATCCCCTAAGAAGACCACTTCTGTTTTAGGCACCTGGACAGTATTACAGTCCACACAAATTCAATGATTTGTGGGGCTTATGTTTGTTTTGGTTCGTGTGTTTAAATTAATGAATAACATTTAGCTCTAAACTGGGACTACTGGACACCATCAACTAGAAAAGAATCGAGGAAATTCCAGACCTACTTAAAAGGTTTGTAAATCAAATGATTACCACTTTCTAGATCAGGGAATTTAGACTTATTCGGATAACACTATCATCCCACTGACAATACAATAACCACACAAAATTTCCATAATTGAGACGCCATAAAATGATGTAAATGCTTTAACGTTTGTCCAGAATAATAGCAGTTATCCCTGATATTATGATCATATATGGGTTTTTGGATAGCTGACATATAAGCTAACCAGGAAAAGTATTTACTTACGCCTGTTATCCCCCATAGAAAAGCATAACCCGCTCACCAGCATTCTGTACCCAACTCTATCCTGGGCAATCCTTTTCATGTTTGCTCCCAATTCTCGTCTCAGTGTGTCCTTTGGCCTTTCTCTTTTTCCTTTCCCTTTAGGATTCCAAGTTAGCGCTTGCTTCGTAATGTAGTTTAATGATTTCTTATGTGTGTGTCCTATCCACTTTCGACGTCTTTTTCTGATTTCTTCAATTGGAAGCTGGTTTGTTCTTTCCCTCAATAGGCTGTTGCTGATGGTATCCGGTCAACGGATGTTGAGTATCTTGAGTAGACAATTGTTTATAAATACTTGCGACTTTTGATGATGGTCGTGGTAGTTCTCGAAGTTCCAGCTCCGTACAGTAGAACTGTCTCGATGTTCGTATTGAAGATTGTGAGTTTGATATTGGTTGAGAGTTGTTCTGAGTTTTGTATGTTTCTCAACTGTAGGAATGCTACTCTTGCTTTGCCAATCCTTACCTTCACATCTTCATCGGATTCTCCTTGTTCATCGATGATGCTACCCAGATACGTGAAAGTTTCCACCTCTTCTAGAGTTTCTCAATCAAGTGGGGTTGAGTCGGTGTTTTCTGTGTTGTATTTGAGGATCTTGCTTTTTTCTTTGCGTATGTTGAGGCCTCCTGCTGAAGAGGCAGAGGCTTCTGCTACACTGTTTGTCTTGACCTGGATTTGTTGATTTGTGTAGGATAGAAGAGTCAGGTCATCTGTGAAGTCCAAATCGTCCAGTTGTATCCAACCTGTCCACTCTATTCCGTGCTTCCCGTCAAATGTGGAGGTCTTCATAATCCAGTCAACCACCAGAAGAAAAAGAAAAGAGGGAGAGTATGCAGCCTTGTCTGACTCCGGTCCTTACTTTGAATGTGTCTGTCAGCTGTTCTTCATGCACAACTTTGCAGTGCAATCCATCATATGAATTCCGAATGATGTTGACGATTTTCTCATGTACTCCATAGTGTCAAAGAAGTTTACACCTTGTTCTATCCACACTGTCAAACTCCTCATAATCAAGGAATTTGATATATAGTGATGAATTCCATTCAATTGATTGGTCAACGATGATCCACAGTGTTACATTTTGGTCTGTGCATGACCGATCCTTACGAAATCTGGTCTGTTGATCTCCTAGCTAGGTGTCTACTGAATCTTGAATCCGGTTCAGCAACACTCTGTTGAATACTTTTTCTGGTACTGACTACAGTATGTTTCATGTGTTATTCTCACATTTGCTCAGATCTCCTTTCTTTGATGTATTAATGCTATGTTCTTCTATTCAGTCTATCGGTGGCACCTGTTCTTCCTCCCAAATCTTCATGAGTAGATTGTAAAGCATTGTTGCAGTTTCAGGACAAGTGATGTGTATAATCTATTTTCTCTTTAACTCAGTTTTATTTATAATCTATTTTCTTCATTTTTAAATAACCTAGGTATATTAGTTCTCTACAAATATGTCAGTGCTAAAAAATGAAAAAGGAGTGATGAGCATAAACCTGATTGTTTGACACATAAAAAATGGTAAAACAGTTCTGAGGTTCAGTCATTTTGAAAGCTACATCTATAGCACTACATCATCACTCGTTGTAGAAAGTGTCACAAAATGTAAAAGAGGTTTCATTTAGCAACTTTTTTTCTATGAATTGTAATGTTTATTGTATTCTCATTTGTTTTCTACAGTATTTTATTAATTATTTATAATAAACTATGTTATTCTCTCCACATATTTTTCTAAATTATTTAGGAACGTGCAGCTTTCTATCAAAATCGTGCGGCAGCCAAAGAAAATCAACGTCAATACGAATCCGCTATTGAAGATTGTTCTCTTGCATTATCTTTAACACCGCATTATTTAAAAGCATTAAATCGTCGAGCACATTTATATGAAAAATTAAAAAAATGGGATGAGTGCCTTCTAGATATGACAGCTTGTTGTATTTTTGAAAAATTTAAAAATGCTGTAAGTGATTAGTATCATTAACTGATTCTTTTTCTATGACAGTAATATGTATATTTATAGACAAATGTAACCTTAACACACTGTTCATTTGATTGTTTCACTAAACACAAGACACCCCCCTGAATGCCCTGGTATGGCCGAAAGTGGGGTGGGTTCGCCCTCCCACTCGAAATACTCTCACACGGCCACGCGTATACAGCCTCTGCCAGAGAAGTCCTACTCACTGCCTTCTCGTGGCGTGGGTGTTGTTTACGAAAATGAGAGGACGAAAAGCGAATGTCCGGCGCTTTAACCGGACCCCAAACCAATGGTGCACATGGGCTCCAGTATCCTGAAGGAACAAATGGCGTATGAACCAATCGTTGGTCACCGGCTACCATGGGACTGCATCTCCTCACGATGCTCCACTGCCTTGTGGGTCAGACGTTCAGGTCGGAGGCTCGGGGTGTGGCCCCCTAAGAAAACCACCTGCTTCGGTTTGGGCACCCAGGCAGTATTCCAGCCCTCACACAAATCAAATGAGATCTGTGTGGCGCATATATATTTGGTACCTTCTTGTACCAATATCTATGTGTTAAAATAAATAAATAATAATATGAATTATGTATCCCATCATTCTTAGTACTGGGTATATTGATTACTACTGTGTGTATGTGTCTACATATACATGGAAACTACTGGTAAACGTTGTGAGCATTAATGTTATTACTTAAGTATTATTTAGACCGGTTTTAAAGCTCCACAGTTTGTGCTCTGAATAACCTTATGCGTGATTATACAATTTGTTACAGATAACTTTGTGTAGCCTACTATTTGACTGACCTGTTCGTGTTATATGATATGATATAAATACTATTTTGAGATTAAGTACAGAATTGGCGTTTAAGTTATCCGACTTGTATAGTAGGTATCCATTTGATATTATTTACTACATGCAAGTAAGGCACCTCATCGGTCGGATTGTCAACCGTGATAATATAAATATTAGCCTAGTGAAATAACTCAAAATTAGTCACAGTCTAGCAAATGTTTATTCATTCTTATCTCCTTTGAATTATTAAGTTTCAGTGTTATTTTACACCTTTCATCTGAATCCAATGACTTAGTGGTTAAGGTGTTTGACTTTCAACCACTCGGTCTCAAGTTCAAGTTCTACCCCACCTACTTTGGCTTGGAAAGTCATGCCATATCACTCTGTCATATTTAAAGTGTGGTTCAAAGCCAAGCACATGAATTTGTTCTTGGTAAATGAGTTAAATAATCAGAAACTTATATTGATCCATATTTCTCCTAGGTTTTATATTAGTTGATTAAGAGAGGTTAACTTTATCAATTCTCGTCAAAAATCAATTTTTACATTGCCAGGTAGCAGACAAAAGTAATCACCATCATCACCATACTTTTTCGATAAGGAGTCAAATTCATCGTTAATTTACATGGGTCGATGTTTATTTCAATTTCTTATTCTGGTCCTACTCTCTGTAATGTAACAATCGTTAACTGAGTTCCTGTGATAAGTAGAAGTGGTAGAATTCAGTATGCTAACTAGTGATTCCCTAGAATTGTTCAGTGCGAACTCTAATAGTCAAAAAAGAACTAGCACTTGAATGAGAAAGAAAGCGGTGAACACACTTGAAGGTATTGTATTTTGTTATTCGAATAAGCCTCACAATAATGTACACGGTAATTATAATTACATATGAACATCACAGTTCATTGCGTTGTGTTTTTTTTATCAAAATAAAGTGTATGGAGTGTACATATATAATCTACATTATTATTATTTATTTATTTCAGGACAACATTGTTTTCATGGATCAAGTACTTAAAACAATTGGACAACAGAAAGCTCAAGAAGAACGTTCCAAATTATTGCATGAATTACCATCAGCTTCCTTTATTCGTAATTATTTGAGGTGAGGTGATATATGATTGTTTGCTATTAACTAAAACCAACTTAGTAAACTCAAGGTTTATGTACCGACCTTTTTAGATCCGTACTTTAAATCCAAAAGCTGGCCATCCTATCCGTTTGCTTAAACTAAAGATGTCGTAAGGAGATTCGAACCTTTGGATCTTACTGTGATTGAAATCAAATATTAATACACCGTGTTTGACGAAATCTCAATAAGGGTTTTAAAAAGTTTGTTTGACTTTTGCTAGGTTCCATCACCTATGGCGTAGGCGAATTGTTTGTTTGCCAACCAAAAAATGGTTACATTGATTAACTATACATCCTCTTCTAATTTATGGTTGTAAAGCGCGGCTCGTAAAAATAGAGCATCCTTACAGGTTATTAGTGTTTGATCATTCATGCTTTCAAAGCAGTATTGTTTGCGTGTTTTGTAAACAATAAGTGAGCAATGCTAAAATTAGACTCAAGGTACTTGGGAAAAATGGTAAGTCAATTTGTTAGATTTCGACTCGTAATCGATTGACATGGTTAGGACTTAATATATTGCTTGTGTCTAACAACGGTCTGTGTCGACACTCTATGCTAGCTGATATAGGAGTAGCTTGGAAGAAAAGAGATAGAGCTGCCCAAGCTGAAACGTGGCACCGGCCCATCGAAATCACTGACTGGTTAGTTTGGGCTATATTGGTTGGGGTTCATGCAATTTTCCGTAGACGATAATTAGTGACGTTTAATGACATGGTTCGGACGTATCTGCTCTTTATCTTCCTTTTATGTCTTTAGTTGGAAACTTATTATATCTCAAGGCCACCGATCAGAGGGCAGTGAATTTCGATCGGACCAAGGACGCGTAAAACACGTGCGAGCGGCCTAGAGTTTTGATTAGCCCTGCTTTCTGCCTAGCCCAGCCAGTTAAGTCCAGAACTCCAATCTCAGCCTCTGCAATATGAATCATTATATTTCAAACATACTGGGTTTATATACCAATCAAACAGACCACAACGTAGCATAAAATAGAAAATAACATTCGTACAAATTTAGCCAAATGGGGCTGTGAATGAGGGAGGTAGTGACTAATAAGCAGGGCATAATTCCAGAATGGTAAAACGTATGGTAATGGTTCATAGGTCAAAATAAAGCTTATAATAAGAGGAACATGAATATGAATAGTTTAGTTATTTAACAGTTATACGATAAAAATGTACGTTTAGTATTGGTCCACAAATGGGTCCCAAAATTACCATTCATTATTCTTGTCGGGACATAGCAAATCTTATCCCATACTTTTAATTTCACTAATTCATTCCTTTCGATTCATATCGTCTATGCCTAATCGTTTCTTCGTGCTACCATTGAAACTGTTGTTACTTTTAGTACTCTGGAATTTGTCCTGACAATTTCATCCAGTTGTACTGATTTAGTGTTATAACTTGAACCGATAGATACATGTGTACCACTTCCTATTTTGCAAATGATTGATTGACGACGACTGCTTTACTATGATAATATCCCAAGCTGCTTTAAATTTAAACATGTATTCATATGAATGATTGCGGTTTGTTGTATTTATTTTGTTTATTTATGCTCAAATGTTGGTACAAAAGAGAACCAAATATATGTGTACCACACAATCAGAAAATGAGATTGTGAAGAGATAGATGAAGGAGGTTACAGATAATCAAAAACAATTGATAGATAAAAATAAGTGAACAAAAGTAGTAAATCATGGGAAAAGCGGGTTCAGTTAAGAAAAATGAGACCGGGACGAATCCTTTTGGCCGAGGAAGTTCCTCTCACTTGAGGACTCAAACCGTGGGTTAACAAAGAACCGACAAACATCAATCCTCTGCAGTTTTCTTTGTTACCCAAGCGCAATATCATAAAATGATCTCCTTTCCACTTTTTCCAACCAGTTCCAGAGTAATCGGCACGCGTATATAGCCTCTGCCAGAGAAGTCCTACTCACTGCCTTCTCGTGGCGTGGGTGTTGTTTACGAAAATGAGAGGACGAAAAGCGAATGTCCGGCGCTTTAACCGGACCTCAAACCAATGGTGCACATGGGCTCCAGTATCCTGAAGGAACAAATGGCGTATGAACCAATCGTTGGTCACCGGCTACCATGGGACTGCATCTCCTCACGATGCTCCACTGCCTTGTGGGTCAGACGTTCAGGTCGGAGGCTCGGGGTGTGGCCCCCTAAGAAAACCACCTGCTTCGGTTTGGGCACCCAGGCAGTATTCCAGCCCTCACACAAATCAAATGAGATCTGTGTGGCGCATATATATTTGGTACCTTCTTGTACCAATATCTATGTGTTGAAATAAAAATAAATAATAATCGGCAAGTAATACCCGATATGGAAGCTACTGGGATAATATTTGTAGCATATGTCTAGGCCATCGGAACCGATGTTTCCAAATGGTGACATCGGTCGGATTATTGACACTGTCTGGACTCACATTGCCGAACATCAGCATTGCTAACATGCTTTTACCATTAATATCGATTATCAATGTTAGTTGTATTGATAATGTAACATTAAATAAACAGAAGACTAGTTTGCTTATGGTGCTAATACTGCCTTTAACACTTCTATTAAAGTTTGAGTGAGATAATCACTCTTATCAATTATCTGGTTAAATTGTTTTATGCTTTTTCTCATGTGTCGATTGAATCTTTTTTTAAGACAGTTTAGTGTATGGCTTTATGTATTATTTGTGTACATTTAGAAAACCCGTGATGTAAACAAACCATTCCTTTGCATGATCAGAATAATACTATTACCACTACTTGGCGCAATAACTATATATCTTTTTACTAAATGGTTATTCAGAAAACAAATAAACAAAAAGACTACACTATAGATGGTTTTAACCTTAAAATCTCTTAGTTGTTTCTTTCTCATCTTACTCTGTTCATTGCTATATTTAGGTTTTTACTCTCAAAAGGGTTTCATGTATTGTTTATGCCAATGAGAATTGATTAGGTCACTCTGTTCGTGGATGCGGATTTCAGTAGTCATATATAATGTATTATTGTGATCGTGGAACGATGACACTGTAGTAAAGGTCTTCGGCTACCAAGTTCTAAGCTAGAACTCAGTTCTGCCTACTTCAGCTTCAGTAACTGAGTTATGTCATTCGCTTTCATACTTAAAATGTGCCTCAAAATGAAGTACACAAATCTGTACCTGGTAACTGAAGTAGTTTATCATTATGAATTCGGTTATTGCGACAAGTTAACATGATCAATATTGCATCTGCAGAAATTCAGTAGTTTAGCGATTTGGAACCCTTAGAATAATAGAATATTTCTCCTGTAATGATATATGAATTGGTATATTACTTAATTTAGATGAACCATTTCTCAACCAATTTCGAACTTATAGTTTTAATCAATATCCTTTCAGAGTTGAATAATTACCTAAGTAAAACATATCTAAAACTACTCATTAAAAGGATTGCCCATGATCGGCCTCGAGGAATTGTCCTTGGCTCTGTAGTCACGTTCTTAGGTCGTTAAGATCCACCCTCAGCCAAGTTAGTCTTTCAAGGTACTTTAAGAAAAAGTATCCTTCTGTCGTGTGGAAAACCGAATAACGGAAACTGTCCTCATACCGTTTAATTTTTAGGAAAAAAATCTATCCAAGTGTTTATAGTCACTGATCATGAAATTTTTTTCAAACTAAAAAGAGATATCTAGAGATTTTCATCCCAGTTTATTGTTTTTACTCCTATTGAACGATATGGACTTGTTCACTTTTCAATTTGTTTTTGTTGTAACTTGTTTGCTATTCTTTATAATACAAAATTTATTACTCTTATTGAATCAACTAAAAACATATATGTGTGTCTAAACAGGCTTTTGAGATTTGTATTAAACAGAGCTTAGTAGATTTTGATTATCTATACAGTATTTATTTCTTTTCATATCTATGGTTACACGTATGTTCAGATTTCTACTTGCATAGCTTTCTGTATAATGGTGATAATAATACTGTTTCTTATCTGTTTAAACCTAAATAGATAGAGATGCAATTCGAACTTAACTCTTAGTAGTTAAAAAATGCTCTGGTACGACCGCGGGTGGGGAAAGTCCACTCTCCCTCTCGAAATGCTTTCACATGACCACACATATAAAGCCACTGCCAGGGAAGTCCTACTCACTGCCTTCTCGTAGTGGGGGTGTTGTTTACGAAATTGACAGGACGAAAAGCGAATATCCGGCGCTTTAACCGGGCTGGTGAATATGGAGGACCCACGTAGGGGAGTTGGAAAACCCTGATTTCAAACCAATAGTCCACATGAGCTCCAATATCCTGATGGAACAAAGGAGTACTGAGACTCAAACACCAGAGGGAAAACAACAAGTAAATACATTTGGACTATCTCAGTCTACTCTGAACCACATCACTTAACGTCTCCAATCACTGTGAGCGCAGTTAATGGTCTCAGATGGACAACATCTGCCATAGATTACAACACTTTCAGTATCATTCTGAACTACGAATATTCTCCATCATCTCAGTATTTTATTTGTGTGTTTTCTTGTTCATACAGCCAATATTTAACAATTTTTTCTCTCATCCTTTTCTTCAATTTAGCGCATTCGCATGTAATCCATTCACAGTTAATTCTTCACAACTATCCAGGCATAATTCACTGACTGAAACTAAGACTGCAGTTAACGGAGTAACTGATGATCATCCTGTATCAAATATACCCAGCACCACAGAAGTACCCAATAATAACAATCCTAATCAATATGATTGTACACAATTTAAAGAACCTCTTCAATCAGCGTTTAATAATGTAAATTCAGCCTTAAATTATATGACAAAAGGTGATTATCAACAGTCAGCTGATCATGCAATGAAAGCCGTTAATTTGTTCGAATCAGTGAGTGTTTCTTTTATTACAAATTCTGTTATGTATGATTGATAATATTATATATATGGTGTATAAGCCTGTTTCATCTCATGGATTTCCATGAGAAGTATGTCTTCTGACGTCCGTTGTTTCGTAAACTAATATTTAAGGTCAAAGACGCAACTGATTTGTCGGAGAGATTGTTTTCTGTAAAAGCTGCCAATTTCAATTTTGGCACATGTAGAAGAATAGGAGAATAGGCATATCGCTTACACCGAAGTTAGTATAAGTCTTTTCTTAGGTGTTTTTTTACCACCCATCTTTTCTGTGTCTTCTCAATAGATAGTTGTATCAGATTAATGGTACATTCACTCTTTGTCTTTGCTATGCTTCCCCACTGTTCTTATTCCTATTTCACTATTTTATTTATTTGTAAAATGTATCTTGGATGCCTAATCTGTTCTATTATCACTAATTCTGTTACTACTTCTACTTTTTGGGATTTGTCTTGGTAATTTCGTCTTGTTATATCGATTTGGTATGTGAACTTAAAACAATAAACATTTGTGCTACGTATTCTACGTTGCATTAGACTGACTGTCTTAATAATGTACCTTCATTCCAATACCTTTATCTGAATCCGAGAAGTGAGTCCCATATTTAAGGAGGGTACGGTTATACGTTAGGCTAATCCGAAGTTGGTCAGATGATAAGAGCATGCAATCGGCCAAGAAATGGCTTACATTTCTTAGGAATGAGACAGTTTTGCTGGTTTAATTTTCTAAGGGATACATTTATGAGTATGTGTACATGCCGATTCAGTTAGTCAATAAACTTCCTTTCTCACTTTCAGTTTTTCCACTCGAACACCAAACAATACAACATTCAACTCTACTATTTATTTATCAAAAATAGTACATGTAAAGAATCCGTTTTAAAAAATCTTAAAATCATCATGAGTTCATTTAGAAGCAAATATTATCCAATCGTATCACTATAATTTTCGATGAATATAGTTACGTCATTAGTATCAATCTCAATATATGTTAAATAAACTTTGATTAACGAGGTTACTACTGTTTTGGATTTTTCATCTTTTTGAGTTTGGAATATCTGCATCAGTTATTTAGAAGCTGCTTTTGTGTTATTTCATCGTGCTTGTACAATCTTTTGTCATAAATGCAGTCAAAAAAAGAGCACCATTGTATTGGAAATCTTGTTATGTAAGGAAATATGATGCATTCGAAAGAAAATATTCACAGATCTCACTGGGTCTGGCTCGATGAAAACCACTGCCGATCAGTTCACCGTAAATTCAATAACTAACTTGCGCAATATAAATACTCTTTAATAAGAGAAACTTATTGGCATTTGTCTCAAACTATTTTTCCATCATTTGTAATAATGTCTTCTAAGCATTGCTCACTTATGTTGAAAACAACTTATAGGTGATGCTAAGATTATACTCAGGATACTACGTTGATAAGATAATGAATATTCGTCAATTGACATGGTCGGGAAATGTATCACGTATGCCCCACCACTTATCTGAAATGTTAGTTGTAGTTAAGGCTAAATTAAAAGAAAAATAGGTGACCAAACCAATTTGCGACATCAGTCCATAAAGCCATTGATTGCTGGTCTGAGGTCTGGTAATAGATGCAGACTACGTGGTTAAAGTCTGCAAAATAACTGTGATCAGTGATTGAAGACTGGGTGATATGGTTCAGAATCGTTCACAATGCCCCAGATGAATTCATTCTTTATCTTCTTTGTTAGATCTTAAAATTTGAAATTATCTTATACCTATCATTCTACAAATGCTTTCTTCTCACGCTATAATATCCATGCTTAATGTTTTCTACAAATAATACTGTTACTACTTCTACTATTCTGCAATTTGTCTTGATAATTTCATCCTGTTATGCTAATGACGTATGGAAACTTGACTCAACACACATTCGTGCTGTGTGTCCTACGTAGCATTAATTCGACTGTCTACTAATCACTATAAATACTGCTATATTTCTGTCTGTTTGTTTGTTGTTTTGACCTAGATCTTATCGGATAAATCGTTCGCAGATGTAAAGAATTTGATCAATTCATCATCAGAGTTAGATGATAGTGAAACAGTTTTGAAATCAAACGACAATCTCATCTCTTCTGAATCTAATGAACATAATCAAAATGAAAATGAATTGGACAACAAAGAAAACAATATCGTCACCACAACTTCAAATAATACTGATTCTCTCAATAAAATTAAATCAAATGAATCTATTCAAGTGTATATTAAAGAAGTATATAATCAAATTTCACTTTTACACGCTACTTATCAAGCATTAGCTGGACGTTCTGAAGAAGCAAAAGAACGTTTTCAAAATATTGGTATGGTGGACTCTGGAGCTTCATTAGTGGTTCGTGTTAACGCATTGATTAAATCTGCATGTTTATCAATGTCAGTTGATCAAGTAAGTTGAATCAATCTGTGTGTTTATAGTTGAACTTTTACTCTAAGATATTATTTTAGTTTTAAATGGGATTTTTCGTAACTAGGCATTGCACATTTACTTCACCGACAATCGAAGAAGTCACCATAGCTATCAGACACATCAAATATGGGAAATCATCATAAGCAGACGATATACCAGATGAGGCACTGAAGTCAGATATAGTAGTAACTTCAAAGATGTCTGACATTATCTTAAAAAACGTTTGAGAGTAAGTACATGTATCAACAGACTTGAAGGAGGATACTTCGTCAAGCTGAAGAAAAAAGGGAACTGAAGAGGAATCACGCTGTTATTAGAACCGAACAAGATTTCCAACAGAATTGCTGAACCGAATGAAAGATTTAGTAGACAAACAATATCGAAATCAACACGCTGAATTACATGAGCATCAATCGAGTATCGACCAAATAACGACACCACAGACCATTGTTCAACAATCAATTGGATGCAACCCATCACTATACATCAACTTCCATGACTATGAAAAAGCATTCGACAACGTGGATAGGAGAACTTTGTGAAATCTTCTTCGACAACATGATGTACGCGAGAAGATTGTCACCATCATACGGAATTCTTACAACTAATTAAACTGCAAAGTTGTGAATGGACGACAGCTCACATATGCATTCCAAGTGGAGATCAGTGTCAGACAAGGCTGCTTACTCCCACCCTTCCTGTTTCTTCTGATGATCGACTGGATTGTGAAGACCTATACATCTCAGGGAAAGCACCGAAAACAGGGGACAGCTTGCATACAACTAAACGTTTTGGATTTCGCAGATCACCTAACTCTTCTATCTCATACACACCAACAAATCCACGTGAATACATCCGGTGTAGTAGCAGCCTGTACATCCGTATGCCTCAAAATACACGAAGGAAAAAGCAAGATTCTAAAATACAACATAGAGAACATCAACTGAATCACACATGAAGGAGACGCTTCGGAAGAGGTGAAAAGGTTTATGTACCTGAGTAGTTCAACTGGTAAAAATGGGGGGTTTGATGCAGATATGAAGTCATGGATTGTCAGACAACATAATAGTCATAATTTTCAATACGAACATCAAGACAGTTCTATTGTACACTGCTGAGAATCGGAGAACTACTATAACTGTCCTCAAAAAGATACAAGTATTCATGAACAGGTTTTTACGTAAGATACTCAATATCCGTAAGCTACACAAGTTATATATATATATATATATATATATATATATATAATTTTGTGTGGAGAAAATCTATGATCATTTTGATTTCGATTGGTAGTTCTAAGAATCGGATGAATATGATATTGATTTTTCCTTCTCAGAAATTAATCAACGTAAATATCTCAGTTCTACAGGAAGATGATCAGTCAAAACTGGAATAAGTTATTGTGATAACGTCGTTGATAGTAGGTGACATGGATTTGGATCCTAGATGGAAAACATTATTTGAGATTGTTGGCACACCTTACTAACAGGAGCCAATTACCATGGAATAAAGGTCAAGCGAGTTTTCTTGCTGATTACGTCGAACTAATTTCTAAACGATGTTTAACTTGCTGTTACAATCGGACCATAAAATTCCAGGACTGATGGTTTGAGCCAAGTTGGTGGACGCAAATTACCTGGTTGGAGTCTGTACGATAGCGGCAATTGGTGAGGATGAAATGGCTCAAGAAAGTTCACAATAGCATAGATACATTCACTCGTTTTCCTTCTTTACGTCTTGGATTTTAATATTTCCTCATATGCATCTTTTCACTACGCTCTTTCCTACCATATTTTTGATCTTATTAATGTTCTTGCTAAATTATTTCGATTTGTTTTTCAATTAATCTTGGAAATTTCACTTCATCGTATGAATTTGGTATGACAGCTAAAGCCAAAGCTCACTTGTGCTTTGTTATACTTTCATAATAATTGATTGACTGACGTCAGCAACATGACCTTAAACTTCACAAATGTAGCGAGTTGTTAGAATTTCTTCACAAGTTGTAAGCGGTTCAAACCAATTGTTCTGATCTCGACATATTCAGGTAATAGTGATTGTGAGTGTGTGTATGTATCGTCTCACTTTCCGTAGATCGACTTTTTGTATAATTTTTTTCTCTAATTCTTGATTTTCAATCTTTTCGTTATATTTTTTTCATTTTCCGCAGGAGATAAACGTGTGTTGATCTCCAAATTATGATACACTATACAAGCATATGAGATGAAATCAACATAAACTGAATAGCAAAGTAGTCTAATTGACAATAATATTACCAGTGATATTAAAAAGATGGAAGTCTGATTAGGCCTAATGTATCAGAAGCTCTTGACATAGACTATTTGTACATAAATTTACATTTTTTTAAAGTGGTAATTTTCACACACATATTTTACAGTTTATTGTATCACACTTACCTTCATACATATTTTTCACATGCATAGGATGTAGCTGCTTGTCTTTATGATTTCCAACGTGCACAAAATGTTTGGCCTGAATGTCCGGATGTGTATCTTCATCGAGGTCAAATTAATCTATTAGCTGACCAATTAGATGAAGCATTGCATGATTTGAATACAGCTGTTAAATTAAAGCCAGAATTTTCAGTTGCACAGGTTAGTAGTTGGCTATACTTATTTGTGAGTTTTGGTGGGTGTTTGAGTGGACTGATACATAACAAATCAACACAAGCTGTAGAATGATGATCGTTTATCAGTATCATTGTTTATGGTTTTATTCAATATTATATTTTCAGTGCAATATCGAATTCTCAGCACAAAGTATTTTAACAAGTTTCCGTTTCTTATTTCTTGATCGGTCCTGACGATAAATATTGAGTGATTGCTAGTTAAATGTTAGTAGTTCAGGACTCGACATCTGAATAGTATTCATTCCTTTCAATGCATATTGCCAACCACCACGATGTCTCTGATGATTGTACTTCTTTGTAACTTGTACAGTGAAAGGTCGTAAACTTTTCATAAACGCTCCTGAATAGATTATGCGATTAATAGACATAATGATGTGTTAGAACAAACAAAAGGCAGGTAGCTTGTTGAAATACGTAAATGGAAGGAACAGATAGTCCATATATTCAAGCAAGCCGCATGATGATATTTCCTAGCATTTAAATCATTCAATATTTACTAAGCCACAATTTTCTTATCACTTGTTAATGTATATTTAAGGATTTTACTACAAGATCTTCATTTAGGGAATAACTATATCAACATTGCGCATTAGTGTCTTGTATGTTCAAAATACTAGTTTATTTATTTAAACACGAACATTGACACACAGGAGACTAAGATATATATAGGACATACAAGTAGTTGAGATACTGTAAGGGTGCCCAAATTGAAACAGGTGATTTTGTTAACAGCCAAAAAGTATTTATTTATTTGAACACATAAAAATTGGTACAAAGGGGCACCAAATACATATGCGCCTCACAATAACAATGTAGCCAGTAGTAGTTATCATTGATTTGCGTGAGGGCTGTGATAATGCCTGGTTTCCCAAACCGAAGCATCTGGTTAGTTTGTGTTTTTCCTAATAGTTTTATGGGTCTGCATTACCGTACTGTATCATTGAATATGCAGTGAGCAAATTATTTCAAACAAAAAAGCCATGGCGAACATCGGAAGCTATTTTTGGGAACATTATATCACTTAATTCCAAGTTCGTAAAATAATATTCAGTTTTATCCATAGGCTATTCTATAAACCATAAGCTTTCGTTTGATGGGCAGTGACAGGAGGTACTTGTGATTATTGAACGGACATAATTCCACAAAATACCATACTCCACAAAGCCAACATGTTGATGGTGATTCCTCAGCAGGTTCTTGTGTTTTTGCTGTGTTTTGTTTGGAAGATTTTAAGGATTCGACAGCATTCACCGACCCGAAAAAAGAATATTTCGCCTTCAGTCGCACCATCGCTGTAACATGTTTGAGATTTAACAAACGTTGACACTTGGTTGTGACCATTTGTGAAGTTATGTTAGGCTCCTACTCAATGTGCATTAATATTCTGATGCCGATGTCAACATCTGCAAATAAAAATCAAACATTTAAACTGATCTGCTGTAATTTCGTTAATTTTTTCAATCGTCCACATTCTCGATTTACTTTTCCAGCATCATCGGGTGGAGATTTTGATATTTTAAAACATTTGTAGCGAATGTGAAATGTGCTGTAGTTTCTAAATGTTCGTGTAAAGCGGGGTGATACAGTCCTAATATTACCTAAGATTTTAGGAGATAGTCCTCATTATTCAACACTTGCTGTCAATGTTTCCAAATATCAAAATCTCAACTGATGAGTCCTAGATAAAATGAGACTCACTTTCTAAATTCCACTGCTACTACGAATGTTCTATCCTATTACTTAACTTTTTGTGTAAAGTAATCGTTAAGTAACTTTTGTTTCTGTCTGTAATAATTCTGAACCTCGTTGGTTTATAGAATATCCCTATTAAAATATATCCTTCAGTGTGTATACTTCCCTAATGTTCATCCACTCTTTTTCGCCCTAAAATATAATTTGTTTGTAATTTACATTCGTTGTTGATTTAATTTTTTCTGTGGATTGTTCTTTCTGCTTTTTGAATTTTAGGCTCAGCGTCTGTACACCCTATATCGATGCGCATTAACTGCTGGTGATATTAGCAAAGTGGATTCTCGTATTGAAGAGTTTCGTCGATTAGTAAAGAAATATCCAAATTGTTTGGAAACTCATTCTTTATTTGCTCAGGTAAGATACATATAGACTACTTTCCAGGTATTTAGGTATGAGCCATACTCTAATTGTGTTATTAATAATAATACTTTGTTGCCGAAACCGAATTAAGCGGAAGGAGGTTCGGACCTAGGAGTTAGTGGTCAAAAGTGCGACTCCTACTCTTACAACAACTAGTATTTTATATGTGAAAGTAGACAGTTGTGACCAGGAGGGCATATACTACAGCATATTGCTTATGCATTAGAATATCAGGTTTTCGATTAAGTTTGTGGGTTAATGAATGCATTCGATCAGTAACTGAAGTTAGCGATTTTGTGTGATCACAGACTAGCTGTTTACAAAGTAATGGAAATTCAAACAAAAAAGAACATGATCTCAATCATATTGAGATCATCCAAAATCACTTATGTTCTCAACTGAATCAAACAACTCTCTTACTTCATATTCTTATTTCCTAGTTAATTCTATTTTAATATATGAATACAGAATACCATGAAGATATTTATATGATCAAATACTGTCACTACACATATTTTGTCTGATTTCCAGAGGTGACTTAATTTCACAGTCCTTGAATATTACATATAGAGACTCCTTTTCGGGTATGCTCACTTTTATAGGGAAATTTGCTACATTGTAGTTTTAATTGTTGCGTAATTTTCATATAGAGTGTATCGATCATTACAATGAAGTAGCTATGTATGTGTTAGCGGAACATAGATTAGATTAAATCATGTTCATTGCACGCTTGCGTTGGCGCACGCTGATTGGCTATTTCTTACCCAATTAGCGCTAGCCGATGCTTGGAGAATACTCTGGATTCTTCTCATGTAAAAACTATAAATATACTAACGTTTTTCCTATTGTGTTTCTTACTTCCATCTAACCTTGTTAATTGGAATATAATCTCTTTCCTGTTCAACCGTGTTCTGATATGGGGACTTGTCGAGTGAATCTGTGTCCAAGAATACTAAGCAATAGTAATAGCTGGGTTATAACGGTAAGAGAGAAATATAACAGTGTGTGTGTGTGTGTGTGAAAACATGTTGGCACTTTAAGAAACTTAAAAAGCGGTTTACTCTGTTCATCACCTCACAGTGGAATATTAATTCCTGTATTCTGAACGGAAAAAAACATCATGAGAATTCTGTTATGCAAAACGTGTTTTTTTTCTATAACGTTAGGATTCGTCTACGCTGAAATATAATAGAAAAACAGTTGAGAGTATGTTGACCATTTAGCTTATCATAAAAGTCTCAACTTTATTAGGTAGAGTTCAGTTGTACATTACACTTATTAAAATTTTGTGATTCTTTTATGAAAATAGGGAAAAATCCAAGTAATTATAAAGGAGTATGAGTCTCTTTTTGTAGTTACCAGGTCTAACATCGATGTTAATTAGTGTGAATACTTAATCCCACCTGTTGAAATGGTTTTATTCCTTTTAAATCATGGATAATTGAGATCTTAGGTTTGAAACTCATTTTACTTAGTGATTGTTTCTCCCAGATCAGGAAAATGAAGTACTTTATTATTATTATTATTACTTACGTGACAAATAAGTAGTTATTTATCACATTTACAAGACACACAACGTGCTAGTTAATACGGTGTATCATTTTAATGAATATAAAAAGAATTGCAAACTTTCAGTTATTGACTGTTTGTTTTCAATCACCTTCAATACATTGTTTTTGTTTTTGTCATCATTGTGATCTGTAATCGAATAAGAGTTATGTGAATGCTGTTTGTTTGTTGCTATTATCATTATTGGCATGTTTTTTTTTCATATGACAACAACTTATTTTAATGATTTCATAATCATTTGCCTTTAGATTAAATTTATATAAACATTAGTTTAATCTATTAAATAATGATTAAGTTAGTGAAATCACATTAAGATTAATCAATAAACGTCGTTGTGTAAATGTGTCAATGTTTTGTTTTTACTCAGCATCATTTATTGCATAGAAAAACTAAATCATTTCTCAGTTTTTGTTTTGTTTTGTTTCTGAGACGGAGAAACATTCAGTCATTTTTGTGACGATTATGTAAAATGCTGGCTTATTCGATTAGAGAATTTTCTAAGATGATGGATCTAAATTGATATGGGCATTGTTAATATACGGTCACATGTCAGTTAGCCAGTTAAACGCAACGTAGAATTTGTTACATATTTATATGGTTTGAAGTTTCCATGCCCCATTAGCACAACATGATAAAATTATCTGAACAAATCCTAGAGTAGTATTATTGGAAATTGAAAATACAATTCGAGCAGGAAATATAAATTAGTGAAACAAAATATTTAGTAATTGAAGATCTAACGAAAGAGATTGAGGTTGAATACACTTACATCATTGCGAATGATTTCAATTTATATCATACAAAATATCCAACCAGTAGTTATAATAATGAAGTGGATCCCGAACAGGTAGTATGCACTTGTTAACTCGACTTAGTCCTGTTGTTGATGACTTTGTAGACCAGTACCACGTGTTAGTTTGACCTCTCCTAGCTTGTTTTGAACGTACTATTAAACCAACCAACATCGCTCGTCAAGATAGGTAGTGGACGGGCATATGTAACACATATCCTAATCACTTTAGTTAATAAAAAGTTACTGCTTCATCAGCCGATTTTTGTATTTTTACTTAGTATCCTATGTCTAACCCCATTATTATTCACTTGATGGTCCTGAAGTACGAAAGTGTTATGTTTAGTTTAGTTTGAAGGGCTGAAAAATATTCATTTCTCTTGTAAGGTTATTAATTACTTGGTTTTGAGCTTTTGACCCTACGTTGTTCAATTGAAATCGTCAATACATTATATTTCGATCCATACAATCAATCATAGATAATGTTAAGATTTGTAATAAATTTGTATTTAGTTCAAGTTGTCCAACTTCTTATTATCATAATCTCAACAGATAGATAAATAGATATCATCAACATAGATCCTGGTACAAATGTAAGTTGGTATAAATTGTCATACCTGATTAACACAACAAGCTGAGTACGACAAATGAAATAGAAATAATGTAATAACAATAATAAAAAGAGAGACTCAATTTTAAGAATGTAGTTTCAAAACACACAGTGAGAAAAGATGATAAAGAGTGAACACATTTATTCTAATTTGATCGGAAGTCATCGACAATTGATTTCAATTATTATCTCACAAATTTAAGCCAAAAAAAAACTTGATTCTTTTCTTACAAACTCAATCTCTCTACCTTATTACTTTTTCTTTCTTGTTTTATTCTTAACCGATTAGTGATTACACAATATTACTTCAGTAACACCTGTTATTAAATATTAATAGGAGGCGCATATTTCCCACTTCCAAAGATCATTCATATTACTCGATAATTAGGAAATGTAGGCCTAAGTGCTACATAATTATACTCATCTTTAAAAAACAATATACAATAAGTATATCATTTTCACAGTAAATGGCATTTGTAGACATAAATTATATAGGTGTTTTGAATTATTGAAGCAATTTCGTTAACAGTCAACCAATCCATTCATATGTGGATTGATCGCTTTATTCAACGTTTTCATTTCGTTTGTTGGGACTGTGAACGCTGACTCAATAATAAGATACTACACATGGTGTAATATCATCATGTAACTCGGTCAACGACCGAATTATAAATTTCTGCATTTCATTTTCAACTAAACATTTTGTAAGCACTAGTAGTAATTATTTTCTGCTAAACGAAACTATCTTAAATAGTCAGTTGAAGTCTTCGATCTATTCAGCGTGAATGTGTGTGTAGAACATCAATACCGTGTTATAATTATTAATCCATTTGTTTTTTGATACAAAATTCCTTATTAACTTGATTAAACATGTTTTGCCTAAAAATTGTTATCAATCTATCTCCCATTATCATTGATTTCCATTTTGCTCCTCCTACTACTACTACTACTGTCAATACATATAGATCCTGTCTGAACGTGGTGATTTTAAAGAGAGTGATAAAATATTTGCTGATTTAATAACACTTGCACCAGACTCTGGATTAGCCTATGCTCATCGTGGCCTATTACAATTAAAATGGAAACAAGATCGTGATGCAGCATTATGTTTCTTTTTAGAAGGTATTCAAAAAGATCCTAAATGTGAATTAATTCATGAATTACTTGGTCAATTATCTGTAGAAAAAGGTCAATTTAGTGAAGCATTAAAACATTTTGATATGGCAATTAAACAAGCTAAAACACAAAATGATTTATCACATTTAATTGCATTACGTGAAGGTGTCAATGCACAATTAAAAGTATGTGAACAATATAAAATATCAATACCGGATGTTTTATCAAGTATACAATATGAACAACAAAAATTCTTAATGGCTATGCAAGAGAAATTGTAAAGATAATTAAAATATACTAACAAACAATAAAATTGACTTCCTGTCTTATGAGAATAGCAACAAGAAGTTTAAAAAAAAAGACAAACAGACTACTTATATTACCATCTTTGTTATTATTTGGTTGTTTTTTTTTTCTATAAGGGCAACGGAACATTTGTGTTCCCTTGTTGTTGTCTTATTTTGTATAGAAAGAAAAATTGTTGACAATCATTTATAGATCATTCCATCTTGAATAATTAATCTATTTGTCCCTTTCTCTTACTCACACACACACACACACACTCTCTCTCTTTGTCACATCGATACTCATCAGTGTTTCAAATTTCCTTGATTTTTTAAAAATTAGGAATGTGTTCTGATTTAGTGCACATTTGTTTGAACATTTTTATATAGATATATATAGAGAGAAAGGGAGAGAAACGGAGACATAATTCAAGGGTGGTAGAACTAGTTTGCGAAAGAATAGAGAAATTACAAAATCATTCTTGAATAGGCTCAGTTATTAGAGTGTTAGTCTTTCAACTATTAAGGCTTAAGTTTGAACTCACTATCTACTTAGATTTGTGTAATCGGGTAGTATTGCTAGCCGTCACGATTAGGGTGTAGCTTTGAGGGCCAATTACACCAGTCAGTCAATAACAACGTAGAACTTCATACGTATGTACATCAGTTCATGTTACCACAGAAATGGCGATTCAAATCCCGTAGTGGTAGAAGTAGTAAAAGTATAAGCAGTAATCCCAAAGATCAGGGTTTGAAGATGTCATTCAAGGAGTATAATCCAGTGAAATGAATTTGGAAAGAGGAAAAAAATGGACATGAAGAATTCAGAAAATTAGAATTTGGGAGAACACAAAAAGTGGATGCACCTGCATTATTGCAAACGATTTCAAGTCATGTCATTCAAGGTCTCTAACCATCGGTTGCTATCCTCTCGTGGATCCCAATCAGACAGTCCTAGACCTACCAACATGTCTCAGTACACTTGTCAGTGACTTCATGGATTTGTGCCATGTTTTGGTCCGGTCGCCCCCTACTCACTCCTACACCATAAGACACTGCACGTCGGGGTAGTCGGTGGTCGGGCATACGTAACACATGTCTCAGCCATCTCAACTGATGAAATTTCACTACTTCATCAATTGATTTTCCATCTTTACCTAATACCCGTTTCCTAACAACTGCATTACTTACTCGGTGGTCCCAGGATATACGAGCAATGCATCGAAGACACCTATGATCAAATACTAGTAACCTACGAGTATCTTCTACTCTTACCGGTCATGTTTCACTGCCATAAAGTAGAACGGAACGAACTGCTTCTGAGTAATCTTGTCCTTTGCTTAGTAGACGGACATCTCGCCTACGCCATAAATGACACGTTGGCAAAGGCTAGTCGAGCCTTCTGTATGCGTGCTGAAATTTCGTCACATCAGACCACAAAGGCTTATGAGACTCCCGAGATAAGTGAAGTGATCGACACGCTCGACTACTTCACTCCCTATGCAACCCAATCCTGAAGTAACATTTTGCATTTAGATGAGGAGAATCGCATCCCGAACATGCTTGCATTGTTCCTTACGGTGGTCAGAAGACTGCGTTTTGTCAACAAGTGAACCTCCCAGTAAAAGTTAAACTCCTAGAAATTTAGATGAGGAAAGTGTTATCTCTAAAAGGACGTCAACAAGAGTGGACAGCCCTGACGAACACTATTCGAGGTAATCAAATCTGATGACAGTTCGCCATAAGCTCTCACTCGACCAGTTGTGTTTGAGTAGAGAGCCTGTATAAGGTTAATGTAATTTCTTTGGTACTCCTTTCAGTGACAAACACTGCTACAGAACCTCACGATCAACAGAGTCAAATGCCGTCTTAAGGTCGAGAAGTACTATCATTATGGGGCGTCTGAATGTGTGTCTATGTTCTAGGACCTGACGTAGTTTGAATATCTGGCGTATACAGCTACGTCCAGGTCGAAAACAAAACTGGTTTTCTTTAGTCTGCTCTTCACGAGATTTAGTTAGGCGTCGAAGTATTATTGAAGCTAATATTTTAGACACCATATTAGTTAAACTGATCCATCTGTGGTTGTCACACCAGGACTTTTGTCCTTTCTTACAGACTGGTACAATCAGCGATTGGGATTACGTCCAGTTTCCAGGTTCTACCTAAGACCTCAGTCAATCTCACTGCTAATACTGTACCGCCTTCCTTAAAAATCTCAATGGTGAACCTGTCAGGGCCTGCTCGCCGTCGATTCAGATTTCCTATGGCATTCTCAACCTCGTAAAGAGTTGGAGGACTCATATCAATTTGTCATTCAGGTCGATTGTAGATCGTCTGAATAGTTGTCTGTTGTTATCTATTGCCTCTGCCTTTTCCATCTCTCTTGCTTTCGCTACCCGCCACTGTTCGCGATCACTTCGTAGGCTTCTTATCAGCCTGTGCTTAAGCTCACTCCACACTTCGTCACGTTCAGAGCCAGATGGGATGAGTATTTGAGCGTCCATCAGTGCGGTAGACGCTGCTGAGTTTTTGTGTTTCTCCCTAACCTTATGGTTTACCTTACTAGTAGATATCACTGCAGTTTCCACGGCTTTTCGGATATCATTCCTAGCTGCCTCGGGGTGGGCATCACTTACATAGCTGCCTAACTGTTGTTTTAGTTGTTCCTGAAATGTATTCTTAGCCTGGCTATCATTAAGTAGAACCCTAAGAGGTTACCTTACAGTGTCTTTCCTACATCCAATAAAACGCAGACAAATACGCGCTCGCACTAGAGCATGATCTGAATCTAAACATGTGCTCCGTGACGAGTAACAGTCTTCTATCGAGCCCCTCCATCTGTGGCTGATAGCGATGTGATCTAGTTGGGACGAAGTCGGGGATCGCCATGTCAAAAGATGCCTTTCCTTATGCTTAAAGTTAGTATTTGCTAGAAACAGGCGGTTATCTGAGCACAGCTGCAACAGACGATCGCCATTATTTGTTCTTTGAGCCACGACACTATAGGATCCACCCAGGTGTCTTTCCTTTTCACTTAGTTTACCTACTTGAGCATTAAAATCACCAGCCACTATTACCACATCAGAAAGCCTAACTTTGTGGAGGAAGTCAGAAAGCATACTGTAAAACTTATCCCTTACCTCATCTGAGCTGCAGTTAGAAGGAGAGTAAGTACGGAAGAGGAGTGGTTTCAGAAAACAGGGAATTACGTTCCGCGTACTCATCGTTTGCATTAGCGGCGCAAGGTGGTAAAGTAACGTGAGAAGTGTTAGTCATGGAGATAAGAGGGCTATTAGGAGGTGTAAGAAGGATTTGATTGTGTCCAAATCGGTCTCGTGTACTGTTACGGGTATGAGGGCTGATATCACTTCCCGGCTGCCCACACCGTGGAAGGTTATTCTTCGAGGAACCTGAAAACGAAGTTCAATTGATGTTGGTCTTAACGATCTGGGAGCGTGACTACAGAGTCCAAGAGACAACTACTTGAGGCCGGTCATACACGGCGTTTTTGTGGGAAGTTTTTAACATGTTAGCTCCGTTCTTCAAAAGGCCTTACCACTTGGGACGGAAATCCGTGAGGTAAGGTGAGGCGTGACAATTTTAGGGTCGAACTTTTCCAACCCCTTCCTTGCGAGAAGGCAGCGTCACTGCAGATGCTGATTGCCCGAGGGAAACACCTTACTGATGTCACACCCCTCTACAGTCAGCAGTACGACTTCGCCCTCAGACCTTGAGTTGCTGCTTTTAGTTTTACCGTTCTCCAATCGACCTGCCTGGCATGTTAGAACCTACAGGAACATGTGTTCCAGCCAATATAGCTTGGTTGGGTCATCACGATCGGCAAGCCCGACCACCACGTCAAGATAGCAGCTACGGTCGGGCTGTTGCATAGATACTAGTTGACAATCAGTGTTTAATGAAACTAAATACACTACATTTACTTAACTAATTTTACAGAAATCAGTTGTATTGATATGAAATAATTTCTGATCAAAGACCACAGAATTAACATTTAGAAGTCATGCAGTAAATGACAAACATAAATCTGTACTTGGTAAACCAGTTGACGAAATTAACAAGTATTTATATATTCAATGATATTTTTTTCAATATCGAAAGAAGATACTATCACTATGTATTTACAAGTCAAATACACAACTTCAGGTGTTGTAATTGATTGGTGAAAAATTATTCACATGTAACATGCTAACACCCTCTAAATGGTGTATTTGTAAACACTAAAGAGTAAGAATTTACTTTTAAATAAATGCAAACTAATAAAAATTACCTATGTATTTGTACATGGAAACACATGTTGACTAGTGGTGGTCGACAAAAAGGTATGTACCGATGTTTTATGCTAGTTGAAACATTTGTCACTGCTATTTCTAACAAACCGCTCTTCTCCATGTCGTTCAAATCGATGCTCATTCTCACCACCTACGAATAGCAATGTGAATTTTTAATGTTTCTGGAATTAGATTTTTTTGTTCTATCATGAATAATATCACTAAAATACCTAACATAATGTGAATTCTCTTAAAACCAATCGTTTTCATCAAAACTCAGAGATTTCTAATATCATAGTTAAATAAATTCCAGAAAACAATCAGAATCAAGCAGTATCAAAGGGGGTTTCTGTGGATATTATAGTAATTTCAGTGGTTGAGATCATGAGTCATTTGAAACTAGACCATCATAGAACACCTGTAAGCACTGGATGGCCGTTTCGTCCTATTGTGATTCCTGCACCACTTCACTGCCACAATCCCACCTCGCGAAATTCAAACCCATGATCAATCAGTCTCACGCGCGAGCACTTAACAACGAGACCAATGGGTTAGCCGGCATCCAACAGTGTTAATGTCTAACTTCAACTAATCCATGAAATTGAGCGACACATCCACCACTGTCATCAGTGAGTTACTATCACACAACAGACCCAATTCAACTCCACTGGTCACAGTTTCTCACTAGAACTGCAGGAAATACTTCTTGAAGCCCGTCACTAGCGAGCAAATGTTGATTAATATCAGAAGGGTAATTGGTTATATCAGTGTATGTCATATAAATACAAACTCAATGATTCTCGTCTAGCTCCTGAATTAAGCTTATCTCAACCTCCCTATTATAAGTAAAGTAGTCTTACTTCACCAATTTGAAACTTTACTTCATTATCAAAATTAGACATATCCCTGATCAGTTTTATCAACATTATAGTATAGAATCTTGTTTATGGATAATTCCAAAATCCTAATGACTATAAAATTATTAACCGATTAACATGTAGTATGACTTAGAAACGTTGAAAATGTTCAATGAATTACAATTTTAGAAATGATAAAATAATCTACTCAAATG